AAATGTGAATTATTATTTTTGTAGGGGTTGATTAGACAGCCTATAGGGAGGAGGTCAGAGACCTGGCCATGTGGTGCCAGGATAACAACCTCTCCCTCAACATGTTCAAGACAAAGGAGATGATTGTGGACTACAGGAAAGAAAAGAGGACTGAGCACGCCCCCATTCTCATCGACGGGGCTGTAGTGGAACAGGTTGAGAGCTTCAAGTTCCTTGGTGTCCACATCACCAACAAACTATCATGGTCCAAACACACCAAGACAGTCGTGAAGAGGGCACGACAAAGCCTATTCCCCCTCAGGAGGCTGAAAAGAATCGGCATGGGTCCTCAGATCCTCAAAAAGTTATACAACTGCACCATCGAGAGCATCCTGACTGGTTGCATCACTGCCTGGTATGGCAACTGCTCGGCCTCCGACTGCAAGGCGCTACAGAGGGTAGTGCGTATGGCCCAGTACATCACCGGGGCCAAGCTTCCTGCCATCCAGGACCTCTACACCAGGTGGTGTCAGAGGAAGGCCCTAAAAATATTCAAAGACTCCAGCCACTCTAGTCATAGACTGTTCTCTCTGCTACAGCACGGCCTTCTTAACAGCTTCTACCCCCAAGCCATAAGACTCCTGAACAGCTAATCATGGCTACCCGGACTATTTGCGCTGCTGCTACTCTGTTTATTACTCTGTCACTTTAACTCTACCCACATATTGTACATATTAACTAAATTACCTCGACTAAACAGTGCCCCCAGTTTATTTTACTGCTGCTCTTTAATTTTTAGTATTCGGCGCATGTGGCAAATAAAATTTGATTTGATTTGGTAGATTTTTTGTTAGGGCAAATCAAGTCTGAGATTTTAAAGTTGGAAATGACAAACTTTAGAAGCCTTTTTAAAACCTCAAATACACTACAAGTTTTCAGCAACAAAAGAGTGATCAAATTAAGATCCTACATCTGTACAGGTCATCTTTCGATTTCCACTGTGGATTTTTAAATGTATTTACACAAAGTATGTTTTTATTGCTGATTCTGTAAAATTCTTCTCTCTCTCTCGTCGATCGCGCTCTCGCGCTAGCGAGTCGCGCAACCTCACGAGATCCCGAGATGAGGGGAAGTGAGCTGAGCGCCAGAAAGAAACGATGCTACAGAGAGATCGAGCGAGCGAGGGAGATCGGGGTAGCGATGAGCTCAGCGATAAGAGCGCGCAATCTCTCTCTCTCCTCTCTCTCTCTCTCTCTCTCTCTCTTCTCTCTCTCTCTCTCTCGATCTCGCATCTCTCTCTCTCTCGCTCTATCATTATAATATATATATATATATATATATATCTCCCCTCTCCCCTCTCCTCTCTCAGGGAGAAATGAGTGTATGCGTATAAAGATCCTGGGTGATTGTTACTACTGTGTATCAGGCCTACCAGAGTCTCTCCCCCACCATGCACGCAACTGTGTCAAGATGGGACTGGACATGTGTGAGGCCATCAAGTAAAACACCAGCTCTCTGCTTTCACACACACACACGCACGCACGCACGCACACACACACACACACACACACACACACACACACACACACACACACACACACACACACACACACACACACACACACACACACACACAGGGATGTAGGCATGTACAAACACACACACATACGGGTCGCACAAAAAGTAGCTATGTTGACTATGAAGTTAGCGAATATGGTGCCAACGATGTAGGCTATGTAGCGGTTAGCGGTTATGATATAAAGGTTTATATTGGAAAGGTTTTTTCGCCTGGTCACAGAATAGCGCGTAGATGCGAGAAGGAATTATACAACCAGCAAAGAGATTATGCTGTTTGTATGTGGCTGCTATGAAAGTGAACTTTGTTTTGGGTGATCAGGGGTGTATTCATTCCGCTGATTCTGTTAAAATGTTTCTTAAACAGAAGCAAACGGACAGAAACAGGGATAAATATACCTGTGTGAGCTGTATTGAAAGCACCATGTGAAATAGAGATGATAAGCTAATCCTTTCTAGTTTGCCAGTGGGATAAACACACAAACACACACATATACACACAAACAACACACACACACACACATATACATATGCACTACCACACGCACACACATGCACACACACACACACAAACAACACACACACACATATACATATGCATACCACACGCACACACATACACACACACACACACAGGGATGTAGGCACGTACAAACACACACGCACACACACACACACAAACAACACACACACACACAAATATACATATACACTACCACACGCACACACATACACACACACAGGGATGTAGGCACTTAAAATCACACACACACATATACACACACACACACACACACACACACACACACACACACAAATATACATATACACTACCACACGCACACACATACACACACACAGGGATGTAGGCACGTACAAACACACACACATAAGGGTCGCACAAAAGTTACATATTGCAGCTAGCTAGCAAATGCAGCTAGCTAGCTAGTTTAGCCTACTCAAACAGAAAGGGATGCTATGGTAGCTAACTGGCTATGGCTATCCAACACTGGAACTCAAGTCAAGGTAAGATTTTGGTTTTATAAATGTATTGCCACCGGGGCTCACAGCTGTAACTGCTAAACTGCTTGCTGTACACTCTACTGTTTGATTGTAGCGGGTTTAATACCGCATTAGTTCTAGTAGCTATGTTGACTATGAAGTTAGCGAATATGGTGCCAACGATGTAGGCTATGTGTAGCAGTTAGCGGTTCTGATATAAAGGTTTATATTGGAAAGTTTTTTTCGCCTGGTCACAGAATAGCGCGTAGATGCGAGAAGGAATTATACAACCAGCAAAGAGATTATGCTGTTTGTATGTGGCTGCTATGAAAGTGAACTTTGTTTTGGGTGATCAGGGGTGTATTCATTCCGCTGATTCTGTTAAAACGTTTCTTAAACTGAAGCAAACAGAACGAAATGGGGATAACTATACCTGTGTGTGAGCTGTGTTAAAAGCACCATGTGAAATAGAGATGATAAGCTAATCCTTTCTAGTTCGCCAGTGGGATAAACACACAAACACACACACATACACACTACACATTCACTCAGACAACCTTCGTCTGCAAACACACACACACAAACACAAACACAAATACACACAAGCACAGAATCTTTTTCACCCCATAGAACAAAGCAGCGGGTTATTTCAGGTTATTAATTTTTACCTCAGGAAGGTGCGTGATGCTACTGGTGTGGACATCAATATGCGAGTCGGGGTGCATTCTGGGAACGTGCTGTGTGGCGTCATCGGCCTCCAGAAGTGGCAGTACGATGTCTGGTCACATGACGTCACTTTAGCCAATCACATGGAGGCAGGGGGCGTGCCAGGGTAAGATCAACCAATAGGGGGTCTGCTGTTTCTTAAAATAATTCCCAAGACTTATTTGTATTTTCAAACCATTTGGCTTATGATTATTATTCACAGCGTCACCCCCCCCCCCCCCCCCCTTCTTTTCCTCTCTCTTCCTCCCTCTCACTTCTTCTCTCCTCCCCAAGGCGTGTCCATATCTCCTCAGTAACATTGGAGCATCTGAAGGGGTCCTATAAGGTGGAACCAGGGGAGGGACAGAGTAGAGACTTTTACCTGAAGGAACACGGAGTGATCACTTACCTGGTCATCAACCCCAAGGTGAGACCTGAGAATGTGGTCCAAACGCGGTCAACACACAAACACAATTTATTGTTTATATACTACTGTTAATAATGCATAAATACTACAATAGCTGTTTGATTGAATTGATCAATAGATCTTAAAGAAAAAAAAGAAACAAGTTTGACTTTCTCCAACCTGATTGGTTGTCCAGGCTGAAAGGCGGAGTCCCCACCTGTGCGCGCGTTCTCGTTCCTCTTTGGACGGAGGGAAGATGAGGGCATCGGTCAGAATGACTCGGTACCTGGAGTCCTGGGGGGCGGCCAAACCTTTTGCTAACCTGCACCATCGAGACAGCATGACCACTGACAACGGCAAGATAAACACTACGGTGAGTACACATATAAACACACATACATAAACACACACACAGAAACACACACACTCGTGTCCAGCCTCACCTTCTGTGATTGTGTGTTTCAGGATGTTCCAATGGGCCAGTATCACTACCAGAGAAGAGAGAGGTGAGACTTAAAGATCAGTCATCTTTCCTTTACACCAGACCACCAGACTTTACCCCTACAGATCAGTCATCTTTCCTTTACACCCGACCACCAGACTTTACCCCTACAGATCAGTCATCTTTCCTTTACACCCGACCACCAGACTTTACCCCTACAGATCAGTCATCTTTCCTTTACACCCGACCACCAGACTTTACCCCTACAGATCAGTCATCTTTCCTTTACACCCGACCACCAGACTTTACCCCTACAGATCAGTCATCTTTCCTTTACACCCGATCACCAGACTTTACCCCTACAGATCAGTCATCTTTCCTTTACACCAGACCACCAGACTTTACCCCTACAGATCAGTCATCTTTCCTTTACACCCGACCACCAGACTTTACCCCTACAGATCAGTCATCTTTCCTTTACACCCGACCACCAGACTTTACCCCTACAGATCAGTCATCTTTCTTTTACACCAGTCACGTCTTAAGACCACAACACCACAGGATAGAATATTGTTCAACATACTCAACATACTGTGTGTTCGGTATCCCCTCAGGACTAAATCTCAGAAGAGACGGTTTGAAGAGGAACTGGAAGAGAGGATGATCAGAACCATCGACGGCATCAACTCACAAAAGTTAGTACTACTACACACCTGATTTATTCTATTTCTAGAACATTGACAGACATTTTCTGGCACGAAAGGATGTTATGCATCACCGAGTTAGATAGGTGCTTCACGTTGGTGGTGGATGAGGTGAGTTCACCACCTTATTAACTAAAGCTCTTTGAGTCCTTGTGAAAAGTGTGTTGTATAATCATTTGTATGAATCACTTAGTTCAGTACCTCACCAACAATTATGTGACAAGTGGATTTACGTTAAATTAAATTAAAATCAAAATACGTCCTTTATCCCACAAGGGGGATTTATGTAGGCAGGAGTGCAGATACTTAAAGAACAACATACAATAACAAACGAAACAATAGTTATTAAAAACATGACGTGTAATGGAAAAAACAACAACTCACAAATACATTGAAATTATGGTTGGAAGGAGGAAATTCTGAAGTGGACGTGTCTTAATAATGTCACTGATGGATTGCTAGTGTCTGTGTGAATCGCTGTCTGTGTCTCTGTGTTCTCTTCTCTGTAGGCAGTGGCTGAAGTCTGAGGACATCCAGAGGATCTCACTGTTCTTTCACAACAAGATTCTGGAGAAGGAGGTACTGTAGGACAACAACACTGCTGTTCAGTCAAATGAAAACACAAATGAATATGACATATTGTGCCACTAGTCCACTGTTGCCCCAGACAAACATGCAGTGATTCCATTTAAAAAATGATTGCTGTGAAAGTATTCAGAGTTAGACTGTGAAGTTACAGTGAAAATGGTTCATTTTGACCACCACCTGTTGACCATGTGTGTTGATGTCCCCAGTATCGAGCCACCACTCTGCCAGCCTTTAAATACTACGTCACCTGTGCCTGTCTCATCTTCTGCTGCATCTTCATAGTGCAGATACTGGTCCTGCCCAAGTAAGTCTGGTCCCTACCTAGTACACTTCAAAGCGCCCTTCACAGTATGGAAACAGTACTTGTCCTGTGCATCTGTACTCTTCACAGTACCTTTCATAGTACCCTTCATGGTACCCACCAATGTTCAGATACTACTTAGCATACAACCTGCATAGTATGGTCTTATAGTACCCCTCACAGTTGGAATACTAGTCGTGTCAAAAGCCATTGAAGTCAGTGTTCTTTTCTCTATAAAAACCCAGAACATTGCAATTACACAGTGTGACAAGGTCAAAAATAAAAGTGATCAATTGAGTCACATCAATAAGGTCCTCAAGCAGTGCAAATGATATTACATTAAGAGAATCATAGAAGAACAAGATCATTAAGAAGGATGCGGAAGAAAAGAAAGAATAAAGAAATGGTCAGAACAACGACATGAAGTGAAGGAGCAGAAGATAAAAAGAACAGTGCCGATATCACGGCTGAAAGAAGAAGGGAAAGCCAAGAATCATGGTCACCAGTAAAAAACGTACAGTAGAAAAGATGTCCTGTAAAAAGAAAAAAGAACTCAAAGACCAGAAACCGATGTTCAGAAATAATAGAAACACATAATGATCTAAGTAAAAAAAGTAGAATACTAGAGCAAAAAAGATAGAATAAACAGAAGAAAAAGGAAATAAAAAGTAGAGACATAATAAGCAAAAAACAAAGAAAAAGAACAGAAAAAGAAAAAGAAAAGAAAGAAAAGAAAAGAAAAAGAAAGAAAGAAAAGAAAAGAAAGAAAGAAAGAAAGAAGAAAGAAAAGAAAGAAGAAAAGAAGAAAGAAAGAAAGAAAGAAAACACAGATGAAAAGATATGAAGATCTGATGATGGTTTTAATGTGAATCAACAGATCTGGGTCTGAGATATCGAGGATGATGATGATGATGATTATGATAAAGATTATGAATATTACTTTGATGATGACAAGGATAATGATGATGATGAAGCCTCATTATGAAAGGAAAAAAGGTCCATCATTTAGTTAATTGTCTGTGTTTACAGGAGCCAGGAGCAGTAGAGCCATAGAGCCAGATACTAAAAGCATCATATATTTTAGACATGACATCATTGTTTTATGACACGCTTAAATCAACCGTCTACTTACACTACCGGTCAAAAGATTTAGAACACCTACAAAGGTTTTTCTTTATTTTTACTATTTTCTACATTGTAGAACAATAGTGAAGACATCAAAACTACAAAATAACACATATGGAATCATGTAGTAACCAACAAAGTGTTAAACAAATCAAAATCGATTTTATATTTCAGATTCTTAAAATAGCCACCCTTTGTCTTGATGACAGCTTTGCACACTCTTGGCATTCTCTCAACCAGCTTCATTAGGTAGTCACCTGGAATGCATTTCAATTAACAAGTGTGCCTTCTTAAAAGTTCATTTGTGGAATTTCTTTCCTTCTTAATGCGTTTGAGCCAATCATTTGTGTTGTGACAAGGTGTGTGTGTGTGTGTGGGGGGGGGGGGCAAAGCAAAGAGAAATGACAGTCCATCATTAAGCAAAGAGAAACGACAGTCCATCATTGCCTTAAGACATGAAGGTCAGTCAATACGGAAAAGTGCAGTCGCAAAAACCATCAAGCGCTATGATGAAACTGGCTCTCATGCAGCCCAAATAAATGCTTCACAGAGTTCAAGTAACAGACACATCTCAACATCAACTGTTCAGAGGGGACTGTGTGAATCAGGCCTTCATGGTCGAATTGCTGCAAAGAAACCACTACTAAAGGACACCAATAAGAAGAAGAGACTTGCTTGGGTCATGAAACACGAGCAATGGACGTTAGACCGGTGGAAATGTGTCCTTTGGTCTGGAGTCCAAATTTGAGATTTTTGGTTCCAACCGCCGTGTCTTTGTGAAACGCGGTGTGGGTGAACGGATGATCTCTGCATGTGTATTTCCCACCGTGAAGCATGGAGGAGGAGGTGTTATGATGTGGGGGTGCTTTGCTGGTGACACTGTCTGTGATTTATTTAGAATTCAAGGCACACTTATCCAGCATGGCTACCACAGCATACTGCAGCGATACGCCATCCCATCTGGTTTGGGCTTAGTGGAACTATCATTTGTTTTTCAACAGGACACTGACCCAACACACCTCCAGGCTGTGTAAGGGCTATTTGACCAAGAAGGAGAATGATGAAGTGCTGCATCAGATGACCTGGCCTCCACAATCACCCAACTTCAACCCAATTGAGATGGTTTGGGATGAGTTGGACCGCAGAGTGAAGGAAAAGCAGCCAACAAGTGCTCAGCATATGTGGGAACTCCTTCAAGACTGTTGGAAAAGCATTCCAGGTGAAGCTGGTTGAGAGAATGCCAAGAGTGTGCAAAGCTGTAATCAAGGCAAAGGGTGACTATTTGATTTGTTTAACACTTTTTTGGTTACTACATGATTCCATATGTGTTACGTCATAGTTTTGATGTATTCACTGTTATTCTATCTTCAACTCGCAATCTGTGGATTCAATTCAATTAGATAGATTCAAATTGTATGTTAAACATCACAGCATAGTTGAAAGATATATGGTGCGTAGAAATCCGAAGAGGGTGGCCAGCAGAGATAGGTGGGATAGGCTGAGGGAAACTGAGGGTTGGGATGTGGAACTGGAGACAAGTGGGAGTGAAGTTGCTGGGCAGTGGATAGAATGACAGTCAAGATAAACGTTTAAAAAAAAAAAAGGAAAAAATAAGTTTAACTGACACTAAAAAGGACAATTCTTACATCCAATGCCTGTTTGCCTGAGGCTGATGCCATGCAGCTCTCAAGGGGAATTGTAGGGGGATCTTGGATGGTTGGTGGCCTGGCGGTTGGGAGCTTGGACCGGTGGCTGAGAGGTCGCTGGTTCGGGTCCCCGGTTCGACTGGGTGGGGGATCTGTCCTTGTGCCCTTGGGCGGGGAGCTTGACCCTGGTTGCTCATGTGGGTCGCTATGGATGGAAGTGTCTCCTGGATGACTGAATGCAATGTAAATGTTGAGCAGCTTCACTGCAGGTAGATTGTATGTTTAAAAATGCAATACAAAAATAAATGACACAAAAATAAACACTGTGTATGTGTGTGTGTGTGTGTGTGTGTGTGTGTGTGTGTGTGTGTGTGTGTGTGTGTGTGTGTGTTACAGAACAGCAGTGTTGGGGATCTCCTTCGGCATGTCTTTCCTCCTGTTAGGTCTGATTTTGGTCATATGTTTCTCTAGCCACATCTTGGTAAGTTACACATACACACACACACACACACACACACACACACACCCTAAAATCCTGTCTATTGTATGTGAGTGTGGAACACAATCACAGACTGAGAGAGAGAGATAGATAGAGAGAGAGAGAGAGGGAGGAGAGATGGATATAGAGGGAGAGGGAGGGGAGGATTCAGATAGAGAAAGAGGGAGAGATGGAGGAAGAGAGAGAGGGAGGAAGATAAATGGAAGAAGAGGAGGGAGAGAGAAGAAGAGAGATGGATAGAGAGTGTGAAAAAAGAGAGGAATGGGCAAGCTAGAGGAAGAGAGAGGGGGAGACAGAGGGGGGAAGAGAGAGGGGGAGGCAGAGGGAGGAAGAGAGAGGAATAGAGCAAGAGAGACACTTTATACTTTTTGTCTTTATTTAATAAGCCATTTGATTTAAAACACCATAGTAACCTCCCCCCACCCAGAGAGTAAGAGACATGAAGATAGAGAGAGATGGAGAGAGAGGGAGGAAGAGAGAAAAATAGAGTGAGAGAGCGTGAGAGAGGGAAAGAGAGAAACTATGGAGAAGGCTTACAATACAGTATATTTTGTTAAAAGAGCTGTGTGGTATTGCAGTCACACCGTGTCATTAATTTAACGGGAGATGGATTCTCAGATTGCAACAGCTGTGTCTGTCAAACCAACACTGGAGAACAGAGAACGCCATTTACTCCTGAGACACTGTGTGTGTGTGTTTGTGTTTGTGTGTGCGCCTACTGGCGACGTCAGCGCGCGCACACACACACACACAAACACACACACATTCACACACACACACACACACACACACACACACACACACACACACACACACACACACACACACACACACACACACACACACACACACACACACACACACACACACACACACTCAGGCTTTAGGTGTGTCGTTATAGCAGCAGGGTCAGATGAAGATAAGAAATACTAACAAACCAGGAAGAACCGATTAGCACCTTTCTCATTCTCTTGATGACTCTAACCAGAGACCAGACAGTGGAGGAGTGATTGAGCTTGAAGGACAGTCATCTTTTGTGGAACACATTATTATACAACAACAGTCTAAAAGACAACAGTCTATCTGCATGGCATTCTACCTTGAGACTTCTCCTTAAATGATTTGTGATGTCTCACAATGTCTCTGTATATCTGAGCCAACCCAAACCATGTGACCATGTGAAGAGAGAAGGAAGGACATGGTATAGTATAGTACAGTATAGTATATTATAAACTGGGTGGTTCGAGCCCTGAATGCTGATTGGCTGAAAGCCGGGGTATATCAGACTGTATACCACGGGGATGACAAAACATGTATTTTTACAGTTCTAATTACGTTGGTAACCAGTTTATAAAAGCAATAAGGCACCTCGGAGGTTTGTAGTATATGGCCAATATACCACGGCTAAGGGCTGTATTCAGGCACTCCTCTTTGTGTCAAGCATAAGAACAGCCCTTAGCCGTGGTATATTGGCCATATACCACACCTCCTCGTGCATTATTGCTTAAGTATAATATAGTGTATAGTATATAGGATAGTATAGTATAGTATATATTGTATATTATAAACTGGGTGGTTCGAGCCCTGAATACTGATTGGCTGACAGCCGTGGTATACCACGGGCATGACAAAACATGTATTTTTACTGTTCTAATTACGTTGGTAACCAGTTTATAATAGCAATAAGGCACCTCTGAGGTTTGTGGTATATGGCCAATATACCACGGCTAAGGGCTGTATCCAGGCACTCCGCGTGCCTTATTGCTTAAGTATAGTAAAGTACAGTACAGTACAGTACAGTACAGTACAGTACAGTATAGTATAGTATAGTATAGTGTAGTGCTCAGGACTGCAAACATACCAAACAGTTTTCTATGGATGAATTGCGAATTATAAACAAAATTATAAACCTTTATTATCTGGTGCTTTCTCTTCCTGGCCAAGGGAAGTTGTGTGTTGAGAGTCAAGGTGTGTCAAAGAGGTGTTGTAGAGAGGAAATCGATGGAGGTAAATTGCTCTGGGGTGTTGAGAGTATTGATGCAGACAGAAGATCTGTTACTGCAGCTGTTGTTTGTTCTCTGTCCCCTACAGCCTTCCATTTCATGGCTTCTCCTCACGTTGCACTACGGCAAGAGTGGACTGTCCCTAGCTATCTTTCTCTCTCTCTCTCTCTCTCTCTCTCTCTCTCTGTCTCTGTTTCAGGTTTTCCTCACTATTCGGATCTGACTCTCACTCTCTCTCTTTCCCTGTCCCTCTCTCATTTTGTCTGTCCCCCTGCTTGTCTCTCTGTCCCTCCCTCCTTCCCTCTCTCTGTCTCGCTCAGCAGGGAGGTAAAGGATCGTGGTGCTCTCTCCCCTGGCTCCCTACTTCCTCACGCATCATCATCGCCAACAAACCCTGGCTCCGATTGGTCCTCACCATGACAACCACCACTGTTATTCTTGTCATGGCTGTTTTCAACATGGTGAGGAACCAATTTACTGGTTTTATTGGTTGAACTTGTCAGTGTGTGTGTATATGTGTGTACAGTACCAGTCAAAAGTTTGGACACACCTACTCATTCAAGGGTTTTTCTTTATTTTTACTGTTTTCTATATGCTGGTGACACTGTCTGTGATTTATTTAGAATTCAATGCACACTTAACCAGCATGGCTACCACAGCATTCTACAGCGATACGCCATCCCATCTGGTTTGGGCTTAGTGGGACTATCATTTGTTTTTCAACAGGACAATGACCCAACAAATCTCCAGGCTGTGTAAGGGCTATTTTACCAAGAAGGAGAGTGATGGAGTGCTGCATCAGATGACCTGGTCCTCCACAATCCCCTGACCTCAACCCAATTGAGATGGTTTGGGATGAGTCGGACTGCAGAGTGAAGGAAAAGCAGCCAACAAGTGCTCAGCATATGTGGGAACTCCTTCAAGACAGTTGGAAAAGCATTCCAGGTGAAGCTGGTTGGGAGAATGCCAAGAGTGTGCAAAGCTGTCATCAAGGCAAAGGGTGGCTATTTGAAGAATCTGAAATATAAAATATATTTTGATTTGTTTAAGACTTTTTTGGTTACTACATGATTCCATATGTGTTATTTCATAGTTGTTATGTCTTCACTATTATTCTACAATTTAAAAAATAGTAAAAATAAAGAAAAACCCTTGAATGAGTAGGTGTGTCCAAACTTTGGGGGGGGTTAGAAAGAGAGCAGGTGAAAATGCAGCCTTTCTAAAAGCTCTGTGATTTGAGATTTAAAAAGAGGAAATGGAGCTTTAATTAACTATCTGGTGTTAGGAGGGAGGAGAGGTGAGGAGGGAGAGAGAGAGTCAGAGAGAGGACAGGTGTGTGTGTGTGCGTGCGTGCGTGCATGTGTGCGTGCATGAGGAAGTCTTGGTGAGGTTGTATTTACATCCAGAGGGTGTTGAGGCTGTACACTACAGTAGTCTGTCATTGTTTATCTCCCTCGCTTGCTCACGTCCAGTGGGACACACACTTGTCCGTCATGTGAAGTGGTTGATGGGTAATCTTGTGAATGGAGATCAGTCAATGGGCCAGGCGGCGGGCACTCTGCTCAGGGCCCCAGTGCATCTTGGGAAGAGGATTTGGGCTTGGGATGATTGTGTAACGCCTGGCTACATGTGCCAGAGAACAGGATCAAGATAAATAATTAATGCTATGGGACTGGAGAGCTGGACATATTATCAACACAACAACATATCACTGAAGACTGGAATACAGCCCAGTGTGTCTAAAGTATAACTTATCTTCTCCCCTATTCTTTCTCCTCTCCTCTAAACCTGTTTCCAGTTCTTCCTGGAAGATGAGGTTCTGACCACACCCCCTATCATGAACCTGACCAATGACAGCATGCTCAGCTCCCACAGCTCCACCCACCTCACGGATGGGAATAAATTCTACCTGCCTGTGAGTACATCTACCAGCGTAGGCACCAAAAAAATAACGAATAACAATAACGAGTAAATATAACATGGCTATATATAGGGAGTACTAATTCATGTGCAGGGGTACGAGGTAATTGAGATAGCAATGTACTGTACATATAGGTAGGGATAAAGTGACTAGGCAACAGGATAGATACTAGACAGTAGCAGCAGCATACAGTATGTGGTGAGTGTGAAACAGAACATTTATTTTATAGAAATCACTCCTTTGTGCAGTATTTTAAGTCAACAATCACATTTCTTTAACCAGGACCACAAAAGTAATGTTTGTTTACATTGCCTATCAATAACGTTGCGTTACATCAATCACAATCAATCAGTGTGTGTGTGTGTGTGTGTGTGTGTGTGTGTGTGACTGTAGACTTTTGATATTTTCACAGCAGGCTTACAACATTTGACAGTTAGCATAGAGACACTGTGCTACTATCAATGTGTCATTGTGACACTGACATGCTACCCAGACCGCACGCACGCAAGTTGATTTTGTCCCCCCAAACCAGACACGATCAGGACACGCAGGTTGAAATATCTAAATAAACTCTGAACCAATTATATTAATTTGGGGACAGGTTGAAAAGCATTAAACATTTATGGCAATTTAGCTAGCTAGCTTGCTGTTACCAGCTATTTTGTCCTAGGATATAAACATTGGGTTGTTATTTTACCTGAAATGCACAAGACAATTAATCCACAGATAAAATTGTAAAAGTTTGTTTTCTAGTAATCTCTCCTCCTTCAGGCTTCTTCTTCTTCTTTGGACTTTATATGGCGGTTGGCAACCAACTTTATGGTGCATTACCACAACCAACTGGACTGGAGCGTAGACCTCAGTTCATCTTTCAATCACCCACGTGGGTAGATGCTCCTAAAAATCAATGAGGAGATGGGAGAGGCAGGACCTGCAGCGCGTTGAGCGTCTCAAATAGAACCAAGTTCTATTTTAGTGCCTGGCCACGCAGAGGCTCGTTGACGCGCGCGAGCAGTGTGGGTGCAATGATTGAATAACATGTATGTGTACATTTATTTTGCAACGCTCGCACATGCGAGAGGGATCTAGAAGTGGCCTGGCTGTTGACTTGGATAGTATCTCAATAGTCTAAAGTGGCTTCCTCTCCTTGTCTCCTGTCCTTCATCTCAAAAGTCCAAAGTAGTTCAAGTTCATGGCTTGCATCTGGTGTGCTGTCACAACTGTGTTTTTCCCTCAATTGCATTTGAATTACAGCCCTCGGCTTCCTGCCTTGCTTCACACACTTACATTTTAGTAATTTAGCAGACACTCTTATCCAGAGTGACTTACAGTTAGTGAGTGCATACATCATTTTTTTTCATACTGGCCCCCCGTGGGAATCGAACCCACAACCCTGGCGTTGCAAACGCCAAGCTCTACCAACTGAGCTACATCCCTTCAGGCCATTCCCTCCCTTACCCTGGACGACGCCGCCCCATGGCTCTCCCGGTCGCGGCCGGCTACGACAGAGCCTGGATTCGAACCAACCTGCACCTCACACATACTCACTCGCTCCTAGCTACGTCTGAGGCAAGGTTATCTATGTCTGTTAGAAAAAAAAACTCTGTCCTCCTGAGATTTAGTATTGATATAGTGATGGTTATCAGCACTAGAGAACAGCCTTGGTGATAGGGCTCAATAGGCTTACTACTGATGTTTTACGCCTCAAGGAACTCATAAATGAACTGAAAAAATGAACAGATCCAGTCCATTGTACCGTTTTTCAGACACAGTTTTCCTTCTTATTTTTCATGTTCTGTGCACAAGTTTATCTAATAGTTAACAATAATATCTTACACATCATTACCCTCCTCCATAGTGTCCAACACCTCAATCTTATCCCCCTATTTTCTAAATAGACGTTCTTTATAGTATAGACCCATTTCTTTTGAATAATTGTGGTTATCTACTTTTCACATGTCTGATACATGTGACCATGTGGCCATTCACAGCCCGCAATCTGATTTAATGTGGCCCCCACTTCTAGTTCAGGCTAAACTTTCATTCACACACCTCTCTTCGCTGTTAGTCTTGACTGGGAACCAATTCCCTCTATTATCTGCATCAGTACTATTTATTTATTTTTTCTCTCTTTTCTTTTCACTTACACACCTCTCTTTGCTAATAGCCCAGACCCATGTCTCCTATCTTCTAAATGTAATGGTGTTTACCCTAGTGCATAGGGGCCTCTACACATCAGCCAGTAATAGCTAGTCCTGATTCCCTGCTCTCCACAGGCTCAGTTAGTCTTCATTTCTTCCTTTCCCTCTTAATTGCTGTTCCTCCCTCCCTCCCTCCCTCCCTCCCTCCCTCCCTCCCTCCCTCCTACTCCCTAGCCAAAGACCATTCAGTGACGTGATACTGAGCACATAAAGAGCCATATTCCCTTTTTATAGGCCACGATATACGATGTCCATTATAGTTTTGAGGGAAAAATGTTGACTGCCCATTTTTGGGAGGAACTGTTGTTATGGCTTGCTACTCATTAAGTGGAGTGTAGTCTGCAGTTTGACTCTCTCCATCTCTCTACATCATCTCAAAAGATTGAATATAACATCTCTCTGTCAGTGTTTTATCGACTTCATTTATCCCTTCTTTCCCCCTCCTCTTTCTCCCTCTCTTCTCTCTTCCCCCTCCTCTCTTCTCTCTGTCCCTCTCTTCTCTCTCCCCCTCCCACATCTTCTCTCTCTCTAACTCCTGCCCTCCTTTTCTCCTTCCCTCTCTCTCTCTGTCTCTCTCTCTCTGTAGTATTTTATCTACTGTTGTATCCTGGGTCTGGTGTCGTGTTCTGTGTTCCTGAGGATCAACTATGAGCTGAAGATGGTTGTCATGTTAGTTGCCATGGTGATCTACAACATCATCATCCTCCAGACACATGCACCCCTGCTGGACGGATACAGTACTGCACTCTACAGCACACAGACGCTGGACAGGTACACACACACACACACACACACACGCACGCACGCACGCACGCACACACGCACACACACACACACACACACACACACACACACACACACACACACACACACACACACACACACACACACACACACACACACACACACACACACACACACACACACACAGAAAACAGGTTAGAGAGACAGCGTTCCTTTAATGAAAACCCTGGTGTCACACAATTGTCCCTTCCTTTGGCCCTGATGTTATATACTGTATAGGGTAAAAGCCACAGACACACAGCCTTTAGGGAATAACTGTGGATGTGTGTAAGGTAGAGAGACGAGCAAGCACACCAGTGTTAATAATGACAAAAATATAATTTGAATAATGATTTAGTCTAGTTATTGTCAAAATGACGAAAACAGTAGGCCATTTTAGTCATATTTTAGTCACATCACATTTGTATTGCCTCATTAACCTATAGTAAACATAAATCACTGACTTCCATGTGCACAAACATACATAGCCTTGTCCTACCAACATATCTTTCTGTATAAAATCCTATCGCATGATTTTCTTCCCAACGGCCAAATTGGCAGAATAACACATTACTCTGCAGCAGATTAGAAAATCACACCCCTTGACAGGACTCCAGACTAACAGTGCCACCAACTTTTTCAGTGGTACCAGCCTGTGATTTGGTCGCACCAATTTTTTTCTGCGGTGTCACGCAATAGAAAACATTTGTTATAATTCACCTTATAAAGTCATTCACAGTGCTTTAGACTGTGTAATAGACCACTAAGATGGTAGGCTATTCAATAGATACATTGTTTCATCTAACATGTCCAAGCAGAAATGCATGATTCAAGATATTTTGATGAGCAACCTAATCCAGTGATTGTCATGAATTGTGAGTTGACAATAGGGTATTGGTTTTATATTTTACTGTTACAATAGTGCTCTAGAATTTTTGTTCAATAGAGATGAATTTCACTACATCTTTATGTGCTCTATGATATATAGGCTAATTTATTTTGGGACTTATTCACCACATGAGGAAGTAAAAACTCAAAACACATTAGCTAGATCGCTAACACTAACTATAATACCCACTGCTAGTAGTCATGTATTAATTAACATTAAATGTGCTGTCCTAAAAAAAAACTTTGCAGTTGTAGCCCTGCTACCCTGTGCACTCGCAATGGCTGATGGGCTATTGCGTATTTCGTGTGCTTTGATATGCTTAAGCCATACCAAATATCTTGGTTGTAAAATAGTTGCTATTGACCTCGATATTAAGAGATTACAAATAAAAAGTACAGTAAAAGCTGAGGACATCACTAGTTGCTCCCAAAGCTATGAATTTCCCACAATTGGATTTTGAAATATTATACAATCAGTAGCCTTTTTTCTCTCTCCCAGAGCGCACATCAAGTGGCTCTCTCAACAGCAGCGGGCCCCAGTGGAACAGACCCAGAGGCTGGGCAGACACTTTAATTACAGGAATCATGAGAATAATGCACTTTCTGTTTGACCAAATCATGGTTTTAGCCACCCAAAAAATAGGACGTTTTGAAACTTTTGAGTGAGCAATTACAAATGTAACATGCACAGCCAAGTGAAAGGGTTGCAAAATGCTACTAAATGATTGCAATCTGGAGCCCTTTCCCCTTCACATACTGTAGCTATATTGCAATCAAAGTTGTGTCATAAGTAGTGGCCTGATAGGTTGCAGCAAACTACTAGCTACATGATCCATCTGTTATTAGCTTAGCTGAGCATATATATTGGGATGAAGCTCTTTCAGATGTCTCTTGAGGTTGGTAGTATTTTTCTCCGTCAACTTGTGGGTGCAAACGCTGTCTTCTTCTGTGGAAATGTTGCATTCGGTCTTGTTTGAATCTACACGATAAAGTGGCTCCAAACATCAGCCCTTTTTCTACTGGGAGCTTTTACCACCGGAAGAGTAGCCATGGAGAGTATGCCTTATTTGCATCAATGATTTGTTGCCGCTGTTGTGCCACCACACCGCCAAATTGCAAATAACCTAAAAGATCTCAATCTCTCCAAAAACTCTTGATTTTAGTCACAGAGATAACTTAGTCTCATCTCGCTTTCGTCAACTCAAATTAAACATAATTTAAATTTAGTTACAGTTTTTTCTGGGTCTATTTAGTCAGTTATCTTCTCCTCAATTGCCACTGAAAATATCACTATTTTAGTTGACAAAATTAACACTGAAGCACACATGCACACATCAATTACATTGCACCCATTACTGAAATGGTTGATCCAGTTTAAAGGGTTTAGGTAGTCTTCTTAACAACTTTCCTAACCCTGACAGTTATTCCATCTGTTGGATATCCTAACTCTGGCTGGATTCCAATAGGAATTACACATCACTTTGCAAGCCAGCATAATGTGACTTGCAGGCCTGATGTGGCCTGTAAACCAGGAGTTTCCTAACACCACTGTGTTAGGGTAAAACTAGGCCATCAAAGTAAGGCCTTATGATATATGTATTGTCATATAGTTTAATTTGAATGATGTCATTCACCTAGGTACCTACTTGGTGAAAGCCACAGGCCTTTAAAAGGAAATAATTCAATAACCATGTCTCTTTCACTAACAAATACAGTCATGGGTGGTAACTCGACAATTCACTCGGAAAAAAAGGCACCTTAGGAAATATGCATATTAGACTTTATACCATACAGTGTTAAAACAACACCCATGATTTACAGTAACACTACAGGTGTTAATTTCCTACATTGAGAAAGTGTAACAGTGTCAGCACTAAGCAAAGTGAGTCCAGTTTACTCTAAATCAAGTGTCATGTTTTACACTGTAGGTGTTGCGTATTACTCTACAGTAGAGCTATGCAAACATCACAATCAAGTTAATTTAAACACTTTAAGAGTTAAATGGGGAACACTGCAATAGAGTTAAATCTTTAACACTTTCAAAAGTGTTATTTTAACACCAGCTCATATGTTCACTGAAAATAGTGTACATTTTACACTTTCTGAGTTAAATATTGATATATATATATATATATATATTGATTTTGCTGTGCGCGCACACACACACACACACACACACACACACACACACACACACACACACACACACACACACACACACACACTGTTAAAATCATGCTCCGGAACTTTGGCAACTACTAATACTTTTTTAAACCTCCTGCTTTGGGCTGGATGTGTCACTGTGTAGTATATACAGTGCATTCGGAAAGTATTCAGACCTCTTCCCTTTTTCCACATTTTGTTACCTTACAGCTTTATTCTAAAATGGATTAAACAAAACATTTCCTCATCAATCTACACACAATACCCCATAATGACAAAGCAAAAACAGGTTTTTTGAAACGTTAGTAAATGTATTAAAAATAAAAAACAGAAATACCTTATTTACATAAGTATTCAGACCCTTTGCTATGAGACTCAAAATTGAGCTCAGGTGCATCCTGTTTCCATTGATCATCCTTGAGATGTTTCTGCAACTTGATTGGAGTCCACCTGTGGTAAATTCAATTGATTGGACATGGTTTGGAAAGGCACACATCTCTCTATATAAGGTCCCACAGTTGACAGTGCATGTCAGAGCAAAAACCAAGCCTTTGTCCGTAGAGCTCCGAGACAGGATTGTGTGGAGGCACACATCAGGGGAAGGGTACCAAAAAATGTCTGCAGCATTGAAGGTCCACAAGAACACAGTGGCTTCCATCATTCTTAAATGGAAGAAGTTTGGAACCACCAAGACTCTTCCTGGAGCTGGCCGCTCGGTCAAACTGAGCAATCGGGGGAGAAGGGCGTTGGTCAGGGAGGTGACCAAGAACCTGATGGTCACTCTGACAAAGCTCCAGAGTGCCTCTGTGGAGATGAGAACCTTCCAGAAGGACAACCATTTCTGCAGCACTCCACCAATTTGGCTTTATGATAGAGTGGCCAGAGTGGTTGTCACTATGGAATAGAACTTGGTTACCAGGGTAATTGTTGCTGCGATCATGACTGACAGGTTCTATGATATTGGGTTTTTGTGTTGATAGAGTGGAATTGATTTTGCTGATATGAGTGACAGTTAAAGAGAGAGAGAGAGAGAGAGAACAGAGCAGGGGATTCACTCCTAAGACCGATGAAGTTATTACATCGATAGAAAGTTGAGCTTTCAGCTGGTGACAGACTTTCATTATTTTGTTGTTGTTCTTTCTTTCTTTCATCTCTTTTTATCTCTCTCTTTCTCTCTCTCCTCATCCCTCTCTTCTCAGGCCAGGCATTCTAAAGGATCTGAAGACGATGGGTTCTGTTTCTCTCTTCATCTTCTTCATCACTCTACTGGTGTTAGCACGACAGGTACCTGTTATAGCTATGGAATAACCATGTAGTAACTATGTAGTAGCTATGTAACAACTGACTTCTGCCTGCTTCAGTGTTGGCAGGTGAAAATAGAATTCAGTAGTTCAAACAGATGGAAGAGTGAGGGGGGGGGGGGGGGGGGGGGTTAGGCCTTATGATATACATAATGTATTGTCATAAACAGTTTAATTGTAATGATAATATTAGCCTACAGTAGGAAATCCACAGGACTGAAAATTAACAAATTCAACAACCATGTCTCTGTCACTAACACGGTCATGGGTTATAACTCTACAATTCACTCAAAAAGTGAATTTTTGGTGTTGTACCAGTTTAAGTGGTCTATGGTTATGTTAATTAAGGGGAAGGGACACAGCCATTTTCATATATTTTGCATTGTATTGAGTCTCATCTTTCCATAGAGTGGTCATATTAGTTTGTAGGTCAGACGTTTTTGTGAGAAGACCGATTTTCGGGATGTCTCATGATCTGACAAACACCGCTGTAGCTCGGCCACCTTCCACCACTGATATCTGTAGCTGACAGATTTTGATGGGGATTTTTTAAATTGTGTTACTTAGATTGACGCACCGGTGCATCAATAGACTCTAGATGAGGATGTTTAAGCCTTGAGACAATGAGATATGGATTGTGTGTGTGGGCCATTCCGAGGTTGAATGGGCAAGACAAAATAAGTGCCTTTGAACAGGGTATGGTAGTAGGTGCCAGGCGCACCGGTTTGAGTGTGTCAAGAACTGCAACGCTGCTGGGTTTTTCACGCTCAACAGTTTCCTGTGTGTATCAAGAATGGTCCACCACCAAAAGGATATCCAGCTAACTTAACACAACTATGGGAAGCATTGGAGTCAACATGGGCCAGCATCCCTGTGGAATGCTTTCGACACCTTGTAGATTCCATGCCCTAATGAATTGAGGCAAAAGGGGGAGGTGCAAATCAATATTAGGAAGGTGTTCCTAATGTTTTGTGCACTAGTGTTAAAACACTTCCTAGTGTTAAAAATACTTTATAAGGTGTTATTGCATAGCACCATTGGTGTAAACTATATATACTTCCTAGTGTTAAAATACTATATGAGGTATTATTGCATAACACTCAAAGTGTTAATTCCCTAACAGTGACAAAGTGTAACAGCATCAGCAGCACTAAGTACAGTATTAATTGAACACTCAAAAGTGTGGACCCATATAGACACTGGCCCAGTGTTACATTTAACACTGGAGAATTTGCTGTATAGGGTAGGCTTTTATGCCATCAACAGATTTCTGCCCATGCCGCTGCTCTGGGGTACCATCCGTCAGAGCTGTTCAGAGTCAGATGTCCTGGACAGTCTTGTGTACCCAAATATACCGTCCCCAGTGGACAAGAGCCGGCCCATACAGTTCCTCCTGTTGTCAAACTGGGTTATAGTCACCAGAAGGGTAGGGGCTGTGTTTTGGGGATGACACACATGTTTAATTTAATTAGTGTATTTGGTTAGCTGTATTTGAAAAGATTTTACATTTTTTGCCTGTTTGTTTATTTCAAATCCTTCCTGGAGGTGTTAAATAGTCCTCCCTTGCAGCATCTAGCTGTAAACCTGAGGTAATGATGAATCCCTGAAGAACAGATGAATGATTCATCAATTAACCATCATTAGCTAGTTGCGTACTAAACAGCCTCTCATAATACCACTGTTCCTGCCTGGCCTAGTTACTAGGCCTTCTCAACTCTTCACAAGGATGACCTAGCTAGCACACACACACACACGCATGCTTGCTCCCACACACACGTACGTAAGCGCTGGCCCACAGGTAGCCATAAGCTCTAATACAGAGCACAGACACACACACCCCGGGGCGTTTTGACCTTCATCTCGGCACCCGGCTGCCCTATTTAGACGTGTTTAGAAGTCCCCCAGGCGTGGATAACCAATGAGAAACCAGCGCCTATACTTTATGCTAATCAGGCTGGTGTTCAGCATTTCCTGGAGCGAAGACAGCAACGCTGCTATCCTCTGCTTTAGTGTCTTATTACCAGAGCGTTCATTTCCCATGAATACAAAACATGCTCTGAAGGGTCAGTTGGTGAGATCGTTGCTGCGTCACAAATGTCACCCTAATCCCTATAATAGTGCACTAGTTTTGACCAGGGCCCTTGTCAAAAGTGGTGCACTATAGGGAAAAGGGTGCCATTTGGGACGGAATCTCTTGTTCTGCCTTTAGATTCTCTCAATGGGAGAGGGAGATGGGAGAGAGATGATTAGTTGAGAGTAGGAGTATTGTAGGCCTATGGGGAAGAAAAATGCCAAAATAATAATTTTATTTTTCTATATCATTAAAGTTATGAGAATGCGTGAGAGGAAACATATAGAGTACAGATGTAGCTTGAAGCAGTGACTCTCCAAGTGAACAATTAAAACACATTTCACTTTGAGAACAATGTGCTTGACCCATGTGTGATGTTCTTCTCTTTCATTGTTTCATAAGGCTAGTGAGCAGTGAGTCAAGACCAGTCTCCTTTCAACTTGATCAGTTCAGCAAATTCATGAACATGTATCTCCTACATTTACAGTAATAAAAGACCATCACATAGTTGGTGCTATTATTGGTTAACCTTTACTCAAGCGTAGTCATTTCAGAGAGTTAAGTAAAATGATTTATTATTTACTTTATTACCACCGTATCTTTACCGTCTCTGTGTCCTCCTGTTAACAGAATGAATATTACTGTAGGTTGGACTTCCTGTGGAGGGACAAGTTCAAGAGAGAGTGTGAGGAGATTGAGACCATGGAGAACCTCAACAGGGTTCTACTGGAGAACGTTCTACCTGCCCACGTTGCAGAACATTTCCTGGGACGCAACTGGAAGAACGAGGTGGGGCAGCGACCATTCACAGGACATAACCTTGAGAACTCAGAACCACAGAACCAAACTCATTTTTGTTCTATAATTTTCTAGACAGGGCCGGTCCTTGCCGTTCTGCCGCCATAGGTGGGAGCAAAAACTGCCACTCACGCAAAACTAGAATAGTCCCAGTAAGCAGACATCTTTTCCAGACGTTGAAGTTAGGTTCAATTTAGGTTCTGAATGAAAGGTGAAAAGGTAATTCCGTATATATTTAAAATACATATTTTTCCGGATGTTGAAAAATACTTATTTTCCGGACGTTGAAATCAGGTTAATTTATAGACGTCTATGTTTGGGCCAAATCAAGGCTGGTCCAGACCGGACAAAATCGGTCCGTGCTTACTGAGGTATAGCCTACAGTGTAGTCTGAAATTGAATTTTTATGAATGACCATCTATGTGGTAAGCACCAAAAAAAGACGTCCGTATAGGACCAAAAACAGACGTCGTCTCGTGCTCATCTAAAAAGCCCTTATGCCACTGGTTGAGAGAAATTGTCATTGTTTTTGGGCAGAATTAAGTGAGGTTTAATGTGTTGTTGTTGTTGGAGGTGCGTGCGTTTTGGCCAGTTTAGCTCAGAAAATGCCGCCCTCGTCAATCTGCCACCATAGGTGGCCGCCTAATCCTGCCTAATGAGCGGGCCGTCCATGTTTCTAGAAGACACAAAATAAATGCATTCTAGAACTAACTTTAGAACCACACATTCTAACCCTATTTTGGAATTGCACTGATCCATTCCACTGTGCCTGTGTGTTTGTTTCTCTAGGATCTGTACCACCAGTCGTATGAGTCAGTGTGTGTGATGTTCGCCTCCATCCCAGACTTTAAGGAGTTCTACACAGAGTCAGACGTCAACAAGGAGGGCCTTGAATGTCTCAGACTCCTCAATGAGATCATCGCTGACTTTGACGAGGTGAGTTACTCTGTTCTCATTGGTTTCTTATCACTTCTGTCACACATCTGTGTGTTGGGCTGCTGTGGTGATCCATTACTACTGATCATAACTGAGAGAGAGAGAGAGAGAGAGAGAGAGAGAGAGAGAGAGAGAGAGAGAGAGAGAGAGAGAGAGAGAGAGGAGAGAGAGCGAGAGGAGAGAGAGAGAGAGAAGAGAGAGAGAGATAAGAGAAGAAGATAGGGAGTAGAGGGAGAGAGAGAGAAGAGAGAGAGAGAGAGAGAGAGAGGAGATCGAAGAGAGAGAAGCAGGTTCTGGGGACCCGGTCGCAACGAACCTGTTGAACAGTTCAGGGTTCCATAGCCACAGGCAGAACAGCAGAAACTGGATGAGCAGCACAACAAGGTAGCACGTCTGAGGCAGAGAATCCCAGGGGAGAGAGGGGAGCCGGCCAGACAGAGACAGCAAGGGTGGTTCGTCACTCCAGTGCCTTGCCGTTCATCTTTGCACCCCTGGGCCAGATTACACTCAATCATAGGACCTACTGAAGAGATGAGTCTTCAGTAAAGATTTAAAGATTGAGACTGAGTCTACGTCTCTCACATGGATCAGCAGACCATTCCATAAAAATGTAGCTACATTAGAGAAAGCCCTGCCTTCAGCTGTTTGCTAAGAAATTCGAGGAACAATATGGAGGCCTGCATCTTGTGACCATATTGTACGTGTAGGTATGTACGGCAGGACCAAATCGGAGAGATAGGTAGGCGCAAGTCCATGTAAAGCTTTATATGTTAGCAGTAAAACCTTGAAATCAGCCCTAGCCTTAACAAGAAGTCAGTGTAGAGGCTAGCACTGGAGTAATATGATCGATTTTTGGGGTACTAGTCAAGATTCTAGCAGCCGTATTTAGCACTAGCTGAAGTTTATTTAGTGCCTTATCCAGGTAGCCGGAGAGAGTAGAGCATTGCAGTAGTCTTGAAGTGACAAAAGCATGGATTCGCTTTTCTGCATCACTTTTGTACAAACAGTTTCAGATTTTGGAATGTTACGAAGATGGAAAAAACCTGAACTTTAAATATTTTTGATATGTTTGTCAAAAGAGAGTTCAGGGTCCAGAGCAGGGACGGCTTGTTCAATAGGGCGATATGGGCGACGCACTGCCAAACGGGAAAAGGAAGGGATTTTTTTTCTAATCAATTATATCACGGCAACAGCAGTTATCAGTGTTCACGTCTGATCTGCCAGCCACTAAATGTCAAATCAGGCTAAAGTCGTGCTTCAAATGGCCCCGCCCGTTTTTGGGGCGATTTCAGTCAAGTTGAAAATCGCCCAGAAGTCTCTCATAGCCTGTCATGTAAAATCTATTTTTTTCACATTTCAAAGCTTTCAATACATTCTCTATGGGTGTCTGTGGGCATGCACTTACGCGCTTTCGTCATACGTGACGTAACGTTGAACGTAACTAAGACAATGGCAGCTAGCAGCGTCTCTGTTGCGACCTGCAGTGCGGCGTTATTTTATGTTTTTAATTTGTAGACTTAGTTTACAAACATTCTGCCAACCATGGATTTCCAGTGGTTGGTTTTGGACTGATCTTGTTGATCGTGTACATACCCGCTACGAACGGACTAAATAATGAAAACGCTGCTGGCAGCTGAATCCCAATACAGCTGGGAGACTTGGCTGGATGAGTCCCGGACAGAGAAGTGGAGCCGGCCACCTTCACCCTGGTCAGAGCGGACCGCGATCCTGGTAAGAGAGCGACTCTGTACCCCGACATTGAACTGCTTTCTGTGTCATTGCGACCTTACTATCAATTCAATTCAATTTAAGGGCTTTATTGGCATGGGAAACGTGTGTTAACATTGCCAAAGCAAGGGAAGTAGATAGTAAACAAAAGTGAAATAAACAATAAATATTAACAGTAAACATTACACTCAGAAGTTTCAAAAGAATAAAGACATTTCAAATGTCATATTATGTATATATACAGTGTTGTTACAATGTGCAAATAGTTAAAGTACAAATGGTAAAATAAATAAACATAAATATGGGTTGTATTTACAATGGTGTTTGTTCTTCACTGGTTGCCCTTTTCTTGTGGCAACAGGTCACAAATCTTGCAGCTGTGATGGCACACTGTGGTTTTTCACCCAGTAGATAAGGGAGTTTATCAAAATTGGGTTTGTTTTCGAATTCTTTGTGGATCGCTGTAATCTGAGGGAAATATGTGTCTCTAATATGGTCATACATTTGGCAGGAGGTTAGGAAGTGCAGCTCAGTTTCCACCTCATTTTGTGGGCAGTGTGCACATAGCCTGTCTTCTCTTGAGAGCCAGGTCTGCCTACGGCGGCCTTTCTCAATAGCAAGGCTATGGTCACTGAGTCTGTACATAGTCAAAGCTTTCCTTAAGTTTGGGTCAGTCACAGTGGTCAGGTATTCTGCCACTGTGTACTCTCTGTTTAGGGCCAAATAGCATTCTAGTTTGCTCTGTTTTTTTGTTTGTTCTTTCCAATGTGTCAAGTAATTCTCTTTTTGTTTTCTCATGATTTGGTTGGGTCTAATTGTGTTGTTGTTGTTGTTGTTGTTGTCCTGGGGCTGTGTGGGGTCTGTTTGTGTTTGTGAACAGAGGCCCAGGACAAGCTTACTTAGGGGACTCTTCTCCAAGTTCATCTCTCTGTAGGTGATGGCTTTGTTATGGAAGGTTTGGGAATCGCTTCCTTTTAAGTGGTTACTATCTGCCCCGTGAGTTCCCCCAATTGTTTGTTACCGTTGTGTACTGTTGATAATCACAAGTTTACTGGAGAACTGAGACCAAGTAGAGACTTTGGACAGGGTGGATATGGTATAATAAAGGCAGTTTATTCAGAGGTAAAGATATCTGGAATCGCGTGCACGGACTCGTGCACGTGTGTAGGTCACCTAAATCATCAGAAAAATTGCCCCTCCTGAGAATTTTTTCAGGAGCCGCCACTGGTCCAGAGTAACACCGAGGTCCTTCACAGTTTTATTTGAGGTTCATTGTCAGATCCGACAGCAGATATCTTTGTTTCTTGGGACCTAGAACTAGCATTTCTGTTTTGTCCAATTTTAAAAGTAAAACATTTGCTGCCATCCACTTCCTTATGTTTGAAACACAGGCTTCCAGGGCAGGGAATTTTGGGGCTTCACCATGTTTCATTGAAAACGTGTGTCGTTTGTATAGCAGTGAAAGTTGACATTATGTTTCTGAATAACATCACCAACAGGTAGCATATACACTGACTATACCAAACATTAGGAACACCTTCCTAATATTGAGTTGCACCCCTCCCCCCTTTTCCCTCAGAACAGCCTCAATTCTTAGGGGCAAGGACTCCACAAGGTGTCGAAAGCGTTCCACAGGGATGCTGGCCCATGTTGACTCCAATGCTTCCCACAGTTGTGTCAAGTTGGTTGGATGTCCTTTTGGTGGTGGACCATTCTTGATATAGACAGGAAACTGTTGAGCGTGAAAAACCCAACAGCGTTGCAGTTCTTGACACAAACCGGTATGCCTGGCACCTACTACCATACCCCGTTCAAAGGCATTTCAATCTTTTGTCTTGCCATTCACCCTCTGAATGCCACACATACACAATCCATGTCTCAATTGTCTCAAGGCTTAAAAATCCTTATTTAACCTGTCTAATCCCGTACATCTACACTGATTGAAGTGGATTCAACAAGTGACATCAATAAGGGATCATAGCTTTCACCTGGATTAACTTGGTCAGTCTATGTCATTGAAAGAGCAGGTGTTCTTAATGTTTTGTATACTCAGTGTATAGAGTAAACAATACTGGTCCTGAAACGGAACCTTGAAGAACACCGAAACTTACCATTGATTTGTCAGAGGACAAACCATCCACAGAGACAAATTGATATCTTTCCGACAGATCTAAACCAGGCAAGAACTTGTCCGCGTAGACCAATTAGGGTATCCAATCTCTCCGAAAGAATGTGGTGATTGAGGACAGATGCAGAGCCTTAGTCTTACGCCATTAAAAGGTAATTTACCACCTTCACGAGTGCAGTCTCAGTACTATGATGGGGTCTAAAACCAGACTGGAGCGTTGTGTATACATTCTTTGTCTTCAGGACGGCAGTGAGTATCTGAGCAACAGCTTTTAATTTTATTTTTTTGGAATGGGAGATTCAATACAGGCTGATTTGGCTTTTTCAGGAAAGGCTTTTTCAGGAGAGGCTTTATTACTGGCACTTTTAGTGAGTTTGGTACACATCCGGAGAATAGAGAGCCGTTTATTATGATCAACTTAGGAGGGCCAAGCACAGGAAGTAGCTCCTTCAGTAGTTTAGTTGGAATAGGGTCCAGCAGACAGCTGGAAGGTTTAGAGGCCATTACTATTTTCGTGAATGTGTCAGGATTACAAAACTCAAGTGTCTCAATTGATCTGAGGTCCTGGCAGTTCTGTGCAAACTCAGGACAACTGAGTTTTGGAGAAATACATATATTCAAAGAGGAGTCTGTAATTTGTTTTCATCAAAGATAAGTTCATGAAATCATCACTGCTGAAGTGAAGGCCATCCTCACTTCAGGATTGCTGCTCTCGCTCTCTCTCAATTCAATTCAATTCAATTTAAGGGCTTTATTGGCATAGGAAACGTATGTTAACATTGCCAAAGCAAGTGAAATAGATAATAAACAAAAGTGAAATAAACAATAAATATTAACAGTAAACCTTACACTCAGAAGTTCCAAAAGAATAAAGACATTTCAAATGTCATATTATGTATATATACAGTGTTGTAATAATGTGCAAATAGTTAAAGTACAAATATGGGTTGTATTTACAATGGTGTTTGTTCTTCACTGGTTGCCCTTTTCTTGTGGCAACAGGTCACAAATATTGCTGCTGTGATGGCACACTGTGGTATTTCACCCAGTAGATAAGGGAGTTTATCAAAATTGGGTTTGTTTTCGAATTCTTTGTGGATCTGTGTAATCTGAGGGAAATATGTGTCTCTAATATGGTCTGACATTTGGCAGGAGGTTCGGAAGTGCAGCTCAGTTTCCACCTCATTTTGTGGGCAGTGTGCACATAGCCTGTCTTCTCTTGAGAGCCAGGTCTTCCTACGGCGGCCTTTCTCTCTCTCTCTCTCCCTCTCTTTCTGACAGATGCTGTCCAAGCCTAAGTTCTAGCCTATCTCTCTCTCTCTCTCTCTCCCTCTGTCTCTGACAGCTGCTGTCCAAGACTAAGTTCTAACCTCTCTTTCTGTGTGTGATAGCTGCTGTCCAAGCCTAAATTTTAACCTCTCTCTTTCTCTTTCTCTCTCTCTCTCTGTGACAGCTGCTATCCAAGCCTAAGTTTTAACCTCTCTCTTTCTCTCTCTCTCTGTGTGACAGCTGCTGTCCAAGCCTAAATTCAGCGGGGTGGAGAAGATAAAGACTATTGGCAGCACCTACATGGCTGCTACTGGGCTCAACGCTACACCTGGACCTGAATACACACAGGTACATGACACACATACACACATCACTGTAGGGATAAGTTACCTTTCTCCTCTCTGAATGACAGCTCATAGTGTGAACTGGAGGAGATATATTTTAAACCCACAGAAATGATCAAACTCAGCTACAGCATCAACCCACCTCCAATTACAGGTGTAAAGCTGTGTGATAGTGCTAAACAACTCTCCCTCTCGCTCCTCATTATCCTTCTCTCTTGCCCTTTTCTGTCTATTTCATATCTCTCTACATTACCATTTATCTCTCCCTCTCTCTATCTCCCCCTCTTTCCCCCTCTCCCTTCTCTTCCCCCCCCCCCCCCCCCCTCTCCTTACACTCTCTTTCTCTCTCTCTCTCCTTACACTCTCTTTCTCGCTCTCTCTCAGGAGCATGACCGTCAGTACATGCACATTGGCACCATGATGGAGTTTGCCTTCGCCCTGGTCGGGAAACTAGATGTCATCAACAAACACTCCTTCAATGACTTCAGGCTACGAGTTGGTATGTGTGTGTGTGTGAGGGAGAGAGACACAAGAGAGAGAGAAGATAGAAGGAGAGAGAGAGAGAGAGAGAGAGAGAGAGAGAGAGAGAGAGAGAGAGAGAGAGATTGAGAGAGAGAGAGAGAGAGAGAGAGAGAGAGAGAGAGAGAGTACAGTCTGTCTTACATGGGACCTCAAACCCCTCTTCCTGGTTCTGTCAGGGATAAACCATGGTCCGGTGATTGCGGGGGTGATCGGAGCTCAAAAGCCTCAGTATGATATCTGGGGGAACAGTGTTAATGTGGCCAGCCGAATGGAGAGTACTGGGGTACTGGGGAAAATACAGGTAATCAATTCATACAGTTATAATACAGCTATACTAATAGTAATGCTAAAATAATACTAGCTTCATGCAGTTTTATGTTATACCACTAGGAGACGCTGCAGAAATAGGTCAAGGTTAATGAATTCAGTATACAGTTACAGAGCAGATGTTATGCAAATGTAGATATATAATAATGCAGAACTATACAGTATACTCAAAGCCATTCTTCGAGTATTGTTCTTTCCTGATTAAGTATTCAGTTATTAATATAAAATAATACATTTAACCGAGATCCTATTAAGAGTTCAATATGTAATTCTATGGAATTTTCTGCCTACATGTGATTTGTTCAGACATGCTGCTTTGTGTTTTCGCTACTTCCAGGTAACCGAGGAGACGAGTCGTATCCTGTTGACTCTGGGCTACATGTGTTCATGTCGCGGCATCATCAACGTGAAGGGGAAGGGAGATCTCAAGACCTTCTTCGTACACACAGAGATGACCAGATCGCTGTCGCAAGGGACTGTGATGCCTTGAACATCATACACTGAGCAATTCACACACACGTGCGCGCATGTGCGCACGCACAACCATACACACTAAACTGTACAAACACATGCATTTACATACACACAAATGGACTTGCACACACATCAGGGCTTGGAACCGGTTCAGGGAACCAAACCGAAAACAACTACATTTTTCAAGGAACAGAAACGGAACCAGGAACGAAAGTGATCCATACTGTTCCAGAACAAAACCGTTATTTTAAAAGCATGTTAAGCGGTTATAATGTTATTTGACGTTCCAGGCATTTTTTGCTATTCCCACTAAAAAAAACACAACAAAAGCTTTACAAGCGTGATTCAGAAGATAGGGAGAGAGATTTTTTATTAGCTATAAAATAATAGATTTAACTTTTTCAATGCTAGTTAAGGATACTATAGGCCTAGTTATCACGTTTCACGTTGGATTTATTAAACTTTACAGAAAGGTAAGACAAGTTTTTAATTCTGGTGGCACTTTGCACACACAAGCTTGTCAGCTAGCTCAGTTAGCTAGCTAGCTCAAGCTTGTTAGCTAGCTAGCTCAAAGGACATTCAATGTTCCTCCATAGAAGTCGCTCCGCCTAGGTATAATTCTGTGGACCTAATTCAGATAATGCATGTCATAACAAGATGCCCAGCGCTTCAAGCCTCCTCAACCCTATCTTGCTCTCTTCCCACCTGCAAAATTTCAGTTGTATCTTGTCTGTCCATCACGCATGTAAACAACTAGCTTGCCTGCTCTATCCGCACTGATTGGAAAAGTAATTTAACGAGCTAAATATAAACAACTGTTGATTTCACAGGTTAAAAAAGGAACTGAAAGGCACGATATCAACCTGTACTTTTTTTTGCTTCGAACCGGTTCAGAACTTTATTTTGCTGGTCAGAACAGTGGAACGGAACGAAAAAAATAGAGGTTCTGTTCAGAACGAAACGATTGGAAATTAATTTCGGTTCCAACCCGACACACATACGTGCATGCACAAATACAGCACATACACACATACAAGGACTTATACAATCACACACACAAACACATGCAAAACTGCCTGCTGTAATAGAACGTATCTATCAACAGACTCTTTGTTTACAACAGTAACTCCAGACCACTTCATCTGAGCCAGACAGAACGGCAGACAGACAACATTTAGAACAACAGACAGACAGACAGACAGACAGCTGTACATACAGTATTACCTGCATCGTCCCTCCTTAGCTAGACACAGTAGTAGCTGGACTTCATAGGGTACTGTTGTCACTAGATGCTGATCTTAGGTCAGTTTTGCATCCCCCTCCCCCTAATGGTTAAGGTTAGGATGTGTTTAGGATACGCTGATCCTAGATCTATGTGTAAGGGCAATTTCTACCTTTAGTGGATTTCATTGGCTGCCCGAGCGGTTGAGTGGTGCAGTGCAGAGACAGATATTGAGTCTGTGTCAGGATTCTAGTCGAGCCATCTTGGCACCAATAGTCCTTTCACCATTACAGTACTTTTTAGTCAGAATAGAAATAAAAATTTGGTGTCAACATGAACAATAGTTTGCCAAACCTTCTATCTCTATGGCTCTGGAGCAGAGTTTCTGTCAAGCAAAGAGCAACATACGTGGACCTCAAGAGCAGCTGGGAATCAAGATCTACTGGACTTTTGTAAGAAAACTCAAAAACGATATCAAGAACAGAAGAATGTTTCCATGTTTTGACGCCATAATTTTCTTGCTCATTAAAACCCTTTGTATATAAGTGAACCAATGTGCCTCCTGTCATTGAAAGTCGACTATTTATGATTGCATTGAAAGTTCACTAAGTAGTTTGATAAAGAGGTATTTTGATCAAATATTGTACTTTATTATGTATCTCACAAACATGTGGGCAATAATGTATACAGTTACAATCTTTGTATTTTAAAATATGTAATCTGATGTTATAATATATTTAACTATATATATATATATATATATATATATATATCTTTATTTTTTTATTTTTTATCTCTCTTTGAATATACCTCTATTTCTATAATGATCTATATCTTTAAATATCTTTACTACTCAGCACCACACTGACTGTATCAGTTGGGTGTGTTGTTGTGCCCATACATATTCACATTGATAAAACCACCACTCTCCCTCCCTCACTGCTCTCTCTCTAGTGTTGGGAATACGGTCTTCCTCACACAGGAACCACTGATCCGTATCCCTCCTCGAAATTACGTGTGATCCCGTTTTTCCTGAAGAACTCTGTGTGTATGTGAGAGATGCGGGCAAACTGCCTGCCAGGTGTGTAGAGGAGAGGAGGCAGGCGTCTGCCATACTCTGATGAGGACAAGACTGGTGCAGGTCTGGAAGACTCCTGACAGAGAAGAAAAACAGGGAATGAGGTGAGAGGGAGGAAAGGGTAATAGAGATAGGAGAAAGTGACAGAGAAAGAGGAAGATGGTGAATGAGAAAGATGGTGAATGAGAGAGAGAGAAGAAAAGGGGAAGAGAGAGCGGGTTAATCATTTAGTTGTTCAACACCTTACCAGAACACCATTACACAGCTTTACACCCATACAATGATATATATAATCTCTGTGTTTACACCTGTAATTGGAGGTCGGTTGATGCTGTAGCTGAGTTTGATCATATCTGTGGGTTTAAAATGGATTTCCTCCAGTTCACACCATGAGCTGTCACTGAGCGCAGAATTACTCTCGGAAAGGCAAGACTTAACTTTACAGAATTACTCTCAGATAGGTAAGACTTAACTTTACTGTAATTAAACCTCTCTACAGTGAGTGCAGCCCACTCACTTTACAAGTGTGTGTGTGTGTGTGTGTGTCCACTCACTTAGCTAGTCAACTTCTCCACTTTCACTGACCCAGAAACTAGACCCACCACTGGTGCTGCTTCCTACCTGACAAGCATAATTTACATTTACATTTTAGTCATTTAGCAGACGCTCTTATCCAGAGCGACTTACAGTTAGTGCATACATTATTATTTTTCATACCCCCTGTGGGAATCGAACCCACAACCCTGGCGTTGCAAACGCCATGCTCTACCAACTGAGCTACTCTAACAAAGTTTCAGCACAGCAAGTGTAGGGAAACGTCCACCTCGCTAACAACCACCAGCGGCATAGTGACAGCCAGCTGCTAGCTGTATTTACTCCCATAACCACCTGTTCACCTACCTACGCACTTTCCGGCTAGCGCAGATGCTGCCACACCTGCTTCGGGTCAAACAGACTGTCAACTGGGAAAATGTTGGACTAGTTTCATGAAACTACAGCTAGATTTGGTCTGGTTTAATAACAGGCTATTCAAATGTAGCTGATAGGAATTGTCATAGGCAGAGATCTAGGGACTTAAAATCAAATCAAATCAAATTTTATTGGTCACATACACGTGTTTAGAAGATAGTCCCCTGTAGCTCAGTTGGTAGAGCATGGCGCTTGCAACGCCAGGGTTGTGGGTTCGTTTCCCACAGGGGGCCAGTATGAAAAATGTATGCACTCACTAACTGTAAGTCGCTCTGGATAAGAGCGTCTGCTAAGTGATTCAAATGTAAAATGTAATGTTATTGCGGGTGTAGCGAAACGCTTGTGTTTCTAGCTCTGACAGTGCGGTATATCTAACAAGTAATATCTAACAATTTCACAACATATACCCAATACACACAAATCTAAATAAAGCAATGGAATTAAGAATATATAAATAAATATATGGACGAGCAATGTCAGAGCGGCATAGACTAAGATACAGTTGAATAGTATAATATACAGTATATACATATGAGATGAGTAATGCAAGATATGTCAACATTATTAAAGTGACTAGTGTTCCATTTATTAAAGTGGCCAGTGATTTCTAATCTATGTATATAGGCAGCTGCCTCTAATGTGCTAGTGAACTTGAACCAATAACTCTGTCATTTTAGAGTGAGTGCACTAACACCTGTGCCATAAAGGTTCAAACCCCTTGGTATAGATAGGCTAGTTATAGCACACTATGGTTTAAGTACACATCATAATGGTGGTCATAATAACCGTATCAGGGCATACAGGGAGGCTGCTACACCACCTTGCCCTCCCCAAATCTTAACACCACCTACTTAGATCAGCGCAGGAGCAACAGGTGTTACTGTACAGATGCCGTATCTTAATTTGACCCACTTTCTCACAGCAGGAAAATAATCCTGCAGCAACAGGTAATGTGAATTATTCCATTAAATTGAGATTTTTTGTAGGGGTTGATACATTTTTCGTTAGGGCAAATTAAGTCTGAAATGTTAAAGTGGAAATTACAAACTTTAGAATACTTTTTAAACCTTGAATACACTACAAGTTTGCATTTCCTGCTGTGCAGGTAAATTCCTGCAAAAACAGGATGATCAAATTAAGATATGGCATCTGTAGCTAGCTAGTTACCTCAGAGTACAAGTCTAGTCCCCTGCTGTTGGAGTGTTCTCTATCATCGCGGTGTAGTTTGCTGTCATAGCCTTCCGCCCGCCGGTATATGCAGTCGTATAAGGATACCTCCCGTGCCTATGGATTATTGGATAAGAAAAATCCATTATAGGTTGCTGTGTGTGTGTGTGTGTGTGTGTGAGAGTGGGGGTGAGGGAGTAGTCTTGAAAACCCGACCCTAGGTTGGGTTTTCAGGTCGGTTTTTCAAGACTAGTCAGGAAGAGAGAGGGAAAGGTGAAGGGAGAGAGAGCCCAGCTAGAACATAACGTTCTGAGAACCATATGTTTCTTAAAGCTTGGTGAGAGCGTGGTTGTCCTATGGTTATTTTGCATACAACCTTCCCACAACATTCTGGGAATGGTGCAGGATAGTTGCTTTGCTTTGGAACATCCTCAGCACATTTAAGTAACTTGACAATATACTGTAATTTTCTTGAAATTGTTCAGAGAACGTTAAGAAACAACGTTCGTCTGTGTGAATTTCAGTACATTTTACATTTACATTTTAGTCATTTAGCAGACGCTCTTATCCAGAGCGACTTACATGAGCAATTAGGGTTAAGTGCCTTGCTTAAGGGCACATCGACAGATTTTTCACCTAGTCGGCTCGGGGATTAGAACCAGCAACCTTTCGGTTACTGGCACAACGCTCTTACCCACTAAGCTACCTGCCGCCCTGTACATCAGCATAACGTTTCCTACAGGTTTACTCATGGTTCTAGTTAAATTTATGTTCTCATTCATATTCTTAGAAACAACGTTCTTCTGTGGGAACTTTCAATAAAAACCACAAGAAAACATTAGTAACGTCAAAGAACATTCTAAGAATGTTCTGAGAATATTATTTTAAAACATATACGTAACAGGATGTTGGTTGCACCTTAATTGGGGAGGACGGGATCATGGTAATGGCTGGAGCGGAATTTGTGGAATGGTATCAAATACATCAAACACATGGTTTCCATGTATTTGATGATGTTCTATCTGCTCCGTTCCAGCCATTATTATGAGCCGTCCTCCCCTCAGCAGCATCCACTGGTATACATTCTGTTCTCAGCGTCAACAAAACTCTCTCTATCCTCCATCTTGTTAAGTGTGTTCAGGTGTGTTGGCCGCACTCACTAATTGGCCACACCTGTTCTTAATGAGTTCTTGTTTCCTTTGAAATGGGGTGTGTATGATTACACTAAAATGCTTTGGTTACGTTCGTAAATTCACTCTGGCTATCTACTCCAATTTCAGAGCACTCTTGTCTGAGTGTGCCAGAGCGCAGAATAACTGATGAATTTACGAACGCGCAACACCCATTGAATATGACCGGTGTCAGTAAACGTTGGCAAAAAAAACGTAATTAAATTGTTGCCAGCACCACAGTTACAGTCACTAACACCCTAGATAACATGAAAACAGCCTAACTATCTCTGCTAGGGCGAGTAAAATCGTCAGAGTGAGGTGTTCTCTCATTTGTGCCAGTTAGGTTGGGTGCTTGACTGCCGCTGTGAGGTCAGAACGCTTGGATCAACCCTACTCCTAGGCCAGAGTGTCCAGTGTGCGCTCTGAACATCCAAGAGAGAAACGCTCTGAAGATTGACAGACAATCTGACAACTCTGAACTTAAGAATGACCCAGAAAGCACTCTGACACACTTGAAGTAATTTACGAATGCACCATTTGTGCGAGTTTAAAAAAAACATTGCATGCTATCTCCATCCTGGTGGCGCAGTGGACAAATTCCATGAACAGAAAACAGAAGCTCATACTGTAGGTTTGAAGCTCACATGCCACAATAAAAATAAAAATAAATTTAAATGTGTTTGCATGATTAATGCTTAAGCAAATGAATTTCCATGTGTCCTATCTGTGCTTGGAGTTCAACACTTCCAGGGAATAATAGTAAAACGTTCTCATAACCTCCCTGCAACCTAAAATTAACGTTCCCAGAACAGACTACATTTTCAGTTCCATTCTCAGTCAGGAAATGTATGGCTTTGTTCCCAGAACCAATTGGAAACAAAAAACGTACATTCCCACAACTTCTAAGGAACCAAATGTGCTAGCTGGGAGAAAAGAGAGGGGGAGAGAGACAAAGGGGTTAGGGAGTGAAAGAGAAAAGTTGAGAGGGACACACACACACAGGGAGAGAGAGAGAGAGAGAGAGAGAGAGAGAGAGAGAGAGAGAGAGAGAGAGAGAGAGTGCGAGAGACCGAAAGAGAGAGAGAAATATATGTTTTCTAGCTAGCTAGCCGTTAGCAAACGTTAGCTAGCAAGTAGTAACCATCCAAACCTTGGAGTCACTGTTATAATAGGTCCTCTCTTTTGGTTCAGTTCGTCTTGGTGGAATGTAACTATACACAGATATAGTCGAAACTGGTTTTGTTTTCGACTCAAGTAACACATCCATCCTATAGCTATCTATGTCTAAAAAACAACGAACTTTCTACAGCTAAAACTAGCTTAGCTAGCTAAACAAAAAAAAACTACAAGTGGCGTCTATGGTTGCTATGATACTAATCCAGCGCTACTGCGCACTAGGAACACACATCTCTGTATGCCCCTAGACTGTGCAGCCACCCTTTTACCGCTAGAGGGCTGTATCTGAATAATATAAATTAATATTTTCTTCTCAACTCCATCTGCATTTAATAAATCAGAGAACTAGTTAGTTGAAAGCAACATGGTTGTATATGCACCTTTACAAAATACCCATGAAAATGCATTACACACTAACTGATATTAGGCATATACCAAATCTTCAAAAACTAAAATAGACAGTATAGGTCGCTGGTTCGAATCCCCGAGTTGGCAAGGTGGAAAAACCTGCCGTTCTGCCTTTGAGCAAGGCATTTAACCCCCAGCAACAGCTACTCCCCGGGTGCCAATGATGTGAATGTCGATTAAGGCAGCTCCCTGCACCTCTCTGATTCAGAGGGGTTGGGTTAAATGCGGAAGACACATTTCGGTTGAATGCATTCAGTTGTCCAACTGACTAGGTATCCCCTTTCCCCCTAATGCCACCAAATAGTGCAGTGCTAAATGGGTTTGATGATGAGATACCATAATGACCAGTCCTCTCCTCTGCCTGTTCCACTGCTTTGTGCCAGCAGTCTGTCTGACTAATGTGTGGTCAGCTCACCTTGGCTCTGAATGCTAGTGGAACTGGTGTCACATGTGGCTGGTGGCACCTTAATTGGGGAGGCTCATAGTAATGGCTGGAATGGAATGAATGTGTTTGATACCACTCCATTCACTCCATTCCAGCTATTATTATGAGCCGTTCTCCCCTCACCAGCCTCCTGTGGTGTGAGTGTGCGTGCATGTGTGTGTGTTCCAGTGTTTTCCAGCCCTGCGGGAGAGTACAGATCAGAGTCACATCAATACCATCACCCTCTGTCACCTCTCCTATAAAGACTGCTGTAGGATGGAGAGCAACACAGCTGCTGCTTCTGTTGCTGTGTGTGTGTGTGTGTGTGTGTGTGTGTGTGTGTGTGTGTGTGTGTGTGTGTGTATGTGTCAGCCCCTGGGTGTAATAATACAATGAATGGTCAGGTTGGCTGCCCTGTATGGTGGGACCCATCAGAGTGGTGTGGGAGTTCTAACCACTTCACCTGGTGTGACAGGAGCAATATTGGAAAGCCTAGTTATTCCTAACAACTCACAGTGATGGCTCTGCACACACACGCACGCACACACACACACACACACACATGGGCGCACATAAGCAAATGTGATAACGCCCTTTAACTTTTTACTGCAGTGGGCTAAATCAGAGTCACACAGAGTGTTTCTTGGTAGTCTTAAACACATCTACTTTGAAACCAAAGTATACACCTCACACACATGGTTATGGGCTTAAAAAAAGAAGACCTGTACAATGTCAGATATAGAGTTGAAATGTATTCAATTTGGAGTTTGCAACCCATTATTATACCTTATACACATCACAGAAGACTGATATATAACAAAACCAGATTTTTGGCTGTTTTTTTTCAATAATGTGTATTCATTATGAAATTCTGAAAAATATTAATAACATTCCACCCATGAGGCCACTAGTCATTTGACTGCAGGAAAGGGCTACGAAAGTGTGAAAAACATGGGCATACACACATACACAGACGTCTCTCTCTCTCTCTCTCTCTCTCTCCCTCGCACACTCTCTCTCTCTCTCTCGCACTCTCTCTCTCTCTCTCTCTCTCGCACTCTCTCTCTCTCTCGCACTCTCTCTCTCTCTCTCCACCTGCTGTTGTTATTCTCTCTGTCTACCATAATTACAGAGGAACAGCAGGAGATAGCCCAATAAAAGACTCACACTGTGCAGCGAGCTGGGCTGGAGTATCACACACACACACACACAGACTCTGGAGGAGAGAGCCAAGGAGTGAGAAAGAGAGAGAGGAAAGAAAGGAAGATAAATCTTCTTTCTTATCATTCAGCGAGACCCCTAAGACGATAAACTCCCAGGTTCCCACTAAGAGTCCCGACAAACGGTGATGCACCGACTGGCAGTTTTACAGACGTCTGGCTGTTTCATAAGCCCATGAAAGACAGCATACACCTGTATGAGCGGAGTCTATCTTATGAGAGAGGGAAAGAAAGAGATGAAGGAGAGTGAAGATAGAATGGAGGGGGGAGAGGAAGAAGCAAGAGGGAGAAAGACTGGAGAGAAGAGGAGAGAAGGATGGGTGAAGGGGTGAGAAAGATATGGGGAAAGAGAGAGGGAGAGAGAGAGACCTGCTTTCTTTCATTAGTTTCAGTCACTGTGTTCTCTGCCCAGTATAAACCCAGGAGTAATCCAGTTATGGGTCTGACATTTGAGAGGGAGATGGTGATGTTTAGTTAGTTTCTCTCTCTCTCGCTCTCTCTGTGGGAGGGGAGCACCTGAGGGTTCAGGTCATTAAGTTCTCTCCTGTCACGCACACACACACACACACACACACACACACACACACACACGTCAAATTCACAATGACATGACATTAATCCACAAATGCATCCGTTTCTTGCACTTCTGAGAAGAGCATTGATTCAGTGTGGTTAGTGTTCCCTCTGCTGGCTGCTTTCTGTAGTGCATGTGGTCCTCTGTAGCTCAATTGGTAGAGCATGGCGCTTGTGGGACCACCCAAACGTAAAAATTTATGCACACATGACTGTAAGTCGCTTTGGATAAAAGCATCTGCTAAATGGCATATTATTATTATGTATCAGGTCCATTCACTAGTCCACTGCAGGGTTTCCCAAACTCGGGGGGGGGCGTGGGCTCAGAACCGACCTTGGGAAACCCTGGTCTACTATACTGATAATCAAGGCAGGTTTATTGGTTAATTAATAAATCGAAAGGAGCTGATCGTGGACTACAAGAAACAGAGGGCAGAGCACGCCCCCATCCACATCGACAGGGCTGTAGTAGAGCAGGTCAAGAGCGTCAAGTTCCTCGATGTCCACATCACTTAGGAATTATTATGGTCCACACACACCAACACAGTCGTGAAGAGGGCATGACAACGCCTCTTCCCACTCAGGTGGCTGAAAAGATTTGGCATGAGCCCTCAGATCCTCAAAAAGTTATACAGCTGCACCATTGAGAGCATCTTGACTGGCTGCATCACCGCTTGGTATGGCAACTGCTCGGCATCCGACCGCAAGGCGCTACAGAGGGTAGTGCGTATGGCCCAGTACATCACTCTTTTGACTCATCACATACGCTGCCGTTACTGTTCATTATCTATCCTGTTGTTGCCTAGTCACTTTATCCCTACCTATATGTACATGTACATCTACCTCGTACCCCTGCACATTGACTCGGTACTGGTACCCCGTGTATGTAATAATTTGCCATTTAGCAGACGCTTTTATCCAAAGAGACTTACAGTCATGGTCCCGGGGACCGAACCCACTACCCTGGCGTTACAAGCGCCATGCTCTTCCAATTGAGCTACAGGGGACCACATTTATAGCCAAGTTATCTTTATTCATTGTGTATTTATTCCTTGTGTTATTATTTTTCTATTATTTATATATTTTTCTCTCTGCATTGTTGGGAAGGGCCTGTAAGTAAGCATTTCACACCTGTTGTTTACGAAGCATGTGACAAATAAAATTTGATTTGAATTTAAATCACCCAGGATGCAATGCAGAAAATGTTTAACTTGTAGTGTATTTGAGTTCTAACTTTGAAATGTCAGACTTGATCTTTGAAATGTCAGACTTGATCTTCCCTTAAAACAAATTCTAATCCACATAATAATTCACATTTCCTGTTGCTGCAGGATTATTTTCCTGCTGTAGCAAACTGGCTCAAATTAAATTACATCAGTAGCATGTAATTTCAGCCATTAACCTTCCTATGCAATGATTCATTCTAAACATTTTACAGGTATTCCTATAATTTATCACTGTGCAAAAATGATGGGCTCTCATTGCTAGTGTATTCCCTAAAACATAAATTAAGTCTTAAAGGAGATGGGCCATTTCAATAAAAACTCTAGGGTATATGCTGTAATGAATAATAAATGCTATTAGAGAAAAGAACACACTGCGTCATGTTCATTAGGCACCAAATGGACGAAAATTGACTGAAAAAGAGAGGGACAACCAGGGACTTTTCCAATAAGAAACACTCATTTTCGTTTTCTGTTGCAAAATGTTTTTAAATGCTTCCAATTTTGTGCCCTAATAAACACGACCCAGATAGTTCTACCCCTTGTAGAGAAGATGGTGGGCCTAATGTCATAAAGAAACTTAATCAAACCATCTTCATGAATCTATTAAACTAAAGGTCAAATTAGCATTTAAACTTCGGTTTACGAGTGGCTGTTAAGGTAATGGATAAATCAAACAAATTAATGAAATATCTTTTTTATTTTATTTTTCTGTAGTTTTGGGTGAAATTGTCCTCAGTTCTGTTCAACACACTCCCTGCACACTAGTCTGAGCACAGTTGTTTGATATGGCGTTTGTTGTAGTGTGTGTGTGTGTGAATGTGTCCGTGTGTCTGTGTGTGTGTGTGTGTGTCTGTGTGCGTGTGTGTATCCACTACCAAAATCACCATGAGTTTGCCTAATCTTGACAACATCCACTTGATGTAATAGGAAAGAAAACAGTAATCACTTCACTAAAATCACTACATGTTATATTACAAAACAAAACACTCTGGATTACCAGGTACAAACAGACCCACATGTACTGTAGGCCCTAATCTATAAACAGGATAATCCACAGACAATCTGCGGTCCCGTGTAGCTCAGTTGGTAGAGCATGGCGTTTGCAACGCCAGGGTTGTGGGTTCGATTCCCACGGGGGGCCAGTATGAAACATTTAAATAATGTATGCACTCACTAACTGTAAGTTGCTCTGGATAAGAGTGTCTGCTAAATGACGTAAATGTAATGCACAAAGTATCAGGATGACCACTACACTGGCACAGCTAGACTAAGTGACTTGAAATCTTTGTTGACGGTGACTCAATTCAAGGCCTGCATTAAAATTGAATTTATGTAAAAGTTGCAGAAAACTGTGCCTGTTGTCCAGTTAATCCTGGCTATACATTTTAATGCATTATGAACTGTCACACTTTGCTTACACAAACTTAATAACCTTTTACTGCAGTGGGATAAATCAGGGTCACACAGTGTTTCTTGGTAGTCTTAAACAAATCTACTTTGAAACAAACGTGTACACCTCCAACACATGGTTATGGGTTTAAAAAAAAGAAGACACCTGTACCATGTCAGATATAGAGTTGACATTTATTACATTTTGAGTTTTAGGTTATTGTCCTGCTGAAAGGTGAATTTGTCTCCCTGTGTCTGTTGGAAAGCAGACTGAACCAGGTTTTCCTCTATGATTTTGCCTTTGCTTAGCTCTATTCCGTTTATTTTTATCATTAAAAAAAACCCCAGTCCTTGCCGATGACTAGCATACCCATAACATGATGCAGCCACCACCATGCTTGAAAATATGAAGAGTGGTACTCAGTGATGTGTTGTGTTGGATTTGCCCCAAACATAACGCTTTGTACTCAGGAAATAAAGTTCATTTCTTTGCCACATTTTTTGCAGTTTTACTTTAGTGCCTTAATGCAAACAGGATGCATGTTTTGGAATATTTTTATTCTGTACAGGCTTCCTTCTTTTCACTCTGTCACTTAGGTCACTTTTCACTCTGTCACTTAGTATTGTGGAGTAACTACAATATTGTTGATCCATCCTCAGTTATCTCCTATCACAGCCATTAAACTCTGTAACTGTTTTAAAACCACCATTGGCCTCATGGTGAAATCCCTGAGCTGTTTATTTTCTCTCCGGCAACTGAGTTAGGAAGGACGCCTGTATCTTTTTAGTGACTGGGTGTATTGATACACCATCCAAAGTGTAATTAATAACTTCACCATGCTCAAAGGGATATTAAATCACTGCTTTTTTTTTTTTTTTACTCATCTACAAGTAGGTGCCCTTCTTTACGGGGCATTGGAAAACTTCCCAGGTCTTTGTGGTTGCATCTGTGTTTTAAATTCACTGCTCGACTGAGGGACCTTACAGATAATTGCATGTGTGGGGTAGTCATTCAAAAATCACATTAAACACTATTATCATGCAACTTATTATGTGACTTGTTAAGCAAATTTCTACTCCGGAACTTATTTAGGCTTGCCATAACAATGCGGTTGAATACTTATTGACTCAAAAGGCAGGTAGCTTAGTGGTTAAGAGCGTTGTGCCAGTAACCGAAATGTCACTGGTTCTAATCCCCGAGCCGACTAGGTGAAAAATCTGTCGATGTGCCCTTGAGCAAGGCACTTAACCCTACTTGCTCCTGTAAGTCGCTCTGGATAAGAGCGTCTGCTAAATGACGTAAATGTCAAGACATTTCAGCTTTTCTTTTTTAATTAATTTGAAATGTATATATAAACATAATTCCACTTTGACATTATGGGGTATTGTGTGGGCCAGTGACAAAAAAAACAACTATATTTAATCCATTTTAAATTCAGACTGTAACACAACAAAATGTGGAAAATGTCAAGGGGTGTGAATACTTTCTGAAGGCACTGAGCCATGACTAGAATACAGTAAGAAGTGGGTAAAACAGTATATAAACATTATTAAATTAACTAGTGTTCAATGACCATGTTCATAGGACAGCAGTCTCTAAGGTGAAGGGTAGAGTACCAGGTGGTTACCGTCTAGTAACAGTGACTAAGTTTCAGGGCAGGGTACTGGGCGGGGCCGGATAGTGGTTACTGTTTAACAGTCTGATGGCCTAAAGGAATCCTGCAGAGAGTAGGCTAGTTAATGTAGATCTATGATATTCTTGTAGTTGTCTGTAGGGTCTTCAGTAGGCCTATCAAATTATTATTGGTTAGGCTACACACTGACCAAATCAGAATTAGTTTATTCTGCAACCTGACATTTGTATTTGAGAGAATCAGATCAACAACCAACACATGCATTGTGTATGTGCAATATTCATGTTTACCTTGTAGGCCGATATGCACAGTGCACATTGATGTAAAAAGGCACAAATCACTGTCATGCTCATTAATGATTCACAGACACTGCAGTCGTCGCGGGTCAACGCGAGCTCGCCCGTCCTCTGTCTCCACGTTTCCGAAGGCTCTCGGAGATTCACCGAACAGAGACCCAGCCCTTCCCGATTTCCGTGCCCCTCTGCCCCAACCCCTCCCGTCTACAACGACTCCCCTTTCGGCTCGACTCGGAGGAGGAACCCGGCGGCAGCCCAGCTGTGCATTTGTAGCTATTACCCAAGATGGAGGTTTGCTGATGGCACTAGCATCTAGGAGCGATCCTGCCCGTCCCTGTGTCTTGGCCGACGCTTTTCCGAAAGGGAACATATTTTTTTCCTTGATAACGTTGGCAGGAAAAAGGCCCACCGCATTGGGAATTTAGTTGGGCCACCATCATGAGCTCTGGGGAAGGAGCGGAGGAGACGTCAAAGGACGCGGCCGATATAGCGGCGTTCTTTAAATCTGGTAAGTCCGAAAACGAACAGGTCTGGGAGAGCAAAAGAGCTGGCCCGTCAAGGCGACATGAGAGGGACATTGTTCCCGATTGAGCACTGTATTTTCGGGATTGGTGGGGGGAGGTTTTCAACTAAACATTCGCCCAGGTGTCGTTGCTCATTTGTAGAAGCAACAATGGATCATAGGTGGGTGGCTGTTATGCAGAAATAATGGTGAGAGCTGTCGTGCATTTGTTACACAGTCATTAACATGTAACTAACCATGTCATCCAGGTAGGAGAACTCGCGACTCCCGTAGCAGCCCCACTCCCCACATAGTCCACAGACACATGCTAACTAACCTTTGATTAGCTTTATAACCGACTGCACACCGACATTAGCTAACTATCGTGGTTACGTTTGGCATATGCAAAGAAATCACATTAAATTGATAGCTAAGAGATTTACTACAATTTACGACAGGTGCGCGAGCTATCAAGCTAGCTAGTTAGCCAGCTAATTAGATAGCCAATGGACTGGGAAATCAAACAGCACACTGTCAGATTGCTAGCGAATTTTAGAAAGATTTCATGGAAACAGCTCAACAATAGAGTTTATTGTTAAGTAAAACATGTAATTTACTAATCGTTTCCGTGCTGTTAAAATAGGACACAATCCGAGCGTGCTAGCTATGTAAACAATACCGTGGCGTGGCATGCATTCTTGGTCTCTGGACTGTGGCTAGGTTAGCTAGCTAGCTGTAATGTTCCCCCTATGTCCCTAAGGCATATGATGCATGAATTTGATTGTGATTTACTTTGCAATGCATACATCAGTTCAGATAACAGACTATTTGCTAAATTAGTAACGTTAGTGACCGCACAATGTGTGAATACAAAAGATGATCATAGCCATTTTCTCGGCTAACGTTAGTCATGCTAGCTAGCTGACTGAGCAATGTGCAATCATAATTTCTGGGCCTATCCTGATTCAGTAGATAGATAACATTACTAGCTCGTTAACTCGTACGTGGATATGGAGGCTCCTAGTCTGACATTTTTCCATTTCCATTCCATTATCCCATTTCAGGCAATGATTTCTGTGCCTTGAATAATGAGCTCATTTTGACTCAAGGTTATCATCAGATGTAGCAATGTTTCATTCCTAGTATGATTTTGATACAACAACCATATGCTGAAAATTAAATGGGACTTAGTTGTTCTTATCATTATAGCTGGATAGTTTCATAGATGGGTTCAATCTATTGGTGGTGCATAGGCGCTAAACCACCATTGTAAAAAATCAATTAATTATAATAATCAAAGGGTGGCAATTGGGTTGATGGGAGGGTGACATTAAACTTGTTTGTGTGTGTGTGTGTGTTCGACGGCTTCACTGGTCAGTCTAAACCTCAGTGCAGGAGAAGGAGACGATGTGAGGAAGCAACTGTAGACTATTGAGACACAGCCTTTGACTCCACTTTGGCTATGTCTATAGATAATAACCCACATGGGAAGTGCTGTATGTGCATTATGGCTGCAGTTAGTTCTTCTGTGATGATGGCTCCAGTTGTCCTGCTCTGAGGGAAACATATTAGACCCTAAAATGTATATCTGGACCTCGAAGCCAGTTCCATTGCTTTTTATAATTCTTCCCCTCTAAAAGGGGACATATTTACACCTGGGACACCAGGTGGAGGCAATTAATTATCAGGTAGAACAGAAAACCAGGAGTACTCTGGACCTCATAGGGTAAGATTGGGATGACCTCGTAATAGACACTCCCAGTCTACAACCACATCCGATTTTAAGCACTAGCCAGGGTTCTTCAATTCCGGTCCTGGAGGGCCGAAACACGTCTGTTTTTTATTTCTACCTGGTAGTTAATTGCACTCACCTGGTGTCCCAGGTCTGAATTAGCCCCTGATTAGAAGGAGAGGATGAAAAACAGAGGTGTTTCGGCCTTCCAGGACCGGAATTGAAGAACCCTGCACTAGACTAACCCTTAACCTTAACCAGTAACCAAACATTTACCCAAACCCTTCCCCCTATTTATTCTGAGTTGTAGTCCCCTGTAGCTCAGTTGGTAGAGCATGGCGCTTGCAACGCCAGGGTTGTGGGTTCGTTTCCCACGGGGGGCCAGTATGAAAATGTATGCCCTCACTAACTGTAAGTCGCTCTGGATAAGAGTATCTGCTAAATGACTAAAATGTAAAATGTTGTAGTGAGATTTGTTAAAATGTTCATTTGTGATTCTTGTTCCTTTGGCTTTTTGTCTGTCCCAGGTGTTTTGGCTCTCTCCAGTAGAAGTTACCCGTAGGCACATATCTAAGATCAGCTTACCTTCCCTAAAGCTTTCCCCAACTTTAGAGGACAAAACTCTAAACTGACCTTAGATCAGTCTCTAGTTTCATCCTTTGTAGCTGGATTATTATGGGTTATTATTATGGGGTGTCATTGCAGTGTTTTGACACCCCTGTGAGAGTGCTTGGCAACCAGCAGAGCTGTGCCCTGTTATCACTGCAGGCAACAAAGCTCTGATTGACAGCTGAGCTCAGGTTGAGTCGTGTGTGTGCATCTGTGTGTGTGCATCTCTGTAGGTCTGTTTGTGTGTGAGTGTGCATGCATGCGCATTGGAGCTGGAGTAGACTCAAGCCTTCTCACTCTACAGTTCTCTCTTCAATCATCTCTGTAATCAAAAAGCTCTCAATGCAGAATTAGACGTTAATCTACATTCTCCAAACATCATATTTCGAAGTTGCTCCAAACATCACATTTTGAAATGTTTTTGTTGCTTCTGCTGCTCTATCGTTCCCTTTCTCCAAACATCAAATCGAAGTTAAGGGTTAAGTTTAGGCACGCATTCTGAATGGTTAAGGTTTGGGATAGGCACAAAAAAAAGACACTGATCCAGAGTCATGGGATTACGCCCATCCTGGACCCCGTCCACAACGCCCTAGCAAAACCCAAGCCTACTTGATGGTAATGGAACTCACTATTGCCCCCCCCCCCCCCCCCCCCAGTGGCCGGTTTTGAAGGCATTTCCCAACGTCCTAAGGACATGGATAGATAGACCAGGCCCCCAATGTCCGGTCTGGAGCGTGAAGTCACAAGCTCTGCTGGTCGGCTACTGCGTAGCAACCTAGCGGTGCCAAAAGCTCTGGTCTGCCCTAGAAAGCCTATGTCAATTACTATCGGCAGAAACGGTCTCCCCCAAAAATGTAGACGTCCATTTTGGTCTCTAAAATTAGGTTATTAGGATCCAGTTCGATCCCCATGGGTAATTATTTTAAAGTTCGCTACAAACCGAGATATTGAATTAAATAGTGATCCATTCTTACTACTACATTAGTCACACAGGACCATGTGCTGACATAGACCAATCACGGGCCGGCAGGCAACGAGGAGGCTCGCACCCTCATGCACGCTCTTTGCTCGTGTCTCTCAGGCAGGATTAAAACGACTACATCGAACATGATCCTTTGCTAGTTACGGCCACTTTCACCTTGATCCTTAGCGATTTATTTGGTGCAGTTCAGCACCATTCAGCAATATGGCGCACTACAAATACTTCCTGCTTCATGCGCCATCTGAAGTTTTCCATAAGAATACGTGGATGATATCCGCGCTATCATTATCTACTGGTTTGAATGTCTATGGGATAGACGTCCAATTTTGATTGGAAATCCGCAGTGATACTAGCATCATCACTACGGGAACAATATCTCTAGCGAAGTGAAACAAGGAATTGTGTACTATTCTGAAGTCCTCATCTGAGTTAATAATAAAAATAATAGGCATAGACTCAAGCCTTCTCCCTCCAGGATCAGAGTTGCTGTAGACTGTAGGCTAGGCTATAGTTGTTAGTTTGAGTGTTACACTTCTTTGTTTTCCCTCTCACATTCCCCTGTATATCACCTCCTAGCCATGTTCTAACATGTACAGGTTTAGCACCTACCTGCCTAACCGTGTTCTAACATGTACAGGTTTAGCACCTACCTGCCTAGCCGTGTTCTAACATGTACAGGTTTAGCACCTACCTGCCTAGCCGTGTTCTAACATGTACAGGTTTAGCACCTACCTGCCTAGCTGTGTTCTAACATGTACAGGTTTAGCACCTACCTGCCTAGCTGTGTTCTAACATGTACAGGTTTAGCACCTACCTGCCTAGCTGTGTTCTAACATGTACAGGTTTAGCACCTACCTGCCTAGCTGTGTTCTAACATGTACAGGTTTAGCACCTACCTGCCTAGCCGTGTTCTAACATGTACAGGTTTAGCACCTACCTACCTAGCCGTGTTCTAACATGTACAGGTTTAGCACCTACCTGCCTAGCCGTGTTCTAACATGTACAGGTTTAGCACCTACCTGCCTAGCTGTGTTCTAACATGTACAGGTTTAGCACCTACCTGCCTAGCCGTGTTCTAACATGTACAGGTTTAGCACCTACCTACCTAGCCGTGTTCTAACATGTACAGGTTTAGCACCTACCTGCCTAGCCGTGTTCTAACATGTACAGGTTTAGCACCTACCTGCCTAGCTGTGTTCTAACATGTACAGGTTTAGCACCTACCTGCCTAGCCGTGTTCTAACATGTACAGGTTTAGCACCTACCTGCCTTGCCATGTTTTTCTCTTGCTCGGTTTGTCTCATTCTCTCATCCTGTTTCACTCTTGTTGTCTTACTGTTGTTCTGTCGCTCATTTATGTCTTTCTCTCTGTCCCCTTACTCTCACTCTCTCTCATTCTGTCTCTTTTATCGCCCCTCTCTCTCCCTCTTCCTTGTTTCAGACGTTGTGAGGATCCAGACTGTGTAAAAACACTAAACCGTCCCAGACTTTTGTTCATAATAGTTGTACAAGAATTTGTGAAGGAAAATAGTTATCGTTGATCTGTGAATGGATGATCTCAGCACACCCACTTACCTCTAAACACTGAGCTATAGGAGCAAAGCTACAACCAGGATTATGAGATGTCTCATAGCTACATAACTAGGCCTATCCATGGCTATGCCTATAACATGATTATAACATAACAGGGTGACTATAAATGCAATATCACCTTACCGTTTTAGACCAAAGACGATGTAATAGTCATGACGTTATAATGCAAATAATTCACCTTTACCGTATTTAGCCCATAACACGACTGTAATATGGTCATGACATGATTATAACATAACTAACTACCCCTTTCTCTCTCTCTCTGTCTTTCTCTCTCTCTCTCTCTCTCTCTCTCTCTCTCCTCTCTCTCTCTCTCTCTCTCTCTCTCTCTCTCTCTCTCTCTCGCTCTTCTCTCTCTTTCTGTCTCTCTCCCATCTCGCTCTTCCCAGCATGAGAGACTGAGCCAGAGCTCAAATTCTCCCCAAGCCCACACCAATTAACATTCACGCCAGAGAAGTTAGTGAACGAGAAAGAAATGGTGAAAGTGGGACGACCTCCTTTTGAACACATGGAGGGGTGAGAGAAAGAAGGTCTGTGTGTTTGTGTGTGTGTGATACCAGTATGTGTGTGTGATACCAGTATGTGTGTGCGATACCAGTATGTGTGTGCGATACCAGTATGTGTGTGCGATACCAGTATGTGTGTGTGATACCAGTATGTGTGTGTGATACCAGTATGTGTGTGTGATGCCAGTTTAGAACAATGGTTCCCAACCAGGGGTACTAGAACCCCTCGGGTACTTGGCCTATCCACAGGGGGTACTTGAGAAGACCAATGAGACCAAAGGCTTACTGGTAAAATGCACATGAGGGGGTACTTCAAGGGTACTCCGGGCAGAGCAAAATTCAGTTAGTGGTACAGTATGAATGATGCTACACAACAATCTAATGGAATGTATTGATTAGTTGCTTGATTGATAGATTGATGAACAGAGTAGTTGAAATACAATGACACCTGCCTGCATGTTAATAGCCTGAGAGGATCCAGATCTGCTTCTGTAGATCATATTGCCTCAGCTTAATCAGGACTGTACACACCCAGTATAAGTATATGACTGTACACTCTCACTATCACACTTTATCAGCTGACCTGCGTCCTTATCTGGTTCCTGGGTGGTGAGGCAATTGTGTGTGTGTTAATGTCAGTAAGGCAGGTCAGTATCACAGAAATAGAATAGAACGGGCTTGGAACCTCTAACCCTGGCAATTTGAATTGTAAACTCATGGGTACACTCGCAATGACTGCCTGGTATTGTGATGCAATAATTTCCATGGTAATGTAGAATCTTCATTCAAATTATGTTAACTGATGCAATGGAATGTATTGTTTGTAATGTTGATTCAACAAAGTACAGCACAGATTGATGGGTACACTTCCTGCTTTTACTTCCTGCTTTGCTCCCATGGGTACACCTGCCAGTCCACCCATTATACATTTACGTCATTTAGCAGACGCTCTTATCCAGAGCGACTTAAAGTTAGTGAGTGCATACATTATTTTTTATTTTTCATACTGGCCCCCGTGGGAAGCGAACCCACAACCCTGGCGTTGCAAACGCCATGCTCTACTAACTGAGCTACATCCCTGCCGGCTATTCCCTCCCCTACCCTGGACGATGCTGGGCCAATTGTGCACCGCCCCATGGGTCTCCCGGTCGCGGCCGGCTACGACAGAGCCTGGATTCGAACCAGGATCTCTAGTGGCACAGCTAGCACTGCGATGCAGTGCCTTAGACCACTGCGCCACTCGGGAGATTATGCCATCATTGACTTGAATGGGGACGCCCGTTCTATTCATTCTATTTCTATGGTCAGTATAGCTTCAGCAGGTCACACGGTAATGTGCAGTGCAGGTATGGGACAGACATCAGCGATACCATGGGAACAGACTTGCGCCACACACACAGTCCTTGTTCTGTGACAGTGTATGTGTGTGTCCTCTTTGATATCAGCGCTGTGATAAAAACTGGAAACATCTCTCTTTATTACTTTGACATTTTCGCTCTCTCGTTCTCCTTTCACTCTCCTTTTTCTCTCCCTCTCTCTCGCTGCCTCAGAGGGTAGAGCTGACAACCAATATCATACATCCCTCTTCTATGTTTGTTTGTGTGTGTGTGTGCATTCGTGTGATTTACTTCTGTGTGTGTCTTAAATATAACCGTGGGCCAACTAAAGGCTGTAATCCCAGGGAGTGATTAGATTAGAGGATAGGTCAGTGTGTAATCTAATGAACTCTCACAAATGCACCTAACACTGTTAGAGCTAGCACCACACACACACACACACACACACCACACACACACACACGTAAATCACTCTAATGCTGTAAATCAGGACATGAAAGCACAAGACGGGGTACACAGTAAACACACTAGTGCTCTCGTATCTCTTTACCCTCCCTCTCTTCTCCCTCTCCACCACTCTTTCTTACCCTATCTATTTCTCTATTCTGTCTGTGTAGGCTACCTGAAGACTAGGGGACTGAATATAGGTCAACACAACCTTACCAGACATAATAAGAGCATAACAGAAGTGTGAGTGAAGAGGAGCAGTGACTGTGGAGTGAACTCCCCTGTGCTAAGTGCCAGATCGGTTTACCCCAAACCTCTCAACACACACACACACACGGTGTGTGCTGGCCACAGCACTCCACTGTCTGAACTAATGGCGTCATCTCTTAATCCTGAGACCCTCTGTATGCTGGTTTCTGTTTATGCTGGATTCAATGAATTCAACACTAATTTAAAACACCTCTCTGATAACAGCTAGTGTACTGTTCCATACACTAAGTTTTACCTTTAATTTTCTCTTGCTTCACCAAACATTGTATTTGTCAGACTCAGTCATGCTAATAAAGGTTGGTTAAAATTTGATTAATTGAACAGGGAATGACTCCAGATTGATTGGTTGGTTGGTTGCATGGAGACAGAGAGAACTATCTCTGTTGCTGCTCCTATTTTAAAGTGACACCAGAACAAGAGAGAGGTAAAGTAGGACAAGTCCTCATGGACCATTTCTCTCTCTCTCTCTCTCTCTCTCTCTCTCTGTGTCGCTGGTGGGCAGAAAAGTGCTGTCTCGCACACTCTCTTTCTCTCTGTTCTGTCTCCCTCTCTATTGCTTGGGTGATCGATAGCGTTGGTATGCTGAAATGAGAGGGGTTCAGGGTGTGTCACTCATGTATGTGTATGTGACTGGTGTATGCGAGTGAGTCGCAGTGATGAGTAGCCTTGCAGAGAAGTCAAAGGGGAAACAGAGGCTTATAAAATGTGTGTGTGTGTTCGCCCATCCATAATGTGCGGTCTATAGCCACAGTAAAGAGAGAGAGAGAGAGTAACAGAGAGAAGCTGTGTGTATCAGATGGACGGTGACACCATCCTGAATCATACCCACTGTTTATAAGGTCAGAGATAGAGTTCTATAGGGTTTTAGAGGGGATTGGGCTACACTTCTGACTGTGCTCTTAGTTCTACTTTGTCATTTCCTCTGCCTATTTCTATGTCTATGTTTGGCTGTCAGTAAATGGATGACATAGCAGGAGGCTGGCCCTGCTCTGTTCACTTGAAGTGTGTGTTTGGGGGAGCGTGTGTGTGTGACAGAGGGGGAGAGTGTATCTCATTAGATTAGCCCACTTCTGATCCTGACAAACCTCTTGGTTTCTCTCTTTGGGATCTGAGCCTGACCTCCACACCACGTGAGTGTATGTGTGTTCGTTTGTGTGTGTGTGTGCGACCGTACATGTGTTTGTGGGTGCTCTATCTCAACATGTTTTGTTAATGTTGTTTTTAGCTTCATACTATAGAACTGTGATGCTACGCAGTTAGATAACTGTGACTGTAGGACAGTAGAACTGCTGCTGCTGGTACTGCAAGTATGTACTGTTTGTTCATGTTTGGTCTTTTCATTATAACGTCTGTCTGTCCCGTTTGGTTCCTAATGAATACACCACTAGTGTCCAAGGTCTGAACCGGTCTGCCTGTCGTAGTGGAGCCTACTCTCTAACCCTTTCCCCCTACTCCAGCAATCCTTATTTTAGTCTTCACCCCTTCCTCTATTCCCTCTCTCTTCTCTCTGTTGCTGTTGACTGTGACATGGTTGGGTGGGGGTGGGTGTGTGTGTGTAACACACTGCGATTCACTACCCCCCTCATGTATCCCATCACCCAACACTCAGCGGTAAGGACACAGCATCCACAGGAAGTGTGTCAGAGAGAGCATGTGTTCAGACACACACACACACACACACAGGGAATAATGTGCTAGTGACTCGTCAGCCCAGAGGGTTGTTGATGTTTACAGCACGTGTTTAGTGGTGTATTGGTTAGCTAGCTAGCTCATTAGCATGTTAGCTGTCTTCCACAGGCCAGGAGGGATTCTTACTGGTAGTTAATGGATTGATTCATGCCAGGCTAGGTATGCACTCACCTGGGGTCTATTCATTAGTGCAAACTGTTGAAAAATGTTTTGCAACAGAAAACAGTTTACAATTAAAATGAGAGTTTCTATTGGACAAATACAGATAGGTTTGTCCCGTTTTCTTCCGTTTGGTTCCTAATGAATACTCATGTCTGAACCAGTCCCCGATAGATCTGTCCAGGCCTGGAGTTGATTAGCTTGGTAAGGACACATAGAACTGACTACCTAATAATAATCTCTCTCTTTGTCTCTCTTCACTCTTTCTTTTTCTCTCCCTCTTCCCAGATGGTTCCCTCCCAAAAGAGCCCAAAGGAGACTTGTCCAGTCAGCTACCAGGTAGGATGACACACACACACACACCAGCGTTCTGTGTTCCTGTGATCTTCTACCCTCCCTTCCCTTTTCTCTCCTTTTGTTTCACTGTTTCGTCTGGGATCTACCATTGATGTCTGTCTGTCACAGCAGCATGTGTGTGTTTAGTGTGTGTGTGTTTTGACTGGGAGTGTCTCTGCTGAAGTCTCCCCCTCATCTCTCCAGTCTGGTCTAAAACATCTTTGTTTTACTTCCCTGTTTGTAGGCAGGGTTATAGGTCAAGCCTATTGTTCTGAGTCATTCAGCAGTGATGTCACTGGTCTGCCTTATAAAGGGTAAAAATACGTGATGTCATCTAAGATATAAAGGTTGAAACCAGTCCATCTGGTGGCATGCTCTCTCTCCCACTGGTAACACTGGGATAGGGGGAGGGAGGGATGGGAGGAGAGGGGGATGGAGGAAGGCATGTATGAAGAGGGGGATGAAGAGATAGTGTTACGTAACCCTGGTTGTGCCTTTGGTCCCTGACAGATGTATGTTTAGTATGAAGGGGCTAGGGTGGGCTTATTTTCTCTCTCTCTCTCTCTCTCGCTCTCTCTCCTCATCCCTCTCTCCAGGTCATTGGGGTAACCTTGGCCTGTGTCTCAGTCTCTTACTCTACCCTGTTATTAGAAGTCTGGACGGATGCAGCGAATGAGACGGGGGAGAGATTCAACTGGCACACAGACATTCTGGGGAAAACAGGATGGTCAGAGGGAGAGAGAAGGAATAGGGGAAAAAGCGAGGGAGTGAGAAGAGAAAAGTAAGCAGGGAAAAGAGAGAGGAGGACGGACCGATGGAAAGATTTGAAATCTATTATCAATGCTGGTCACTAGCACAGATGGGCAATTTCTTTTTTTTATGTGTGTGTTTTTGTGTATGTCAGCTGTACCCACAGTGTTAGAGTGCCACAGCTGTGGCTGATCAGCCTGGCCATCAGCCAATAAGATCGCCCCCTCAGTCTCCCGAGCCAATAGGATCACACCCTCTGTTTCACCGACCAATCAAATCTCCTCCGTGAGGCTGGGAGGTGGGAGAATCAGATGTCAATCAAAGTTACAAAACTAGGCTAATAGGGGGGTAGAGTAGCTGGCAACAAGACAGAGAGAGAAAGACAGAGCGGGAGTGTGAGAGAGTGCATTGTCTAGTAAATAATTACTAACAACAATCTGGTTGATGAACTAGTAGAGAGAACGGTGAAGGGAGGGAGAGATTAAAGAATGCTTAAGCCCTGAGAAAACTGAAAGCGATAATATTAAGAGGGAGAGGGAGAGAGACTCTCTAGTGACAATCCTCTCAGTCAGGACATAGTGACACCTGCATCTATCTCACACACACATATTCACATTCCAGACTCACATTCTCTCTCTCTCTTTCTCTCTCAATTCTAAAGGCTTTATTGGCTTGGAAAGTGTTAGCACACATTGCCAAAGCAAACATATAGACACATATCAAATCAATGATAACGCAGATAGATAATAGGAACAATTATAATACTCAATGAGTAATAACAATTAACAGGACAATACAGTAAGAAATAAATTAGGACAATAATTAAATGGTGAGAAAGACATAGGTAGCATGTTATTGCTTTGGTTGGTCGTTCTACTGGCTGTCCCTACGGGTGTGTCAGGAAGCTACATATTTTGCAGCTAATATGGCACAAAGGGGGTTTTCTCCCAATAGTTATTGGATTTTCTCAGTTTCAGTTTTTGTTTCATAGTCTTTGGGGAACAAAATTGCCCATAAGTCTGTATAGTTCTGTCAGATATTCTGCCACGTGTACTGTCTTACAGTACTTTGATTTTTTGTGGTGTCTTTTATAGGCACGGGAAGTACTATTACTATACTACCACTATTTTTATTTTCTTCTGCCAACATGGGGGGGACGGTGATAATTTTTTGTCGAGGCGGGAGGGGGTGCTGAATTATTCTTTTTTTGACTGCGCTACAGACTGCTATGTTTTTATTTTATTTATATTTTTCGGGGGGTGCTTCAGCACCCCTACTTTCACTATGGTGTCTTTCAAATGGGTGATATATTTTTCTTTTATATTTTGAGCCAGATCCTAATTTGATAGATATTCAAATGGTATAGAAAGCCCTCCTTGCTTTGTCTTTCAGTTCATTCATGGCCAGGTTGAAGTTCCCTTTGGAGCAAATTCTTTGTCCCAAATATGTGGAGCCCAGTAAAAAAAGTACAGTGCATTCGGAAAGTATTCAGACCCCGTGACCTTTTCCACATTTTGTTACGTTACAGCCTTATTCTAAAATGTATTAAATCATTTTTCCCCTCATCAATCTACACACAATACCCCATAATGACATAGCAAAAACAGGTTTTTAAATAGTTTATGCAAATTCATGACAAATAAAAAACGGAAATATGACATTTACATAAGTATTCAGACCCTTTGCTATGAGACTCGAAATTGAGCTCCGGTGTATCCTCTTTCCATTGATAATCCTTTTACAACTTGATTAGAGTCCACCTGTGGTAACTTCAATTGATTGGACATGATTTGGAAAGACACACACCTGTCTATATAAGGTTCCACAGTTGACAGTGCATGTCAGAGCAAAAACCAAGCCATGAGGTCGAAGGAATTGTGGAAAAAGTCAAGGGGTCTGAATACTTTCCGAATGCATATATTGGTTTCCTTGACATCTGGACCTTTTTTGGAATATCTTAATATTTGTATTTTTTTCATTGACTGTCAGTGCCCAGGTGTGACAGAACTGTTGCAGATGATCTGTTGCTCTAGCTCATTTTTTGTGGGGGACAGCAACACCAGATCATCTGCATACAGGAAGCATTTTATTTCTGTGTTAAGAGTGAGAGCAGGGGCTGTTGATTGCTCAAGCGTTTTGGCCAATTCATTTATATAGATAGTAAATTGACTTGAGCTCCCCTGTTTTACTCCACGCCCTTGGGAAAATAAATCTGTATGTTTATCTCCAATTTTGACTGCATATTTGTTATTTCCGTACATTGATTTGATGGCGTCATATGTTTTTACACCCACACCAATTAATTTGAGTAAAATGCCTTCATGCCAAATTTAATCAAATGCTTTTTGGAAATCTACAAAGCAGGAGAACATTTATTTTATTTTTATTTACATGTTTATCAATTAGGGTTTGTGTAGGGTATAAATATGGTCTGATGTTTTATAATTGGGTAGGAATCCAATTTGATTTCACTGAGAGAGTGCAGAAATCTGTTGTTCATGACAGCGCATAATATTTTCCCCAGGTTACTGTTGAAAGAAATGCCACGATAATTGTTTGGATAATTGTCTGTTATCCAAACAATTCTCCTCTCTATTCCCATATCCTCCCTGCTCTACTCTGGAGAATGGGAACCAGCTTTTTGGAATCCCAGGAATTCCAACACAGGCCTCAGTTGGAGAATGCCAGTGATGCAATGTATTTAGGCACGCCCCCTATGCTATCCCAAACCTACCATTACCCAAATCGGCCTGACCCATTCTCTCGCTCTGGCCCCTCATGAGGCCCCTGTAACAGCTGGCTTCAGATCAGTTGTCATGAGTTTAATCCTGACCATAACCATTATGAGATTAGCACTTTAACATGCTCTGGATCATCATATCAACGTGTTTGAGTGAGAGATGGTATGAAGAGAACTTCTCTCCTCCTTCTGCTCTCCATACCTCCCTCTCCATCTGTCCTGGCAACTGGCATATACTGACTGACACACACACACACACATTTCTCATCTGTGCATGTTTGTACGCGTTTATAGTGTGTGTGTGTCTGTAAATTACTTTGCGGCTGCAAGGAACTATTGCTCATTTGACCTCTTGGAGCCCTCCTTAATCTGCAGCCTTTGATGTGTCTGTGTGTTTGTGTCCAGTCCTACATAAAGAGAGACCGATTATGTAGGCTTTCACATGCAGCAGAGATTGATTTGGTCTTGCCTTATTTGCCCTGAAATGACACATACTGGCCTTGTTCTGATTTTGACCATGAACATGACGTCATGGTCATCATTCTCAGAAGAACAACCTACAGAATGGTCAAGTTCAGTAACAAGGACATACACACACACACACACACACAGACACACACACACTCTGTAACACAGGATTATTTGACCCTTTGTCACCTGCTAACGTAGGATTCCATAGATGCCAGACATAGCTACAGCCAATCTATGGTTTGACTTGCTGGCCTCTGAGTAACTCCTCACCCAAATATCCCCCCCCATACTCCCTCTATCCTTTCTCTCTCTCTCTCTCTCTCTCTCTCTCTCTCTCTCTCTCTCTCTCCTTCTCTCTTTCCTTCTCTCTCCTTCACTGCCGGGGCTGGGGGTGGTCATGGCTCTGTTGGTCCGTCTCTGACCATTGTCTGACTGCTGTGTTGTGGTCATGTTCCAGGATTGAGGAGTTTACCACATCAGTCACCGGCTTCATTAATAAGTGCATCAATGACATCATCCCCACAGTGACCATACATACATATCCCAACCAGAAGCCATGGATTACAGGAAACGTCCGCACTGAGCTAAAGGCTAGAGCTGCCGCTTTCAAGGAGCGGGACACTAACCTGGATGCTTATTAGAAATCCTGCTACGACCTCTGACGAACCATCAAACAGGTAAAGCGTCAATACAGGACTAAGATTGAATTCTACTACAAAGGGAAACCCAGCCGCGAGCCTGCCAGACGAGCGAAATGCTGTATATGCTTGCTTTTAGGCAAGCAACACTGAACCATGCATGAGAGCACCAGCTGTTCCGGACGACTGTGATCACTCTCTCCATAGCCGATGTGAGTAAGACCTTTTTAAACAGGTTAGCATTCACAAGGTGGATTACCAGGATGCATGCGCTGACCAGCTGGCAAGTGTCTTCACTGACATTTTCAACCTCTCCCTTACCCAGTCTGTAATGCATACATGTTTCAAGCAGACCACCGTAGTCCCTGTGTCCAAAAACGCCAAAGTAGCCTGTCTAAATGACTATCGCTCAGTAGCACTCGCACCTGTTGCCATGAAATGCTTTAAAGGATGGTCACGGCTCACATCAACACCATCATCCCAGACACCCTGGACCCACTCCGATTCACATACCACCCCAACAAATCCACAAATGATGCAATCTCTATAGCACTCCACACTGCCCTCACCTGGACAAGAGGAACATCTATGTGAAAAGGCTGTTCATTGACTACAGCTCAACGTTCAACACCAAAGTGCCCTCCAAGCTCATCACCAAGCAAAGAACCCTGGTACTGAACACTTCACTCCGCAACTGGATCCTGAACTTCCTGACTGGCTGCCCCCAGGTTGTGAGGGTAGGCAACAACACATCCGCCATGCTGACCCTCAACACGGGGGGCCCCTCAGGGGTGCGTGCTTAGTCCCCTCCTGTACTCCCTGTTCACCCACAAATGCGTGGCCGTGCACGTCTCCCAACACCATCATTACATTTGCTGACGACACGGCGGTGGTAGGCCTGATCACCAATGACGATTAGACAGCCTATAGGGAGGAGGTCATAGACCTGGCAGTGTGGTGCCGGGACAACAACCTCTCCCTCAACGTCAGCAAGACCAAGGTGCTGATCGTGGACTACAGGAAACGGAGGGCCAGGCACGCCCCCATTCGCATCGACAGGGCTGTAGTGGAGCGGGTCGAGAGATTCATGTTACTCGGTGTGCACATCAGTAAAGATATATCATGGTCCACACTAGGGCTGTTACGGTGACCTTATTACCGCCACACTGGCGGTCACAAGTCATGATAGTAGTCAAATTCCATGTGACCGTTTAGTCACGGTAATTAGGCTTCTCCAAGCTCTGATGCTACTGATGGTCATTAATAGCCTACCAAACTTGCTAACTCGATTGTACTCAGCGCTCTATTGTCCCTCTACTCACTCTGACATCAATGCAAATGTAATCGAAAATCGAACACTTCATGAGAGCCCATGAGCTCATGTTGCGCAACATTTCTATAGGCTATGCAATTGTGTGAGAAATCAGAGTGATGGCCTCTATTAAAAAGAGGAGGATCCCATCAGCTTTCTATAGGCTAGGCCTACTATATTTATTTCTCAACTTTCCAAATATTAAGCACATTGCTTCTCTTTACAACAGGAGTATAGCCTACCTGGCTGGCATGAAAATGAACCACGGGAAAAGCATCCTCCATTCGCTATTTAAGTGCATAGATGACATGTATTGGTCCATTCTAAATCAAAACAAATTTCACACATATATTATTTAGTATATGTAAAGACAAGATTAAATCAAGAATAGTTTGATGGGTGACAATATAAGCCTGTCACTTGTGAATGATATATTATCACTTGTGAATGATGCCCAGCTTAAGGCAAGAAACAGCGCATGCCTTTTTAGCAACTTTTTCAAATCACAGTAGGACACCTCATGTAGCCTAGTCCATAGGCCTACATGTTTTGATAAGGTTTGTATCACAACTAAAGTGGCCAAATAACTTCTTAAAATGAAGCACATTAATCCGCTTTACAACGGGTGTAGAGCCTAACTGGCATACATATGCAGCACAGGAGTTTCATGTTTTGGGAAGAACATTTTCACCATAAAAATGCACCTTTATAATAAAAGCATTACATGTATAATCGCATTTGTGGTCACTTTTGAGAACGGTGTTTTCCTGCTAATTGAACATTCGCACTTATAGCCTACTGCCGTGTGCTTATTGCTGCGCTTATAATGTGAAGAAATGGCCTAATAGTTTATCAACATCTTTAGATCAACATTCTCATCTGTTGTGTCAGCCTCATTGCTTAAAACAGGTTTTTTGATGTTAGTGGTTGTATTAATTTGGGATCTATCGCATCCCACATCTGTCCCAGACTATATTTGGAATATTTATTTCTCGTACAGAATAGAATAGGTCAACTTTTGTACTATGGCGGATAGTAGATTGACATAGGCTAGTGCTTTTGCTGTTCGTTAGGCCTACCTATCTTGTTGGCTGACGAAAAGTGAATGTGGACAGTTCTTCCAATATCTTCAATATGCGCCTCGGATTTGGATAAGGATGCATGCGGTTGCATCCCCGATGTGTCTGTCTTCACTTGTAGCCTGTGTGAAAGACCTGATCACGTGACGGAGAGCCAAGTGAGTGAGAGGTGCTTCGGCACACAGCCGAGAGAAGGGAATTATAATTATTATATTCAGCCCAAGGGCACAATGGCCACTGGCCACAAAAGGCATGGATTTTTTTTACGGCGCATTACGGCCACACAAAGAGGATGCAGCCGGGAAACTCGAGGCATTATCAAATGATTGTCAAATTGTGAATGAGAGACTGATGAAGTGTGTACAGCCTGCCTAAAAAACAAAGCAGTGCTCATGCCTTTCATGCGACTTTTTTCAAATCATCATTAGTCGCATCATACAGCCTTAGAATGTATTATAAATCTAAACATATAGCCCAACATTTGTATCACAACTAAAGTTGCATAAATAACTCTAAATTAAGCATATACAGTGCATTCGGAAAGTATTCAGACCCCTTCACTTTTTCCACATTTTGTTCCGTTACAGCCTTATTCTAAAATGGATGAAATTATTTTTTCCCCTCATCAATCGACACACAATACTCTACAATGACAAAGCGAAAACAGGTTTTTAGAAATGTTATAACATTTATAAAACATAAAAAACATAAATACCTTATTTACACCCTTTGATTCAGACCCTTTGCGATGAGACTCAAAATTGAGCTCAGGTGCATCCTGTTTCCATTGATCATCCTTCATGTTTCTACAACTTGATTGGAATCCACCTATGGTAAATTCAATTGATTGGACATGATTTGGAAAGGCACACACCTGTCTATATAAGGTCCCACAGTTGACAGTGCATGTCAGAGCAAAAACCAAGCCATGAGGTCGAAGGAATTGTCTGTAGAGCTCCGAGACAGGATTGTGTCGAGGCACAGATCTGGGGAAGGGTACCAAAACATTTCTGCAGCATTGAAGGTCCCCAAGAACATAGTGGCCTCCATCATTCTTAAATTGAGGAAGTTTGGAACCCAGACCTTTCCTAGAGCTGGCTGCCCAGCTAAACTGAGCAATCAGGGGAGAAGGACCTTGATCAAGGAGGTGACCAAGAACCCGATGGTCACTCTGACAGAGCTCCAGAGTTCCTCTGTGGAGATGGGAGAAACTTCCAGAAGGACAACCATCTCTGCAGCACTCCACCAATCAGGCCTTTATGGTAGAGTGGCCAGACGGAAGCCACTCCTCAGTAAAAGGCACATGACAGCCTGCTTGGAGTTTGTCAAAAGGCACCTAAAGGACTCTCAGACGATGAGAAACAAGATTCTCTGGTCTGATGAAACCAAGATTGAACTCTTTGGCCTGAATGCCAAGTGTCACGTCTGGAGGAAACCAGGCACCGCTCATCAACTGGCCAATACCATCCCGGGCTCCTGAGTGGCGCAGCGGTCTAAGGCACTGCATCTCAGTGCTTGAGGCGTCACTACAGACCCCCTGGTTCGATTCCAGGCTGAATTACAACCGGCCGTGATTGGGAGTCTCATAGGGCGGTGCACAATTGGCACAGCATCGTCCGGGTTTGGCCAGTGTAGGCCGTCATTGTAAATAAGAATTTGTTCTTAACTGACTTGCCTAGTTAAATAAAGGTTAAAAAAAAGAAATATCCCTATGGTGAAGCATGGTGGTGACAGCATTGTGCTTTGGGGATGTTTTTCAGCGGCAGGGACTGGGAGACTAGTCAGGATCGATGGAAAGATGAATGGAGCAAAGTAAAGAGATCCTTGATGAAAACCTGCTCCAGAGCGCTCAGGACCTACGACTGTTCACCTTCTAATAGGACAACGACCCTAAGCACAGAGCCAAGACAACACAGCCAAGACAACGCAGGAGTTGCTTCGGGACAAGTCTCTGAATGTCCTTGAGTGGCCGAGCCAGAGCCCTGACTTCAACCCGATCTAACATCTCTGGAGAGACCTGAAAATAGCTGTGCAGCGACGCTGCCCATCCAACCTGACAGAGCTTGAGAGGATCTGCAGAGAAGAATGGGAGAAACTCCCCAAATGCAGGTGTCAAGCTTGTAGCGTCATACCCAAGAAGACAAGGCTTGTAATCGCTGCCAAAGGTGTTCAACAAAGTACTGATTAAAGGGTCTGAATACTTATGTAAATATCAATTTCAGTTTTTTCTTTTTTATACATTTGCAAACATTTCTAAAAACCTGTTTTTGCTTTGTCATTATGGGGTATTGTGTGTAGATTGAGGAAAAAACAAACAATTTAATCAATTTTAGAATAAGGCTGTAACGTAACAAAATGTGGAAAAAGTGAAAGGGTCTGAATAATTCTGACTGCACCGTAGGAGTACCTGTTTCTTTGTTAACCACTCAACACAGAATAGCCGCATGTGCACACTCCCTCAAATTGTTTGGAGAAAATATATTTTATATTTTCAGTTGTATTCTTCATACTATAAAATAATGCCACGGAATTCTAAGCAAATCTTGTCTGCTAAATGAACTAGTGTAGCCAACAGCCATATGGCATAGCCAGATCAGGGCCTAACATAAGGACAACTTAGAGTATGCTATCTGTTCTTCTGAAATAGACTACATTTTCTTCAGATCATGTTTCTTTAAACCTGTCTTAAATAAATAATGGATTTATTGTGATGGTGTAGGCTATATTACATGGATTTATTATACTTTTTATAATGTAGGTGTTCCAAAGGTCCGCATCAGTGGCTTGTAGGCTATGCGTGGAAGCCAGGAGATGCTAAATGTTAATTAACGGTCAATTACCATGAGACCGGCAGTTATTCGCTTGACAATCACCAGCTGAAAGAATGTAAGGACCGCCACACACACCAACACAATTGTGAAGGGGGCACGACAATGACTCTTTCCTTTCAAGAGGCTGAAAAGATTTGGCATGGGCCCTCAGATCCTAAAAAAGTTATACAGCTGCACCATTGAGAGCATCTTGACTGGCTGCGTCACCGCTTGGCATGGCAACTGCTTGGCATCCGACCGCAAGGCGCTACAGAGGGTAGTGCGTACGGCCCAGTACATCACTGGGGCCGAGCTCCCTGCCATCCAGGACCTCTATACCAGGCGGTGTCAGAGAAAGGCCCTAAAAATCCAGCCACCCAAGTCAGACTGTTCTCTTTGCTAGTGCACGACAAGCTGTACCGATGCAGAAGGTCTGGAACCAACAGGACCCTGAACAGCTTCTACCAAGCCATAAGACTGCTAAATAGTTAGTCCGGGTAGCTATTTGGTTAACTATTTAACTATCTGCATTGACCCTTTTTGCACCAACTTTTTTGACTGCTGTTACTGTATATTATCTGTCCTGTTGACTAGTCACTTTATTCCTAGTTATATATACATATCTACCTCAATTACCTCGTACCCCTGCACATGAACTCGGTACTGGTACCCGTGTATACACTGACTGTACAAAACATTAGGAGCAACTTCCTAATATTGAGTTGCACACCACACTTTTTCCCTCAGAACAGCCTCAATTCGTAAGGGGATGGGCCTCCTCTGTAGCTCAGTTGGTAGAGCATGGCGCTTGCAACGCCAGGGTTGTGGGTTCTATTCCCACGGGGGGCCAGTATGAAAAAAATGTATGCACTCACTAACTGTAAGTTGCTCTGGATAAGAGCGTCTGCTAAATGACTAAAAATGTAAACATGTAAAAGGTTTCGAAAGCATTCCGCAGGGATGCTGGCCCATGTACTCCAATGCTTCCCACAGTTGTGTCAAGTTGGCTGGATGTCTTTTGTGTGGTGGACCATTCTACACAAGGGAAATTGTTGAGTGTGAAAAACCCAGTAGCGCTGCAGTTCTTGACACAAACCGTTGTGCCTGGTACCTACTACCATACCCCATTCAAAGGCATTTACATTTTTTGTCACCCTCTGAATGGCATATACACAATCCATGTCTCGGGGCTTAAAAATGATTTTTAACCTTTCTCCTCCCCTTCATCTACGCTGATTTGAAATGGATTTAACAAGTGACATCTAAGGGATCATAGCGTTCACCTGGCTTCATCTGGTCATTCTGTCATCGAAAGAGCAGGTGTTCTTAATGTTTTGTATAGACAGTCTATAGCCAAGTTATCGTTATTTCTCTATTTTATTTTTCTCTGCATTTTCGAGAAGGGCCCGTAAGTAAGAATTTCACTGTTAGTCTACACCTGTTGTTTTACGAAGCATGTGACAAATACAATTTGATTTGAATTCTCTCTAAGTCACACACACAAACACAAACTGAGGGAGTTAAAACGTGAGATTAAGAGCAGTTTGGGTAGAAGCCTGTTCCTCTCCTAAACTGACACAGGACACCAGCTCACACAGGAGGGGCTCCTAGCTTATTTTCTTAGCATATATTGGCCTAGCTTAGCACCACTCCTCAAAAGCAATAGTTTTTTTTGCCCCAAAAGTATCTCTTAGCCTTAGGGCAAATTCTTGTCTTTCACAATGTAATTAGCATCTGTTTTGGCGTAGTTTAGCATTGTAATGTAGCTTAGCTGGGGGTTGTGTTAGCAGAGGAGCTAGTTCCACATGCTACATGGCCGGTTGGAGTGAAAACTGGAAATGTAACATGCAGACGTGTTGGTATTGGAGGAGAATAACGTCCTCACTGGTGACCCTTTCACGTGTGGCTTTACACTCAGACAGGCTCCGCTCTCATCCAGCTGACAGGTATGCCAAATGTTTTGGGTGCATCATCTGAAATGGCAACAGGTTCCTTTTTATAGTGTACCACATGGTGCTCTGACCAAACATAATGCAGTATATAGGAAATAAGAGCCATTTCAGATTCAGCCTTTGATCAGGAGAGGAAGTATCTTTAGAGTATAATTGAGATGCACTATTCCACTCTCACCTCTTTGGTTTGAATGGTAAAGTAAAGGTTAAAGACGGACACTTTTTCGAAGAGTGAGGGAGGGAAAGAGATAGAGGACAGAGAGAAAAAACAGAAAGTGACCATCCCTCCATCCATGTCTTTTTGCTGTGGTGGAGTCAGGGTGACATCATCGTCTGCAGCAGCATTGCAGGGTTTTTACTTTTCTTTCTTCCTCTTTTTTCTCGTTCACTCATTTTATTTGCTCGTCCATCCTGGCTGTCACTTCTCTGGCTGTCACTTCTCAGCTGCTTTCATAAATCCTCAACTCTCTCTATTTCTCTTTCTCTCTCGCTCTCTAAAATATTTTTCTGTGGCCTCAGATATTTGTGTGTATAGTTGCGGCAGTAATTCTATGGATTATGGCCTTTGTCTAGCTGATACCATAAGTGTAAAGATGTGTGTGAAGAAACACATCCTACTGTGTGTGTGTGTGTGTGTGAGCTGTATTTAAAAAGCAATTAGCTGTTTTATTTCCTAATCCTTAAAATGCACTGTGGGATTAATAATGGACCCAATGACACACAGACAGACAGACAGACAGACACAGACACCCCTCTCCCTCCCCTTGACTGAGTATGGTTGTGGGAGGGTAGAACGTGCTCCAGAAGCTCACCACAGGGGCAGCTGAATATAGAGGAGCTCCGGTCAAAACACACTAGAAGTAACACTGGAATTATTATGGAATACAGAGCAGGGCCAAGGAACACACACACACACACACACACACACACACACTTCTGCTTCCTACAGGCAGACTACTAGGAGCCTGTCTGAGTGGTTGCTACTCTCCCATGTGGGTGTGTTTATATAATTTAATAGGGAGGAGGGCTATTGCTATAAGGAGCTATACAGTATCAGTTTAGTGAATTCACAGAGAACTACAAGGCTTTCACTGTAAACTTTCTCACCTCTACTACCCACTAGTGTACACACACACACACACACACACACACACTTTCATCTACTGTAAAGACAAACCTTAACGTCCATCACACACACATCACCATTCAAGACTATGGTAGCCCACTGAGATAAAACCTAGGTATTTGGCTATTGCGTGAACCACCTCCGCTCTCTTAGGTGGGTGGGCTTAACAATACAATTTGTATTTATTTATATAATCTCATTGGACCCCCTCGGGGAAGTTAAGACAATTTAGAGAAAGATGGAAAGAGAGCGAGAGAATGAGAGTAAACTATACATCATTATTTTCTTGTCACCTCAGATATTGGAGGATTACTAGAGCAATACATACTCCCACAATGCCTTTGGGAGGGGAGGGGAGGCATGCCATGCAGTATATTACCAGCCCCCAGATGTCTGTGTCTATGTGTCTGTCTGTCTGTGTCTATGTGTCTGTCTGTGTGTGTGTGTGTGTGTGTGTGTGTGTGTGTGTGTGCTACTTTCCCCCAAGCTCTAAATGTATGGTCAGGAATAGTAGCACGATAGAAAGAAGCATTTATAATGAGTGTGTATAGTGTGTGTGTGTTTGGGTAGGCGTGTGTGTGCTCACTTACTCCTCTGTGAGGCGCTGTATCATTGCAGAAAGAGAGTAATTAATGACTCTTGCTCTCGCTCTCTCCAATTCAATGGGCTTTATTGGCATGGGAAACATTTTTACATTGTGGAATAGATAAAACCATTTTTTTATATAAACAATCAGAAATGAACAGTAAACATTACACTTCAAATACAATTTTAATGGACACATACACATATTTAGCAGATGTTATTGTGGGTGTAGCGAAATGCTTGTGTTCCTAGCTCCAACAGTGCAGTAGTATCGCACAATTCACAACAATACACACATCTAAAAGTAAAAGAATGGAATTAAGAAATATATAAATATTAGATTGAGCAATGTCGAAGTGGCATTGACTAAAATACAGTAGAATAGAATACAGTATATACAAATGAGATGAGTAAAGCAGTATGTAAACATTATTAAAGTGACTAGTGTTCCATTATTAAAGTGGCCAGTGATTCCAAGTCTATGTATATAGGGAAGCAGCCTCTAAGGTGCAGGGTTGCGTAACCAGGTGGAAGCCGGCTAGTGATGGCTATTTAACAGTCTGATGGCCTTGAGATAGAAGCTGTTTTTGAGTCTCTCGGTCCCAGCTTTGATGCACCTTTACTGACCTCGCCTTCTGGATGATAGCGGGGTGAACAGGCCGTGGCTCGGGTGGTTGATGTCCTTGATGATCTTTTTGGCTTCCTGTGACATCGGGTGCTGTAGGTGTCCTGGTGGGCAGGTAGTTTGCCCCAGGTGATGCGTTGGGCAGACCGCACCACCCTCTGGAGAGCCCTGCGGTCGATGTGGATGGGGGCGTGCTCCCTCTGCTGTTTCCTGAAGTCCACGATCAGCTCCTTTGTTTTGTTGAAGTTGAGTGAGAGGTTATTTTCCTGGCACTACTCTCCCAGGCCCCTCACCTCTTCCCTGTAGGCTGTCTCGTCATTGTTGGTAATCAGGCCTACTACTGTTGTGTCGTATGCAAACTTGATGATTGAGTTGGAGGCGTGCGTGGCCACGCAGTCATGGGTGAACAGGGAGTACAGGAGGGGGCTGAGCCTGCACCCTTGTGGGGCCCCTGTGTTGAGGATCAGCGAAGTGGAGGTGTTGTTTCCTACCTTCACCACCTGGGGGCGGCCCGTCAGGAAGTCCAGGACCCAGTTGCACAGGGCGGGGTTCAGACCGTGTTATATTACTGGCTATGTTAATTAACGATGTGCAAATAATCGAAGTATGAAAGGGAAAATAAATAAACATAAATATGGGTTGTATTTACAATGGTTTGTGCTTCACTGGTTGCCCTTTTCTTGTGGCAACAGGTCACAAATATTGCTGCTGTGATGGCACACTGTGGTATTTCACCTACGAGATATGGGAGTTTATCAAAATGTGGATTTATTTTCAAATTCTTTGTGGGTCTGTTTAATCTGAGGAAAATATGTCTCTCTAATATGGTCATACATTTGGCAGGAGGTTAGGAAGTGCAACTCAGTTTCCACCTTTGTGGGCAGTGGGCAGAGCCAGGTCTGCCACTGAGTCTGTACATAGACAAAGCTTTACTTGGTCCGGTATTCTGCCACTGTACTCTCTGTTTAGGGTCAAATAGCATTCCAGTTTGCTTTGTTTTTTGATTAGTTCGTTCCAATGTGTCAAGTAATTATCTTTTTGTTTTCTCATGATTTGTTTGGGTGTTGCTGTCCTGGGGCTCTGTGGGGTCTGTTTGTGTTTGTGAACTCTTCTCTAGATTCAACTCTCTGGAGGTGATGGCTTTGTTTTGGAAGGTTTGGGAATCGCTTTCTTTTAGGTGGTTTTAGAATTTAACGGCTCTTTTCTGGATTTTGATCATTAGCAGGTATCATCCTAAATGGCACTGCATGGTCAATCCGTGCAGCATTCACTGTAATACGGCCTCTGCAGAAGTCAGGGCATTAGTATTTATTGTTCTTCGCGGATCAGCGCAGAGCTGTTGTGAAGGAAGTACAGGACCTCCCGCCCCCACCTACCATCAACCAATCATGTCAATGCGGAGCTATACGGAGCCCTCCGCATTGTTACACAATTTCAGAGGCACACGGCGATGGGGTACGGAGCTCAATTTGGCCTCTGCATGCCTCCGGAGCGCCGCAATTGCGTCACACCCTCCATACGGAGATTCCGACCACATTTTCAGATTAAGCATAAATTGGCTTTTAATTCTGCTCTGCATGCATTATTTTGTGTTTTACGTTGTACATGGAGGATGTTTTTGGCAGAATTCTGCATGTCTCAATTTGGTGTAGTCCAATTTTGTGAATTCTTGGTTAGTGAGCAGACCCTAGACCTTACAACTGTAGGATGCTGAAAACGCAGATCCCACAGTAGTTATTGGGGTCAAATTTGGGGTGATCAGTCCTGGGTTCCAAATATTGGGGAAGATGCCAGAGGTGAAGACGATGTTAAATAGTTTAAGTATAGCCAATTGGAATTTGTGGTCTGTATATTTTGTCATTTAATTTAGGATACCATCAACACCACAGGCCTTTTTGGGTTGGAGGGTTTGTATTTTGTCCTGTAGTTCATTCAATGTAATTGGAGAATCCAGCGGGTTCTGGTAGTCTTTAATAGCTGATTCTAAGATTTGTAATTTATCATGTATATGTTTTTGCTGTTTGTTCTTTGTTATAGGGCCAAAAAGATTGGAGAAGTGGTTTATCCATATGTCTCCATTTTGGATAGAGAGCTCTTCGTGTTGTTTGTTTAGTGTGTTCCAATTTTCCCAGAAGTGGTTAGATTCTATGGATTCTTCAATTATATTGAGCTGGTTTCTGACTGGTTTCTGTACTGTTTGTGTTTCACCATAGTGAAGGCATAGGCTCAGGTTTTCTTGGTCTCTGTGTTTGTGGTTAGATAGGTTTCTCAATTTCTTTCTTAGGTTTTTGCATTCTTCATCAAACCATTTGTCATTGTTGTTAATTTTCTTTGGTTGTCTGCTTGAAATTTTGGGATTTGATAGGGAAGCTGAAAGGTCAAATATACTGTTTAGGTTTTCTACTGCCAAGTTTACACCTTCACTATTGCAATGAAACGTTTTGTCCAGGAAGTTGTCGAAAAGAGATTGAATTTGTTGTTGCCCAATTGTTTTTTAGTAGGTTTCTACACTACCTTCCTGCCATCTATAGTAGTATGCAGTTTGTTCGGCTTTGACATCTCATGATTCAGTATTGCACTGTTTAGGTAGACTGTGATTTTGCTGTGATCTGATATGGGTGTCAGTGGGCTGACTGTGAACACTCACTCTGGGTTGAGGTCAATGCTAAAGTAATCTACAGTACTACTGCTAAGGGATGAGCTATAGGTGTACCTACCATAGGAGTCCCCTCAACCCCTACCATTGACTATGTAAAGACCCAGCGTGTGACAGAGATGCAGGAGTTGGGACCCATTTTTGTTGGTTGTTTCGTCGTAGTTGTGTCTAGGGTGGAATATTGCGGATGGAATGCTGTCACCTCCAGGTAGATGTTTGTCCCCCTGTGTGCTAAGAGTGTCAGGTTCTTGTCCAGTTATGGCATTTAGGTCGCCACAAACTAGTACATGTCCCTGGGCCTGGAAGTGGTTTATCTCCCCCTCTAGGATGGAGAAGCTGTCATCGTTAAAGAATGGGGATTCTATTGGGGGGATGTAGGTAGCACACGTGGACATTTTCTCTGTTGAGATAATCTCCTGATTTATTTCTAACCAGATGTAAAATGCTCCTGTCTGCTCTATACCAAATTAGCATACCCCCTGAGTCTCTTCCCTGTTTTACTCCTGGTAGTTTGGGGGATGGGACTACCAGCTCTCTTTAACCTAAAGGGCAACCCGTGGGTCCATCTCCTCTATACCATGTTTCTTGTAGGATGACAATGTCTGTATTTCCGATTTCTTTGATGAAGTCTGGGTTCCTGCTCTTTAGGCCAAAGGCAGATGACCTCAGACCTTGTATATTACAGGAAGAGATAGTGAAAGCTTTGTGTTCCATAGTGTCTAGTGTTATTCTTGTGGTTTAGGCTCGGACAATTAGGAGCAGAGCATGCTGAGCATCTGGTGAATGCCTCTTAGGTCGATGGATGGTGCTTGGGTGGGTGTAGTAGTGGGGGTTGGGCTTGTTGCTCTGCTCACGGCCTGGACATATGTTTGGCTGTCATGTTGAGGTCCTTGCTGTAGGGGTGGGGGGCAGAAGGGGCATAGGCCTGATCTGGGGGGGCCTATGTAGGGTGTGGCTAGGGTTTGTTTGGGGGGGGGGGGGGGGCGTGGCTGGTGGTGCTGTGGTCTGGGTGTAGCTCTCTCTCTCTGTAATGGGTGTGTTGTCCTGGATAACTCTAAGCACACATGTATGAGTCTGCAGGGAGAGAGGGGAGGGAAAGAGAGAGTGATAGAGAGAGGGTAGAAGGGCTGTGGTGGCATAAAAAAATATAGTCCAAGCCCAACTCCTGCGGGATATGGAGAGATTGAAGAGAGGGAAACAGGGGATAGAGAGAAAATAAGAGAGACCCAGGGATGGAGATTCATTGGCCAGCAGGGGCTCATTTTCCCAGCTCTTTATCTCAATATGAAATAATGAGCTATTTCTGTCTTGCTGCAACTGTGGTGTAGGTGTTGTGCTGTGTTGGGGTGTAGGTAGGTAGGATATGTTTTTCTCTGTTTAGTGAAGGACAGGTAGTGGTCTCATTCTGTCAACACATGACCAGGAAATAAACTATACTTTTTATTTATCCTCGTCTCTCTCTCTGGGTAAGGCACTAATTCAACAACTACAGCCTCACTTATTCCTCTGTGTGTGCGTTCTTGCTTCATTAAACTAGGGTTAATAGCCAGTCACTAGGAGTCAGTGGAAACATCTCTCTGTCAGTCAGAATAACATACAGCTGGCGGGTTATACACTGTATCGGCAGGATAGAACAGCAGCCTCTGGTAAGACAAGGGGTGGTGGTCAATGTATATTTGTAAACAACAGCTGGTGCACGATATCTAATGAAGTCTCGAGGTTTTGCTCGCCTGAGTATCTCATGATAAGCAACGCCTGAGTATCTCATGATAAGCAGGAGACCACACTATCTACCAAGAGAGTTTTCATCTATATTCTTCATAGTTGTCTATTTACCACAACAAACCGATGCTGGCACTAAGACCGCACTCAATGAACTGTATACGGCCTTAAGCAAACAGGAAAACGCTCATCCAGAGGCAGCGCTCCTAGTGGCCGATGACTTTAATGCAGGGAAATGTACATCCGTTTTACCTAATTTCTACCAGCATATTAAATGTGCAACCAGAGGGAAAAAAACTCTAAACCACCTTTACTCCACACACAGAGACACGTACCGAGCTCTCCCTCGCCCTCCATTTGGCAAATCTGACCATAATTCTATCCTCCTGATTCCTGCTTACAAGCAAAAACTAAAGCAGGAAGCACCAGTGACTCGATCAATAAAAAAGTGGTCAGATGAAGCAGATGCTAAGCTACAGGACTGTTTTGCTACCACAGACTGGAATATGTTCCGGGATTCTTCCGATGGCATTGAGGAGTACACCACATCAGTCACTGGCTTCATCAATAAGTGCATCGATGACGTCGTCCCCACAATGACTGTACGTACATACTCCAACCAGAAGCCATGGATTACAGGCAACATCTGCACTGAGCTAAATGGTAGAGCTGCCGCTTTCAAGGAGCGGGACTCTAACCCGGATGCTTATAAGAAATCCCGCTATGCCCTCCGACGAACCATCAAACAGGCAAAGCGTCAATGCAGGACTAAGATGGAATTGTACTATACCGGCTCCGACGCTCGTCGGATGTGGCAGGGCTTGCGAACTATTACAGACTACAAAGGGAAGCACAGCCGCGAGCTGCCCAGTGACACAACCCTACCAGACGAGCTAAATTACTTCTATGCTCGCTTCGAGGCAAGTAACACTGAAACATGCATGAGAGCATCAGCTGTTCCGGACGACTGTGTGATCACGCTCTCCGTAGCCGATGTGAGTAAGACCTTTAAACAGGTCAACATTCACAAGGCCGCAGGGCCAGACGGATTACCAAGACGTGTACTCCTAGCATGCGCTGACCAACTGGCAAGTGTCTTCACTGACATTTTCAACCTCTCCCTGTCTGAGTCTGTAATACCAACATGTTTCAAGCAGACCACCATAGTCCCTGTGCCCAAGAACACTAAGTTAACCTGCCTAAATGACTACCGACCCGTAGCACTGACCTCTGTAGCCATGAAGTGCTTTGAAAGGCTGGTCATGGCTCACATCAACACCATTATCCCAGAAACCCTAGACCCACTCCAATTTGCATACCGCCCCAACAGATCCACAGATGATGCAATCTCTATTGTGCTCCACACTGCCCTTTCACACCTGGACAAAAGGAACACCTATGTGAGAATGATATTAATTGACTACAGCTCAGCGTTCAACACCATAGTGCCCTCAAAGCTCATCACTAAGCTAAGGGCCCTGGGACTAAACACCTCCCTCTGCAACTGGATCCTGGACTTCCTGACGGGCCGCCCCCAGGTGGTAAGAGTAGGTAACAACACATCTGCCACGCTGATCCTCAACACGGAGGCCCCTCAGGGGTGCGTGCTCAGTCCCCTCCTGTACTCCCTGTTCACTCATGACTGCATGGCCAGGCACGACTCCAACACCATCATTAAGTTTGCAGATGACACAACAGTGGTAGGCCTGATCACCGACAACGACAAGACAGTCTATAGGGAGGAGGCCAGAGACCTGGCCGTGTGGTGCCAGGACAACAACCTCTCCCTCAACGTGATCAAGACAAAGGAGATGATTGTGGACTACAGGAAAAAGGAGAGGACCGAGCACGCCCCCATTCTCATCGACGGGGCTGTAGTGGAGCAGGTTGAGAGCTTCAAGTTCCTTGGTGTCCACATCACCAACAAACTAACATGGTCCAAGCACACCAAGACAGTCGTGAAGAGGGCACGACAAAACCTATTCCCCCTAAGGAGACTGAAAAGATTTGGCATGGGTCCTCAGACCCTCAAAATGTTCTACAGCTGCACCATCGAGAGCATCCTGACTGGTTGCATCACTGCCTGGTATGGCAACTGCTCGGCCTCCGACCGCAAGGCACTGCAGAGGGTAGTGCATATGGCCCAGTACATCACTGGGGTCAAGCTTCCTGCCATCCAGGACTATACCAGGCGGTGTCAGAGGAAGGCCCTAAAAATTGTCAAAGACTCCAGCCACCCTAGTCATAGACTGTTCTCTCTGCTACCGCATGGCAAGCAGTACCGGAGCGCCAAATGTCTAGGTCCAAGAGGCTTCTTAACAGCTTCTACCCCCAAGCCATAAGACTCCTGAACATCTAATCAAATGGCTAACCAGACTACTTGCATTGCCCCCCCCCCCCCACCCCCCCCCCCCACCCCCTCTTTTACCCTGCTGCTACTCTCTATTTATTATCGAAGCATAGTCACTTTAATAACTCAACCTACATGTACATATTACCTCAATTACCTCGACTAACCAGTGCCCCCGCACATTGACTCTGTACCAGTACCCCCTGTATATAGCCTCGCTATTGTTATTTTTACTGCTGCTCTTTAATTATTTGTTACTTTTATTTCGTATATTTTTATATTGTATTTTTTTTTTTGAGTTTTTTTGTTGTTGTTGGTATTCTTAAAACTGCATTGTTGGTTAAGAGCTTGTAAGTAAGCATTTCAATGTAAGGTCTACACCTGTTGTATTCGGCGCATGTGACAAATTACATTTTATTTGATGGCAGGGATTTTCCTCACATCAACTGAGCCCAAAATAAACCTCTCCTCTCCACAACTCTTCAACAGTTACTCCAGCCAGACAAAATCAATATCATGTTCCCATTCTGAAAACTTTCTTTCTTTGACTGTGATGCTGAAAAAAATCAACCGCCTATGCCCATACTCAAGGAAGAAATACAACCTCAGAAATGTGGATTGTAGAACAAGTTGGATAAAACTAGGCCTATTTTTCCTGAAACCTTTCGATGTAAGAGGAGAGAATTTGAACATTGAGAGTTTCTGTAAAAATCCTAACACTTCTGTCTTTCCCTCTCTCCAGGTTTTCGCAAAAATGAAGACATGAGAGCGATGGAGGTGTTGCCTATTCTAAAGGAAAAAGTTGCCTTCCTATCAGGTGTGTGTGTGTGTGTGTGTGTGTGAGAGAGAGAATCCTGGTTTCTTTCTTCATAAACAAAGCTAATGGAACATGACACATTCGCTACGTAGAGCTTCACACACTGACAGCTACCAGGCATGGAGCTACACACACGCATTCTGAGTGAATTTATAGCTGTGACCCGTGGCTACTGAGAGGTCAGACACTTGACCTTTGACCCCTCGTATGCCAGTTCTCAACTATTTTAGTGTTGAACATTATGTCTTTGTGTGCTTTTGATTGTGTCTGTGTGAGCTAATGTGTTTGTGTGTGTGTGTGGGTCATTCCACTTCCTCTTTTGTCTGACTCCATTCTCCTCCTGTGTGTAGCCAAGGTCACTGACAGATGGACCATAATGACAAGAAGAGAGAGAAATAGAGAGAGGAAGAGAGAGGCGAGGTCAGAGAGAGTGGTTGCTATAGCGATGAGTTACTGTCTGTCAACCGTTTCCCATAATGCATTTTGCTAAAGTACTTGGTTTTGAAAGGAGAGGAGCGGTGGAGGGAGGGAGGGAGGGAGGGAGGGAAAGAGAGGAAGAGGGTAGTGTAGGAAAGAAAGAGGAACGTATTGAAATTTGAAGAAATGTTGAGAGATGTATAGATCGTATATCCAGCTACTACTAGGCCTACCTAACACACATTAACATAGTCAAATAAATTACTGTAGGATTTCTATAGAAATGCCTCTATATTTCTGTATAGGCCTATTGCTTTCTACATAGTCTTCCTGATACAATAATGTATTCCCTGCCATTCTGAGTACCTGTTCCTGAGATAATGCTATCATGTGGCCATGATCATACTCATGGGAATATATGAACTCTCATGTGTTTCTGACTATGTCCACCAGGAGGCAGAGGTGTGCGTGCGTACACTACACTGTGCTCTAAGCTGACTGTCCTGTGTGTATTTGTGTGTGTGTGTGTGTTTGTGTGTTTTCACTCTCTAAGATGAATGTTTTCTCCTGTGTGTTCCAGGGGGCAGAGACAGACGCGGAGGTCCAGTGTTAACGTTTCCGTCACGCAGTAACCACGACAGAATACGAGCTGACGACCTCAGAAGACTCATAGCGTACCTCGCTGGCATCCCCAAGTACGTACGTGTGTGTGTGTGTGTGTGTGTGTACAGTACCTGCATGCGTACATATTGTGTGTGTATTTCTATGGTTGGTTTAGTCTCTTGGATTCAGATCTTTAACCAAACACGAGAGAGAAAGTGCGAGGGAGGGAGTGATGAAAACAGAGAGCGATAGATTGTGGGCCAGAATACCTGCCGCAGCTCATCTGTTGCCAAGAACCCTTCCTCCACACTGTCACTAGAGAGAGACAAATGGATGGAGAGAGAGAGATGGAGAGTCCGAACCAAAAGGAGGGAGTGAGGGATGGAGAGAGCGAGTGGAGCATAGAGCGGGAGATGGCAAGGGATTAAAACAGAGAGATAGAGCGCATGTGCGGGGAGGGGGGTGTGTGTTTGTGTGAGTACAACAGAGTGTCGCAGAGGCGGTACGGGTGCTAGATCAGCACAGTAGTTGTGATGATGGCTGCGGATGAGTAGGTCTTTACGCTGCTGTGCTCTCGTCCTAGGTACGTCTCTCCTTCCATCGTATCTCTCTAATTAAAATGTATATTTTAACGGTTCTTCTACTCTCTCGCTTTCTATGTAGAGAAGATGTAGATCTCTCGCTCCCACTTTTTCTCTAGTTACCTTATTTGTCTTTCTCTCTCTCTCCCCTCTCTCTCTCTCTGCTTAGTGTAGTGGGAGTCAGAGTTGCTGTTTTATTTTTTGTTGACCTGGAACACATCTGCAGACTGTCTGTAGCTGACAGACAGATGTTAGAAAGAGAGGGAGGGCTGGATAGAAAGGGAAGGGATCCAGAAAGATAGTGGAGGAGAGAATAAGGGATTGAGAGAAGAATAAGGTATTGAGAGAGATAAAGGATAGTATGCTCCTGAGAGATAGAAGTCTCTGGGGCTGAGTGTTGTGGTCAGCCGAGAGAGAAAGAGAGCGGGGGGATAAGTAGATCCAATGTTTATTACTAGCCATGCAGGAGATGTATGATGCCGTGGGGAGAATCTTAGTTTAACTACGGTCTTGATGCTGATGATGGATTGAGTCTCTCTTGCTTTGTTTTGGTTATTATACTGAGTGATTTTTCTTCCAATTTGGATGGAAATCACTGTAGGTTTTTGTGATTTATCATTCTGTGTGTGGGTGTGTGTGTGCGTGCGTTCGCAGTGCGTACTGTATGTGCTTTTCACAGTACAGAAAATGCGTCATCACCATCTCATGGTTTGTTTTGATTCTCTCCCTCCCTCCCTTCCCTCTCTTTCTCTACCTCCCACTCATCCTCCTCCCTCTGTCTCCACCACTTCTCTCGGCCCCCTCCCCTTTCCCACCCTCCCACTCTTTCGCTACCACCTCTCCCCCTCCTACCTTCTCTCTCCCTCCCACTCTCTCCTCCCTCCCTCCTCCCTCCTCCCTCCTCCTTATCTTTCCCTACCACCCACTCTCACTCTTTCGCTACCACCTTCCTTCTCCCTCCTCCTCCTCCCTCCCTCGGTCCAGTGAGGAGGTGATCAAGCATGGCTTCACAGTCATAGTGGACATGCGAGGCAGTAAATGGGACAGTATCAAATCTCTACTGAAGATCCTCCAGGAGTCGTTCCCCTGCTGTATACACGTAGCGCTCATCATCAAACCAGACAACTTCTGGCAGAAACAACGCACCAACTTCGGCAGCTCCAAGTTCGAATTTGAGGTAACATTTTTGTTTTTATTGTACTATACTGTTCTGTACTTAGGGTTGCAAAGGGAGGGTATATTACTGGAAACTTTCTAAGACATCTAGTGGCCCTTTTGGGTACTTCAGATCATAGGTGTCTGTAATTATCTCTGGCCCTCTGTGTTAATGTCAGAGCGGGCGTAGGTGTGGTGTAGGAATCAGATGCAGGACACAGATGCTAGTCCAAAAATACTTTAGTAAAGTCCACAAAAAGAACGGCTACAACCAGAGCCGGAGGCACGAGGAAAATAACGCACACAGCGTATAAATGCTAAACACAGCAAACACGCACAACAAGTGCGACTCTCTATCCAATACAGAATAGAGCACTAACTGACTGGAAGCACCAGCTGACAAGGAACAACTACACACAACCACAAGACAGAAACAACGAGAACTTAAAGGACACATAATCAAGACAAAATGAGAAACAGGTGTACCAAAACAGACCAAACCAAACAAACACAGAAACAATGAACGGTGGCAGCTAGTACTCCGGAGACGACGACCGCCGAAGCCTGCCCGAACAAGGAGAAGGAGCAGCCTCGGCCGAAACCGTGACAGTTAAATAGATAAAATAATCAAATAAGATGATTTTAAAATAAACAATTGAATGACAAAGCTGTAAAACATTAAATATAAACCATAAACTTAGTGAATACCATTGGTTTTTAATATGAGGGTTTCAGCATGAAATATCTTCTTTTTTTTTGTCAATATGTTGTTGTTGTAAAAAAATGTGGCCCCAAATTGGTGGCAGTTGTGAAAAAAGTTAAGAGTTATGACATTGTTGATTTAGATGTTTTTTTCATTAATTAGGCTATTTTCTCTTGAACCATATGGTCGATCCACTAGAAACTGATGGAATACTAGTGCATTCGGAAAGTATTCAGACCCCAAGACCTTTTCCACATTTTGTTACGTTACAGCCTTATTCTAAAATGGATTAAATAAATACAAATCCTCATCAATCTACACACAATACCCCATAATGACAAAGCGAAACCAGGTTTTTATAAATTTTTGCAAATGTATAAAAAAAACTAAAAACAGAAATACCTTATTTACATAAGTATTCAGACCCTTTGCTATGAGGTGCATCCTGTTTCCATTGATCATCCTTGAGATGTTTCTACAACTTGTTTCTACAACTTGATTGGAGTCCACCTTTGGTAATTTCAATTGATTGGACATTATTTGGAAAGGCACACACCTGTCTATATAAGGTCCCACAGTTGACGGTTCATGTCAGAGCAAAAACCAAGCCATGAGTTCGAAGGAATTGTCCGTAGAGCTCCGAGACAGGATTGTGTCGAGGCACAGATCTGGGGAAGGGTACCAAAAAATGTCTGCAGCATTGGAAGGTCCCCAAGAACACAGTGGCCTCCATCATTCTTAAATGGAAGAAGTTTGGAACCACCAAGACTCTTCTTAGCGCAGGCCGCCCGGCCAAACTGAGCAATCAGGGGAGAAGGGCCTTGGTCAGGGAGGTGACCAAGAACCCGATGGTCACTCTGGCCAAGCTCCAGAGTTCCTCTGTGGAGATGGGTGAACCTTCCAGAAGGACAACCATCTCTGCAGCACTCCACCAATCAGGCCTTTATCGTAGAGTGGCCAGAGGGAAGCCACTCCTCAGTAAAAGGCACATGACAGCCTGCTTGGAGTTTGCCAAAAGGCACCTAAAGGACTCTCAGACCATGAGAAACAAGATTCTCTGGTCTGATGAAACCAAGATTGAACTCTTTGGCCTGAATGCCAAGCGTCACGTCTGGAGGAAACCTGGCACCATCCCTATGGTGAAGCATGGTGGTGGCAGCATCATGCTGTGGGGATGTTTTTCTGCGGCAGGGACTGGGAGACTAGTCAGGATCGAGGGAAAGATGAACGGAGCAAAGTACAGAGAGATCCTTGATGAAAACCTGCTCCAGAGCGCTCAGGACCTCAGACTGGGTTCAAAGGTTCACCTTCCAACAGGACAATGACCCTAAGCACACAGTCAAGACAACGCAGGAGTGGCTTCGGGACAAGTCTCTGAATGTCCTTGAGTGGCCCAGCCAGAGCCCGGACTTGAACCCGATCGAACATCTCTGGAGAGACCTGAAAATAGCTGTGCAGTGACGTTCCCCATCCAACCTGACAGAGCTTGAAATGATCTACAGAGAAGAATGGGAGAAACTCCCCAAATACAGGTGTGCCAAGCTTGTACCTTCATACCCAAGAAGACTCGAGTCTGTAATTGCTGCCAAAGGTGCTTCAACAAAGTACTGAGTAAAGGGTCTGAATATTTATGTAAATGTGATATTTCTGGTTATTATTTTTGAAAAATGTGCGGAAATGTCTGAAAACCTGTTTTTGCTTCGTCATTATGGGGTATTGTATGTAGATTGATGAGGGAAAAAAACAATTTAATCAATTTTAGAATAAGACTGTAACGTAACAAAATATGGAAAAAGTAAAGGGGTCTGAATACATTCCGAATGCACTGTATGAATACATTTAAAAAAAGTTATTAAAGTATAAATTACCGAAGTTACCATACATTGCCATAGATAGCCAAAATTATAGAAGATTCCGGTGACTAAATTACCGGTAACTTTGCAACCCTAACTATACTATACTATGCTATACTGTGGTCCTCTGTAGCTCAGCTGGTAGAGCACGGTGGTGCTTGTAATGCCAAGGTAGTGGGTTCGATCCCCGGGACCACCCATACACAAAAATGTATGCACGCATGACTGTAAGTCGCTTTGGATAAAAGCGTCTGCTAAATGGCATATATATATATATATATACTATACTGTACTGTACCATGTCACTGCATTCATTGCATTTTAATGACTGTGCCTTTGCTGAAACGTAACAAATTCAACAACAATAGGGTATGTTTTGGACTGTGACTTTGAGGTGTACCGCTTATTATACTCTTTGCTGTTTTAAATGTGTTATTTAGAATCACAATGGGATATTCTATGGAACTCTGCTTGTTTTAATTCACACACACACACACACACACACACACACACACACACACACACACACACACACACACACACACACACACTGCTGTTTTGAATTGTTTTTGATAGGCTTGTAGGCTTGATTACTTGTAATAGTGTTGAAAATCCTGCAGAGCAATGCAATAATGTAATGAAGCTCTAGGTTATTAGCTTTGATTTATTTGCTGGTTTTATTTGCCGTGTCTGTGATGTGTAGAGCGCTACTTTTGTTGTTGTATTAAGTTGACACACACACACAGCCACACACACAGTCACACATACAGCCACACACACAGCCACACATACACAGCCACCCTGTTAGAGCAATGCTGTGGTATTGGGTTGTCTCAGAGGGCTTTATTGATTGGTTGATGGTGTGTAAAGCCGTGTGTCACTCTGTCAGCCAGTCGCCACAGGGCCACAGAACACACACGTGATTAAACACCACCCATTCTCTTTATCCTGCTGTGTGCGTGTGTGCGTGTGCGCGAGACCAATGTGTGCGTGTGTCAAATCCAACGTTATTTGTCACGTGCCGAATACAACAGCTGTAGACCTTACCGTGAAATGCTTACTTACAAGCCCTTAACCAACAATGGCATTTTTTAAACAAGTAAGTAAGAAAATATTAACATAAAAATAAAATAAAGTAAGAAAGAAGTAACACTATAAAAAAACAACGAGGCTACAGTTGAAGTCGGATGTTTACATACACTTAGGTTGGAGTCATTAAAACTTGTTTTTCATCCACTCCACACATTTCTTGTTAACAAACTATCGTTTTGGCAAGTCGGTTAGGACATCTACTTCGTGCATGACACAAGTAATTTTCCAACAATTGTTCACAGACAGATTATTTCACTTATAATGCACTGTATCACAATTCCAGTGGGTCAGAAGTTTACATACACTAAGTTGACTGTGCCTTTAAACAGCTTGGAAAATTCCAGAAAATGATGTCATGGCTTTAGAAGCTTCTGATAGGCTAATTGACATCATTTGAGTCAATTGGAGGTGTACCTGTGGATGTATTTCAAGGCCTACCTTCAAACACAGTGCCTCTTTGCTTGACATCATGGGGAAAAAAATTGCAGACTTCCACAAGTCTGGTTCATCCTTGGGAGCAATTTCCAAACGCCTGAAGGTACCACGTTCATCTGTACAAACAATAGTACGCAAGTATAAACACCATGGGACCACGCAGCCGTCATATCGCTCAGGAAGGAGACGCGTTCTGTCTCCTAGAGATGAACGTACTTTGGTGCGAAAAGTGCAAATCAATCCCAGAACAACAGCAAAGGACCTTGTGAAGATGCTGGAGGAAACAGGTACAAAAGTATATATATCCACAGTAAAACGAGTCCTATATCGACATAACCTGAAAGGCCGCTCAGCAAGGAAGAAGCCACTGCTCCAAAACCGCCATAAAAAAGCCAGACTACAGTTTGCAACTGCACATTGTGGACAAAGATTGTACTTTTGGAGAAATCTCCTCTGGTCTGATGAAACAAAAATAGAACTGTTTGGCCATAATGACCATCGTTATGTTTGGAGGAAAAAGGGGGAACGCTTGCAAGCCGAAGAACACCATGCCAACTGTGAGGAACGGGGGTGGCAGCATCATGCTGTTGGGGTGCTTTGCTGCAGGAGGGACTGGTGCACTTCACAAAATAGATGGCATCATGAGGAAGGAAAATTATGTGGATATACAGTGGGGAAAAAAGTATTTAGTCAGCCACCAATTGTGCAAGTTCTCCCACTTAAAAAGATGAGAGAGGCCTGTAATTTTCAACATAGGTACACGTCAACTATGACAGACAAATTGAGAAAGAAAAATCCAGAAAATCCCATTGTAGGATTTTTAATGAATTTATTTGCAAATTATGGTGGAAAATAAGTATTTGGTCACCTACAAACAAGCAAGATTTCTGGCTCTCACAGACCTGTAACTTCTTCTTTAAGAGGCTCCTCTGTCCTCCACTCGTTACCTGTATTAATGGCACCTGTTTGAACTTGTTATCAGTATAAAAGACACCTGTCCACAACCTCAAACAGTCACACTCCAAACTCCACAATGGCCAAGACCAAAGAGCTGTCAAAGGACACCAGAAACAAAATTGTAGACTTGCACCAGGCTGGGAAGACTGAATCTGCAATAGGTAAGCAGCTTGGTTTGAAGAAATCAACTGTGGGAGCAATTATTAGGAAATGGAAGACATACAAGACCACTGATAATCTCCCTCAATCTGGGGCTCCACGCAAGATCTCACCCCGTGGGGTCAAAATGATCACAAGAACGGTGAGCAAAAATCCCAGAACCACACGGGGGGACCTAGTGAATGACCTGCAGAGAGCTGGGACTAAAGTAACAAAGCCTACCATCAGTAACACACTACGCCGCCAGGGACTCAAATCCTGCAGTGCGAGACGTGTCCCCCTGCTTAAGCCAGTACATGTCCAGGCCCGTCTGAAGTGCATTTGGATGATCCAGAAGAGGATTGGGAGAAAGTCATATGGTCAGATGAAACCAAAATATAACTTTTTGGTAAAAACTCAACTCGTCATGTTTGGAGGACAAAGAATGCTGAGTTGCATCCAAAGAACACCATACCTACTGTGAAGCATGGGGGTGGAAACATCATGCTTTTGGGCTGTTTTTCTGCAAAGGGACCAGGACGACTGATCCGTGTAAAGGAAAGAATGAATGGGGCCATGTATCGTGAGATTTTGAGTGAATACCTCCTTCCATCAGCAAGGGCATTGAAGATGAAACGTGGCTGGGTCTTTCAGCATGACAATGATCCCAAACACACCGCCCCATGGCAACGAAGGAGTCGCTTCGTAAGAAGCATTTCAAGGTCCTGGAGTGGCCTAGCCAGTCTCCAGATCTCAACCCCATAGAAAATCTTTGGAGGGAGTTGAAAGTCTGTGATGCCCAGCGACAGCCCCAAAACATCACTGCTCTAGAGGAGATCTGCATGGAGGAATGGGCCAAAATACAAGCAACAGTGTGTGAAAACCTTGTGAAGACTTACAGAAAACGTTTGACCTGTGTCATTGCCAACAAAGGGTATATAACAAAGTATTGAGAAACTTTTGTTATTGACCAAATACTTATTTTCCACCATCGTTTGCCAATAAATTCATTAAAAATCCTACAAAGTGATTTTCTGGATTTTTTTTTCTCATTTTGTCTGTCATAGTTGACGTGTACCTATGATGAAAATTACAGGCCTCTCTCATCTTTTTAAGTGGGAGAACTTGCACAATTGGTGGCTGACTAAATACTTTTTTTCCCCACTGTATTGAAGCAACATCTCAAGACATCAGTCAGGAAGTTAAAGCTTGGTCGCAAATGGGTCTTCCAAATGGACAATGACCCCAAGCATACTTCCAAAGTTGTGGCAAAATGGCTTAAGGACAACAAAGTCAAGGAATTGGAGTGGCCATCACAAAGCCCTGACCTCAATCCTATATAACTTTTGTGGGCAGAACTGAAAAAGCGTGTGCGAGCAAGGAGGCCTACAAACCTGACTCAGTTACACCATCTCTGTCAGGAGGAATGGGCCAAAATTCACCCAACTTATTGTGGGAAGCTTGTGGAAGGCTACCCGAAACGTTTGACCCAAGTTAAACAATTTAAAGGCAATGCTACCAAATACTAATTGAGTGTATGTAAACTTCTGACCCACTGGGAATGTGATGAAAGAAATAAAAGCTGAAATAAATCATTCTCTCTACTATTATTCTGACATTTCACATTCTTAAAATAAAGTGTTGATCCTAACTGACCTAAGACAGGGAATCTTTACTAGGATTAAATGTCAGGAATGTATTTGGCTAAGGTGTATGTAAACTTCCGACTTCAACTGTATATACAGTGCAGGGGGTACCTGTACAGTGTCAATGTGCGGGGGTACAGGTTAGTCGAGGTCATTGAGGTGATATGGGGTACAGGTTAGTCGAGGTCATTGAGGTAATATGGGGTACAGGTTAGTCGAGGTCTTTTAGGTAATATGGGGTACAGGTTAGTCGAGGTCATTGAGGTAATATGGGGTACAGGTTAGTCGAGGTCAGTGAGGTAATATGGGGTACAGGTTAGTTGAGGTCATTGAGGTAATATGGGGTACAGGTTAGTCCAGGTCATTGAGGTAATATGGGGTACAGGTTAGTCCAGGTCATTGAGGTAATATGTACATGTGCCCGCTTGGGTGTTTTTCAGCGCCACGTTTTGCTCAGTGAAAATCACTTTTCCATCCAATGCTGGGTTATGCTTTTAAAATGTTGAAGGAATAGAGAGAGATATGGAGAGATGGGCTGATGCATTCTAACCTGGATTTGTCAATAGAAGATAACTCTTAGAATTGTGTTTTGCTCCTTCTGTCCGCCTTTCTTTGGGATTAGAGTTTCTCATCTTTTTTATTTCTCTCTCTCTCTCTAATCTTGCCCACGCAAGGCTTTGTCAGGTCTATCCTCATTCCTCACTCCTCTCTCTATCCTTCAATCTGACACAGAGTGTGGGTGTTAACCTTGCTGTGTGGGTTGGTATTATCTTGGCAGTGAGAGTGGAAACAATCTCTCCCATATTTCTCAATCTGTATAGACATATCTTTACCTTTTCTGAGGTAAAAGTCATTTTCTAAATGTCCCCAAAACGCTATATGAAATCAGCAGACTTAATCAATGATAAAGAGAAAGGGAAACTGAGAGATGAGACTTTTTTTTGTCACAGCCAATCAAATGTGTCTGCCTGAGTGTCTGAATCACCATTATTGTGTCACTGACAGAGTGGGCACAGAGTGGGCACAGAGTGGGCATTGAACTTCTCCTGATCCCGTTTACCATTGTTTACCAAAAGGCAGTGATGATTTTGTTAGAATTGATTAAAACCTTCTCTATCCCTCCCTCTTCCCTTTCTTTCCCTTCCCTCTTTATCTTTCCTCCTCATCTCTGCGTTCTTCCCCCTCTCCATCTCTCTCTAGACCACCATGGTATCGTTGGAGGGTCTATCTAAGGTGGTTGACCCCTCCCAGCTGACCCCTGATTTCGAGGGAAGTCTGGAATACAACCATGACGAGTGGATCGAGGTACGACCAGTCTATCAATTAATCAATCTATGGTTTGCAAAAACTAAAATACACTGACTAAAACACACACACACACACACACTTTAGCTCTATTAGTCAGTACTAAAACCACAAGTCAATCAATCCATCAATCAATCAATCCATACAGTATCTGCGTTCTTTTCCAGGTGCGGGTTGCATTTGAGGAGTTTACGGGGCACGCGGGTCACATGTTGTCGAGGCTGGAGGAGATGCAGGAGGTGGTGGCGAGGAAAGACTTCCCCACGGATCTGGACGGGGCTCGGCGCATGATAGAGGAACACGCCACGCTGAAGAAGAAAGTCATCAAAGCTCCAATAGAGGAACTGGATACGGAGGGACAGAGGTAGGCTGCGCACCACACACAGACACACACACACACGCACTCGGAAACAGACTGATGGTGAGGCTAATTTTACACTGCTGATGGTGTGTGTGTGTGTGTGTGTGTGTGTGTATGTTGTTTCACGTTATGTCCTCTCTCTCCCACGCTGTGTGTGTCCTCTCCCAGGTTACTGCAGCGTATCCAGAGCAGTGAGTCGTACAGGAACTCTAACGCCAGCGGTGTGTGTAACGCTGACTCCCAGGGGCTGATGCCACGCGTCGCCACCCTGCTGGACAAACTCCACACCACACGACAACACCTCCACCAGGCCTGGCACATCAGGAAACTCCAGCTGGACCAGTGCTTCCAGCTACGCCTCTTCGAACAGGACGCTGAGAAGGTATCATGGCTGGATGGATAGATAGTAAAGGAAAAGACAAGTGCAACAGTTAAAAGTGCTAGTATGATTTGTTTGTGTGTGTGAAGAGGGGGTGAATCGATCCAGTGTAATAGACTAATAGAGTATCATTGATACTGTAGATAGTTTCAGTAGAATAGACAGGTAGCAGTGTTGGACTGCGGTAGGGGCTTGTTGCTAGGACACCATAGACAGTAGTTAGCTCTGAAGAGGCTGTTGGTATTCTCTTATGACACTCATCTCTCTTCTCCCTGTGCCTTGTGCTTCACAGATACATCTATATGTGTATAAATGTATATATGTACAGTACCAGTCAAAAGTTTGGACACACCTACTCATTCAAGGGTTTTTCTTTATTTTTTACTATTTTCTACATTGTAGAGTAATAGTGAAGACGTCAAAACTATGAAATAACACATATGGAATCATGTAGTTACAAAAAGTGTTAAACAAATCAAAATCTATTTTATATTTGAGATTCTTCAAAGTAGCCACCCTTTGCCTTGATGAGAGCTTTGCACACTCTTGGCATTCTCTCAACCAGATTCACCTGGAATGCTTTTCCAACAGTCTTGAAGGAGTTCCTACATATGGTGAGCACTTGTTGGCTGATTTTCCTTCACTCTGCGGTCCAACTCATCCCAAACCATCTCAATTGGGTTGAGTTCGGGTGATTGTGGAGGCCAGGTCATCTGACGCAGCACTCCATCACTCTCCTTCTTGGTCAAATAGCCCTTACACAGCCTGGAGGTGTGTTGGGTCATTGTCCTGTTGAAAAACAAATGATAGTCCCACTAAGCCCAAACCAGATGGGATGACGTATCGCTGCAGAATGCTGTGGTAGCCATGTTGGTTATGTGTGCCTTGAATTCTAAATAAATCACAGACAGTGTCACCAGCAAAGCACCCACACACCATAACACCTCCTCCTCCACGCTTCACGATGGGAAACACACATGCGGAGATCATCCGTTCACCTACTCCGCATCTCACAAAGACACGGCGGTTGGAACCAAAAATCTCAAATTTGGACTCATCAGACCAAAGGACAGATTTCCACTGGTCTAATGTCCATTGCTTGAGTTTCTTGGCCCAAGCAAGTCTCCTCTTCTTATTGGTGACCTTTAGTAGTGGTTTCTTTGCAGCAATTCGACCATGAAGGCCTGATCCACACAGTCCCCTCTGAACGGTTGATGTTGAGATGTGTCTGTTACTTGAACTCTGTGAAGCACTTATTTTGGCTGCAGTCTGAGGTGCAGTTAACTCTAATGAACTTATCCTCTGCACCAAAGGTAACTCTGCGTCTTTCTTTCCTGTGGCGGTCCTCTTGAGAGCGACTGCACTTGAAGAAACGTTCAAAGTTCTTGAAATGTTCCGTATTGACTGACCTTCATGTCTTAAAGTAATGATGGACTGTCGTTTCTCTTTACTTATTTGAGCTGTTCTTGCCATAATATGGACTTGGTCTTTTACCAAATAGGGCTATCTTCTGTATACCACCCCTACCTTGTCACAACACAACTGATTGGCTCAAACGCATTAAGAAGGAAAGAAATTCCACAAATGAACTTTTAACAAGGTACACCTGTTAATTGAAGTACATTCCAGGTGACTACCTCATGAAGCTGGTTGAGAGAATGCCAAGAGTGTGCAAAGCTGTCATCAAGGCAAAGGGTGGCTATTTGAAGAATCTCAAATATAAAATATATTTGGATTTGTTTAACACATTTTTGGTTACTACATTATTCTATATGTGTTATTTCATAGTTTTGATGTCTTCACGATTCTACAATGTAAAAAATAGTAAAAATAAAGAAAAACCCTTGAATGAGTAGGTGTGTCCAAACTTTTGACTGGTAGTGTATATACACACACACACACTTGCAAGAAAGTGTTTTTGCACACATGTTTCTACATGCACACGTGCAAGCATACACACTCAACACATACACACACATACAGTACACACAAAGATAAACCTACACACAAGCACACTCTACTGTCTGTAGCTGTTGGCTGCCTGCCCTATCCCATCTCTAACGTGTGTGTGTGTGTGTCTTTTCTTCAGATGTTTGATTGGATCATGCACAACAAGGGTCTGTTCCTGGCTGGCTACACAGAGATCGGCAACAACCACCCACACGCCATGGAGCTACAGACACAACACAACCACTTTGCTATGAACTGCATGGTAAGAACACACATACAGACAGGAATCAGCACACATGCACGCACGCTATACACACACACACACACCGAGCAGCGGTCTATTAGATAACTAGAAGCAGTATCCATACAGGCTTACATAATGGTTCTGAAACTGATGTTTTTAAAGGGGTTATCTGCAGTTGCTACATCCATTTTCGGACTTATAAATTAATGATAAAGGCCTTGTTATTGTTTCAACTGCAGATTGCCCCTTTAAAGTAGGATATTAATCTACTGTGTTGCCTCAGCTAGATGATGACTCTGCAGATGGAAACTCACACTGACATTTAGCTCTAAAAAAATGCACTAAAAAAATGCTCTGCACTAAAAAAATGCTCTCTCTCGCTCTCCCTCGTGTGTACACATACCCTGACTAGTTCAGATGCTCTGGGGCTAAGTCCATAGGGAATCCATAGGTAGCTATTACAAAGCTGGCATCCTTCCATACTGACATCACTCCAATCCTTTCTAAAACCAGAATCTGTAATCCAGTGTAATGCCAGTACGCTAAATTGGGGTTTTCGGTATTGACTTATTTTTTGCTTATTGTGAAATATCTGTATTTTTATTTGTCTGTTATCTGAATAGCTAAATAAACCAAATCAATCTCTCTCACCCTCTCCCTCCCCCTTCCTCACCCCATTCCCCTCCCCTGTCCAGAACGTGTATGTGAACATCAACAGGATAATGTCAGTGGGTAACAGGCTGTTGGAGTCTGGTCACTATGCCTCGGTGCAGATTAAACAGATTTCAGGTCAGCTGGAAGCGGAGTGGAAAGCCTTCGCTGCTGCCCTGGATGAACGCAGCACACTGCTGGAGATGTCTGCCGCCTTCCAGCAGAAATGTGACCAGGTGGGTGGTGGTGGTACACACACGCTCGCGTGTGAACGCACACGCAAATGCAGGAACACACACATCCAAGCAGGTAGGCAGGCACACACACAGAATTGCTGAGTTTGTAGAATTCCAAATGCAGAATCAGGGCGGTCCTCTTTCCCAATAGGAATATTCCATATTATTACTCTCATCCTTGCATCCTTCCATGTTCCACAGTTAAAGAAAGAAAAACAGTACATTTTCCATGAAATTGAACTATTTTCCATAGATGCTACTTCACAAGGCCTCTCTCCTGTCTTTGTGTATTCTGATTGCTCGAGGGTAGACACATGGAGAATACATGGACACACTCATACACACATACACACACATTCCGTGGTGTGTGTGTATGTGTTTGATCTCTGAATGATGAGAGCGTGCAGTGAGATTACAATTAGATTAGAATCCTACTGTGTTGGTTTGTTTAATATCCCCATGTGTGACTTGTTCTTTTATTTTATTCTCTGCTATGTCTTTTTGTCCCCCACGTTGAAATCGGGGAGGGGACTGTGGATCGATCTCCGTCCGGCCATCTGTCCGTTCGTTCATATGTTAGTCACACGCGATATCTCAGACAACACTGGCCCGATTTTGACGAAACTTGGGTGAATGATGCGTCTTGCCATAGAGATCCGGCATTTACAAATTACACTGATTGGCGGGAGCTATAGTAATTAACTGACATTTGAGAGTCCCTCCAGAGAGGAAGAGGTGAAGCGCGAGGGATAACTGGGCCCAAAATCCCTCTTCTCCAGCAGGTGGCGTTTTTTCTTTGGCACATTACATGGAATACAGGGAGTGGATTAGCTGAAGAGACTGCATGGCTCGACGTTCAGGGCTGCCCGCTGGCCCGGCAACATCTGCCGAGCTCACCGGGCCAGTTAATCAAGTTTTCAGATAGCCTGCTTGGGCCAGTACATTCCCAAACAATCACATGATGTTATTAGAGCCAGTAGGAGTTTTGATAGGACATTAAACAAGCAACAAGATCACATTTAGTCTAATGACTAGCCTATTGTGGTAAACAATGCAGAGAAACCCAATGCTTCAGCCATGTAGCCACGAGGCTGTATCAGACAGGTGATAATGCTAATTGCTAAAATAGCACACCTGCCTGATAATATGTACAGGCTCTAAAAATATTGCTTTTCATCAAAATGTTATTGGGCTAATTTCTGGAGGGGATCATTCGTGGGGGATGTTTACTGTTGCCTTGTTTTCCTTTAATGTTTTTAGTTTGTTTTCCTCTATTGTCCCATCAGGATTGGAATCATTTACAAAGAACTAACCTAGCCATGTGACATCCATGTTATCATGGTGGAATCATGGTAGAATAATGCAAAGGGTGGCTATTTGAAGAATATAAAATATAACATTTATTTTGATTTGTTTAACACTTTTTTGGTTACTACATGATTGCATATGTGTTATTTCATAGTTTTGATGTCTTCACTATTATTCTACAATGTAAAAATAAAGAAAAACCCTTGATTGAGTAGGTGTGTCCAAACCTTTGACTGGTACTGTACATAGTTACTAGACTCAGCGCTTTGAGCATCGGGTGAGTGTGTGTGTGTGTTCCTCTCTATAGTACATGAGTAACATGGACTCGTGGTGTAAAGTGTGTGTAATGTGTATCTGTTCCTGTTCCTGTCTCTACAGTACATGAGTAACATGGACTCGTGGTGTAAAGTGTGTGTAATGTGTATCTGTTCCTGTTCCTGTCTCTACAGTACATGAGTAATGTGGACTCGTGGTGTAAAGTGTGTGTAATGTGTATCTGTTCCTGTTCCTGTCTCTACAGTACATGAGTAATGTGGACTCGTGGTGTAAAGTGTGTGTAATGTGTATCTGTTCCTGTTCCTGTCTCTACAGTACATGAGTAATGTGGACTCGTGGTGTAAAGTGTGTGTAATGTGTATCTGTTCCTGTTCCTGTCTCTACAGTACATGAGTAATGTGGACTCGTGGTGTAAAGCGTGTGTAATGTGTATCTGTTCCTGTTCCTGTCTCTACAGTACATGAGTAATGTGGACTCGTGGTGTAAAGTGTGTGTAATGTGTATCTGTTCCTGTTCCTGTCTCTACAGTACATGAGTAATGTGGACTCGTGGTGTAACGTGTGTGTAATGTGTATCTGTTCCTGTTCCTGTCTCTACAGTACATGAGTAATGTGGACTCGTGGTGTAAAGCGTGTGTAATGTGTATCTGTTCCTGTTCCTGTCTCTACAGTACATGAGTAATGTGGACTCGTGGTGTAACGTGTGTGTAATGTGTATCTGTTCCTGTTCCTGTCTCTACAGTACATGAGTAATGTGGACTCGTGGTGTAAAGCGTGTGGAGAGGTGGATCTACCCTCGGAGCTCCAGGACCTAGAAGATGCTATCCACCACCACCAGGGCCTCTACGAACACATCACTGCTGCCTACTCAGAGGTAAACGGCACTGCTGCATACCCAGAGGTAACATACCTGTGTGTGGGTGTAGGTGTGAGTGTAGATCAATGGAAGCTGGTGGGAGGAGCTATAGGGGGACAGGCTCATTGTAATGGCTGGAATGGAATGAATGGAACATTATCAATAAATGGAAACCACGTTTGACTCCGTTCTGTTTATTCCATTCCAGCCATTACAATGAGCCCGTCCTCCAATAGCTCCTCCCACCAGCCTCCTCTGGTGTAGGTGTGTTGGTTTGGGTGTGATGGTTAGTGTGGGTGTGGGAGTGATGGTTAGGGTGGGAGTGATGGTTAGGGTGGGAGTGATGGTTAGGGTGGGTGTGATGGTTAGGGTGGGTGTGATGGTTAGGGTGTGATGGTTAGGGTGGGTGTGATGGTTAGGGTGGGTTTGAGGTATCACTAGCAAGTTCTATACCAACATGTTTCCCTCCCCCTCCCCCAGGTCAGCCAGGACGGTAAGGCCCTATTGGATAAGCTTCAGCGCCCTCTGACCCCGGGGGGGGCTGATTCGCTGACAGCCTCGGCCAACTACAGCAAGGCGGTGCACCATGTGCTGGATGTCATACACGAGGTGCTGCACCACCAGAGACAACTGGAGAATATCTGGCAACACCGCAAAGTCCGCCTGCACCAGAGGCTCCAGCTGTGTGTGTTCCAGCAAGACGTACAGCAGGTGTGTACTAGTTCTGTTCCTGTGTGGCTCAGTTGGGAAGAGCCTGGCTCTAGCAACGCCAAGGTCGTGGGTTCAATACCCGCAGGGATCACATAAATGATACACATACTGGAAATGTATGGACACACTCACTAGTAGGCATCACCCTCGTAGCCAGCCAAGGTAACTGTTGCCATGGTGACGCTGCTGGCCAGTATCCACCGGGACCACCCATACACAAAAATGTATGCACGCATGACTGTAAGTCGCTTTGGATAAAAGCGTCTGCTAAATGGCATATTATTATTATTATTATTATTATATCCAGGTGAGGGGTATTCTGCCAAGTGGTAGAGGGAGGGATGGAGAAAGATCTGCGAAGGAGGGAGAGAGCAGGACAAGGGAGGTGTGAAGAGGGAGAAAGAAAGGTGGGAGGAATGGGAGGGTTTTGTCTAGAAGGGATACAGCTTTTCGTAGCAGGTTTAGGAGAACTTACGCAGCAGGTTAGGAGAATTAACAGAGCAGATAAGGGGAATTAGGTTAAGGTTAGGGTTAGCAAAAATGCATCAATTTGACAAAAGCTGTACGCCATCTAGACATGACCAGACAGGAGAGAACTCATCCTCTCTGTCATCTCCCTTCCTCTGCCTACTGACTGGAGTAGTGTGCTGTTCTATCAACCCTGTCATCTCCCTTCCTCTGCCTACTGACTGGAGTAGTGTGCTGTTCTATCAACCCTGTCATCTCCCTTCCTCTGCCTACTGACTGGAGTAGTGTGCTGTTCTATCAACCCTGTCATCTCCCTTCCTCTGCCTACTGACTGGAGTAGTGTGCTGTTCTATCAACCCTGTCATCTCTCTTCCTCTGCCTACTGACTGGAGTAGTGTGCTGTAATGTCTATCCCTACAGTTCCCCTAGTGGTGGACTGGCAGCACGACACCCCCTTTTTCCTCTGGCCAACAGCCTCAACTTCTATGCCACTTAGCTAACGTGCATGCTTGTGTGTGTGCAGGTTCTGGACTGGATAGAGAACCATGGGGAGGCGTTCCTCAGTAAACACACAGGCGTAGGGAAGTCCCTCCATCGAGCCAGAGCACTACAGAAACGACACGAGGACTTCGAGGAGGTCGCCCAGGTAGGACACCTCTCTTCATGTCTCTGCCTTGACCTTTCCTCTCTCTATCACATACTCTCTCTCTCTCCGTCTTTGCACTAAAGTAAAGTGTATCTCTCTCTCTCCTCCCCTTCACCCTTTCTCTTGTTAGCTGTCCCCCCTCTCTCTCTCTCTCTCTCTCTCTCTCTCTCTCTCTCTCTCTCTCTCTCTCTCTCTCTCTCTCTCTGTCTCTGTCTCTCTATCTAACTCTCTCTCTACCTCGCTATCTCACTCTCTACCTCGCTACCTCACTCTCTCTCTCTACCTCTCTGTCTCTCTCTACATCTCTATCTCACTCTGTCTCTCTCTCTCTCTCTCTCTCTCTCTCTCTCTCTCTCTCTCTCTCTCTCTCTCTCTCTCTCTCTCTCTCTCTCTCTCTCTCTCTCTCTCTGTCTCTCTCCCCATCCTCTGTCTTCTCTTTGTCTCTCTGTCTCTCTCCCCATCCTCTGTCTTTCTCTTTGTAACGGTTCTCTCCCCCCTCCAGAACACCTATACTAATGCTGACAAGCTGCTGGAGGCAGCGGAGCAGTTAGCCCAGACAGGAGAGTGTGATCCAGAGGAGATCTACCAGGCAGCCCACCAGCTAGAGGACCGCATCCAGGACTTTGTTAGGAGGGTGGAGCAACGCAAAGTCCTGCTGGACATGTCTGTCGCCTTCCACACACACGTCAAAGAGGTACAGAGTGGGAGGGAGAGTGTGTGTGTGGGGTGGGGCGGTGGGTGGAGATGGAGGGGTGTGTGGGTGTGTGCGTGCGTGCGTTGGTCAAGTAGCGCAACATTTTACTGGATTGTGTGTGTGTTTGACATGATGGGTAGGTGTGTGTGTGTGTTAACATCTCTCTGTCCCTAGCTGTGGACGTGGTTGGAGGAGCTGCAGAAGGAGTTATTAGATGATGTGTATGCTGAGTCTGTGGAGGCGGTGCAGGATCTGATCAAACGCTTCAGCCAGCAGCAGCAGACCACCTTGCAGGTCACTGTCAACGTCATCAAGGAGGGAGAGGACCTCATCCAGCAGCTCAGGTAGAACACACACACACACAAAGATGTGCACACACACTAACACACACACACACACACACAAAATGAATTAAAAGAAACTGAGCAAAATATTATTCAGATAGTGGGCAGAAGGTGAGTAGGATGGAAGATAGGAGAGGAGGAGGAGGAGGAGGAGGAGGAGGAGGAGAGAAAACAACAGCATCCTCACGTAGCGGACTGCCAGATGAGAGAGAGAGAGGCAATAGAAAGGGAGAGATAGAAGGAGTAGGTTGAGAGTTAGAGAACTGCATGTATTTGACACCTCTGACCATGATTCTGGTTCTAATTATATCAAGTGTGTGAGTCTGAGACCTAGCCCTCAACACACACATATACACACACACACACTGAGCATTCTCTCTCTCTCTCTCTCTCTCTCTCTCTCTCTCTCTCTCTCTCTCTCTCTCTCTCTCTTTCTCTCCTCTGAGTATTGTTACATAATGCTGGTTACATAACAGTGTGGCTAATTATGTAGCATCCCCCAAGACTCTGCTATAACACTGTGTATGCGGTTTAGACAGGGCTTAGGCTCTGATGGGTTAACTACATTTGGACCAGAGCTAGCCCTTGATCATGACTCTCAGTTCCATTACATTACACATTACATTACACGTTTTTTGTGGGACTGGAAAAGAAAATGCCTGGAACGTAAAATAACGTTATTAACCGGTTCCCATGCTTTTAAAATAACGGTTCTGTTCGGGAACAGTATAGATCACTTACGTTCTCGTTTTCCGGTTCTATTCCCTGAAGCGGTTCCAACCCCTGGTATGTACACATGTCCAACTGTGTGTGTGTGTACGTGTGTGTGTGTACGTTTTCTTCAATATGTGTGTGTGTGTGTGTTCTCTCCTGTGGCAGGGACTCTGCTATCTCCAGTAACAAGACTCCCCACAACAGCTCCATCAACCACATAGAGAGTGTCTTACTGCAGCTGGACGAGGCCCAGGCTCAGATGGAGGAGCTGTTTCAGGAGAGGAAGATCAAACTAGAACTCTTTCTACAACTACGCATCTTTGAGAGGGACGCCATCGATGTGAGTGTATTGTGGGGGTGGTGTGTGTGGCAGAGGTGGTTCGGAGAACTACCCTTGTCTAGGCTTTAGCTCAGTGAGCTAACGTAGTCTTGGGTTTTTAGATGACCTGACTCAATGACACACCTGACTCATGTCATACGTGTGTGTGTGTGTGTGTGTGTGGTGTGTATCCTTACCTTTGTGTGTATGTGTGTCCACACATGTCTGCATCTATATATCTCACCTCTCTCTCTCTCTCTCCCACCCCCAGATCATCTCAGACCTGGAGTCGTGGAATGAGGAGTTGACTGTTCAGATGAGTGAGTTTGATACAGAGGACCTGACCCTGGCAGAACAGAGACTCCAACACCATGCTGACAAGGCCCTGACCATGAACAACCTGACCTTTGACGTCATCCACCAGGGACAGGAACTGCTGCAGTACGTCAACGAAGTACAAGCCTCTGGTGAGTAGCAGTACACACACGTGTGCACAAAGGAGCTTGCATAGTCAGCTTACATGGAATTACATTATTTCTCTCTTTCTCTCTCTCCATACCCCCCTCTCTTTCCGTCCCTCCCTCTCCTCTCCCTTCAGGTGTAGAGTTGCTGTGTGACAGAGATGTGGACATGGCTACTCGTGTTCAGGACCTGCTGGAGTTCCTCCATGAGAAGCAACAGGAGTTGGACGTAGCAGGTGAACAACACAGGAGACACCTGGAGCAGTGTGTACAGCTACGACACCTGCAGGCCGAAGTCAAACAGGTACGCACACCCACCTCTAGCAGTGTGTACAGCTACAACACCAGAACCATCAATTGATACCACAAAATGTCCCATTAAATACCAGTAGAAACAGCACCATAGTAAATACCAGGTAAGTACCAGTGGAAACAGTACTAAAATGCTATCCTGATAATTTATATCCTTGTTCCTGGTCTGTGCAGGTCCTGGGCTGGATCCGTAATGGGGAGTCTATGTTGAATGCTGGTCTGATCACAGCCAGTTCTCTACAGGAAGCAGAACAGCTACAGAGAGAACACGAACAGTTCCAGCATGCCATTGAGGTGAGCTCATCAGTCCGCGACGCAACATAACATACTTTCATTCTTAGACATTGATAAACAAATGCATAATTTCATCTCTCTCTCTCTCTCTCTTTCTCTCTTTCTCCCAATCCGATATTGTGTAATATAAACCCTTTCTCTCTCTCCTCCCTCTCTCCTCTCCTCTCTCCTCCCTCTCTCCTCCCTCTCTCCTCTCCTCTCCTCTCCTTGTAGAAAACCCACCAGAGTGCTCTGCAGGTGCAGCAGAAGGCTGAGGCGTTACTCCAGGCCAACCACTATGATATGGACCTGATCAGAGACTGTGCTGAGAGTGTAGCGTCCCACTGGCAGCAGCTCATGTTGAAGATGGAGGACAGGCTGAAACTGGTCAACGCCTCTGTAGCCTTCTACAAGACCTCCGAACAGGTAGGGGGCGCCCTCACTGTGAAGGGGGCAGGGGAACGTTTCAAGTCTGGACTAAAGGGGTAGTCAGTTACCGGATGGACATGCTAGAAAGTGCCAATATTGTTACATGATGAACAAGTATGTAGGTGTTTGGAAATGTGCATTATGGGAACTGCAGTTTTAAAGCCATTGCTGTCTCTAACAGGTGCATAGTGTGTAGGTGAGCCTGGAGCATAAGAGGGAAGAGGACTGGTGTAGCATTATGGGAGCTGTAGTTTATGTACTGTAAATATCTGACTGAAACAGGTGTGCAGTGTGTTGGAGAGCCTGGAGCAGGAGTATAAGAGGGAAGAGGACTGGTGTGGGGGGGCTGATAAACTGGGTCCTAACTGTGAGTCAGACCACGTCACTCCCATGATCAGCAAACACCTGGAACAGAAAGAGGCCTTCCTCAAGGTAGGAACACACACACAAATGCACACAAACACCCCCCCCCCCCCCCCCCCCACACACACACACACACACACAGCTGTTACCCATGTGTCCAACTGTGTGTCTTTTGCTAGGCATGTACCCTGGCCAGACGTAATGCTGACGTGTTCCTGAAGTACATGCACCGGAACAGTGTTAACATGCCTGGGATGCTCAGCCATGTCAAAGCACCCGAACAACAGGTCAAGAGTGAGTATCATACATACAGTTGGTAGAGCATGGCGTTTGCAACGCCAGGGTTGTGGGTTCGATTCCCACGGGGGGCCAGTATGAAAAATAAAAAAATGATGTATGCACTAACTGTAAGTCGCTCTGGATAAGAGCGTCTGCTAAATGACTAAAATGTAAAAATGTAATACACACACATTCATATTATACCATGAGAATGATTTATCTAAGACAGTATAATCTAATCTAATATCTTTGTTCGTGTTGCGGTCAGACATCCTGAATGAGTTGTTACAGAGAGAGAATCGTGTTCTCCACTTCTGGACCATGAGGAAACGACGTTTGGACCAGTGTCAGCAATACGTGGTGTTTGAACGCAGCGCCAAACAGGTACACACACAATTTACACACACTCTCAATCACTCTGTCTCTCTCTACCTCTCAATCACTCTCTCTCTTTAACTCTATCTCACTCTCTCTCTCTACCTCTCTATCTAACTCTCTCTCTACCTCGCTATCTCACTCTCTCTACCTCGCTACCTCACTCTCTCTCTCTACCTCTCTATCTCACTCTGTCTCTCTATCTCACTCTGTCTCTCTCTACCTCTCAATCACTCTGTCTCGCTACCTCTCTATCTCACTCTGTCTCTCTACCTCTCTATCTCACTCTGTCTCTCTACCTCTCTATCTCACTCTGTCTCTCTCTACCTCTATCTCACTCTGTCTCGCTACCTCTCTATCTCACTCTGTCTCTCTCTACCTCTATCTCACTCTGTCTCTCTCTACCTCTATCTCACTCTGTCTCGCTACCTCTCTATCTCACTCTGTCTCTCTCTACCTCTATCTCACTCTGTCTCGCTACCTCTCTATCTCACTCTCTCTCTACCTCTATCTCACACTCTCTCTCTACCTCTCTATCTCACTCTCTCTCTACCTCTATCTCACACTCTCTCTCTACCTCTCTATCTCACTCTGTCACTACCTCTCTATCTCACTCTGTCTCGCTACCTCTCTATCTCACTCTGTCTCGCTACCTCTCTATCTCACTCTCTTTCTCTACCTCTATCTCACACTCTCTCTCTACCTCTCTCACTCTCTCTCTACCTCTCTTTTTGTCTTTTGTTTTCTTTCCTACTCAAAGCTCTAACAACAGTCAAAATGGCTGTTCTCTCTGTCCCTTCATTCTCTGTTTCTGTCCGCTCATCTGTAACACCTGTCTAGCGCTCTACTCCAATGTCCACCTCAACGATCTCTGTGTGTGTGTAATCCTCAGGCTCTGGAGTGGATCCATGACACGGGAGAGTTCTACCTGTCAACCCACACCTCCACTGGCTCCAGTATCCACCACACACAGGAGCTGCTGAAGGAGCACGAAGACTTCCACATCACAGCCAGGGTAGGAAGGAACACACATGCACGCACACAGACACACAGACAGACCGAACTATATACAGTAGACACAAACCTATACGTCATAACGTTTTTAAAACCCAGCATTACACATTGAAAATTAAACCCTCTCCTTCCCTCCTCTCTCTCTCTCGTTCTCTCTCTTTCTCACTCCCCCCCCCCCCCCACCCCCTCCCCAGCAAACAAAAGAGCGTGTCAAGCTGCTGATCCAGCTAGCGGATGGCTTCTGTGATAAGGGCCATAGTCATGCTGTGGAGATAAAGAAGTGGGTGACTGCAGTGGACAAACGCTACAGAGACTTCTCCCTGCGGATGGACAAGTACCGGACCAGTCTAGAGAAGGCACTGGGCATCTCATCTGACACTAACTCCAAGGCTGTAAGTCTGGAGGGTGTGTCGGGGTGTCGACGAGGTGGGGGGGGGGGGTATGTATGTGGAGGGGGAGGAGGCATGTTTCCATATAATGGTTGCTGGAAATATTAATGGTTAAATCATCTCTGCACACTGAAGAAGGCTTTTAGTGTAAACATTTGTGTATGATGATCCATGCCCTTTGCAGATAAAACAAAGTGCAGCTCTTCAAAAGTACTTTTTGGGACAGTCCTACTGTATTTCTTTGTAAATCATCTCTCCCTCTCCCTTCCTCCATCCCTCTCTCAGAGTAAGGACCTCCAGTTGGACATCATCCCGGCCACACCTCAAGGGTCAGAGGTCAAGCTGAGAGACGCGGCTCACGAACTCAACGAGGAGAAACGCAAGTCCGCTCGCAGGAAGGAGTGCGTCATCACTTCCTCTTAACTTCCTGAAACCGCATAAGATCGGTCACAGTCATAATGAACCAATTCCAAAGCCAATCAACCAGTAGATCCTGCCTTGGCCTCTTGTCCCAACTCATCATCTCATAACTAAAACTGCTGTAGCAGCACTACTACTAATACAGTACACACACACACACACACACACACACACAAACACACACACACACACACACTGCTCTAAACAGCCACAACTACAGACACGACAATGCATTTTAAAATGCATCTCACAAATCATCACCATCATAATGAGTTATGGCCAGGTTATAATGATGTCTTAATGGACAGAAACTCCTACAGGCCTTACATTATTCACCAGTCTAAATGGACAGGGCAGACGGACTAAAAGGGTTCTATTGATAATGATATAAATCAGCAAAAGAGGCTAACCATGTGTGTGTTTGTGTGTGTAGGTTCATCATGGCTGAACTGATTCAGACAGAGAAGACCTATGTCAGAGACCTAAGGGAGTGTACGGACGTAAGTTTAACCTACTCTGTCTTTCTCTACCCCCAAACCCAGGGGTGTCAAACTCATTCCATGAAGGGCCTAGTGTCTGCAGATTTTTGGTTAAGACCTAGACAACCAGGTGAGGGGACTTCTTTACTAATCAGTGACCTTAATTCATCAAACAAGTACAAGGGAGGAGTGAAAACCCGCAGACACTTGGCCCGCGGTGGAATGAGTTTGACACACGTGTCCTAACCTATAGTGGAATTCTACTGCCAATGTCTGGCGCCACCTTGTGAAATTTTAACACAACACGTGAACTTATGAAATGTAGGGTGCTGTGTTGAATTCCATTATATGCAGCGGCTGTGAATTAATTGATCTGATATCTGCCCCTTCCGTGTGTGTGTGATCTAACCCCCTCTCTCCATCCTCCTCCCTCCAGACATACCTATGGGAGATGACCAGTGGGGTAGAGGAGATCCCTCCTGGCATCGTCAACAAGGAACACATCATCTTTGGAAACATGGTGGACCTCTATGAGTTCCATCACAAGTATGTAATTTACATACTGACAGGCAGACAGCAAACCATTGCAGCTGTCCAGACAGGCAGCAAACTATTGCTTTCGGTAGTCAAACAGTTGAAACTCGTGGTTAACTTCTAATGCCGAAACACTATACAGTTTTATGGTGTCTGCCCACCTGCTCACTCTCTCTCTCTCTCTCTCTCTCTCTCTCTCTCTCTCTCTCTCTCTCTCTCTCTCTTCTTCCCTCTCCTCCATCAACAGTATCTTCCTCAAAGAGCTGGAGAAGTATGAACAGCTACCAGAAGACGTGGGCCACTGCTTTGTCACATGGGTGAGTGTGTGTGAGTCCCTAAAATAGCCAAATGTAGGTTTCTATGAAATAGAGAGAGGATGTACTCCAAGTAATAATTTCTCAGGACAGATTTATCTCTATTTCTAAATTGTGATAGGTCAAAAAGGAAACGTATGGCTTTGGAGTATATTTGTTTAAACTCTTAGTTGTATTTCTGTGTGTCCAGGCTGATAAGTTCCAGATGTACGTGAACTACTGTAAGAACAAACCAGACTCCACCCAGCTTATCCTAGAGCACGCCGGACCCTACTTTGACGTGAGTACCCTGCTCTCCCATTGGCCCTCACTGTGACGGACAGCTCTTTGCGTCCAATCACATCACTGTGTTTCTCTGTGTGGGCGTGTACAGGAGATCCAGCAGCGGCACCGATTGGCCAACTCCATCTCCTCCTACCTGATCAAGCCTGTTCAGCGAATCACCAAGTACCAGCTTCTGCTCAAGGTAACCATAGCAACCCACTGCTATAAACCACATACACAACCACAACAAATGTTTGTACCCTTATGTTTACATTGTGATGAGCAGGAATGTAGGGACAGCGATTATGTTACTTGACGTCCATAATCTTGTCTGCCGTTCAGCCCATCTTTTTTTTCTCCACTACATCCCAGGTTATGGGTAATTGAGCACCCACAAATGGGCTGATTGTCTTTCACAATAAATACGTATTTGCTTTCAAAGGGTTTTTGTTGATGGTACCTCTCTGATGTGTAGGAGCTGCTGACGTGCTGTGAGGAGGGGAAAGGAGAGATCAAGGATGGACTGGAGGTCATGCTCAGTGTCCCCAAGAGAGCCAACGACGCCATGCACCTCTCAATGCTGGAGGGTAGGACACACACACATCTAACCAGCGATGCTCATGAACATATGTATGGTGAAGTAACTCTCTATCCCTTTCTCCATCTCTCCCTCCATCTCTCGCTCCCTCTCCTGTAGGTTTCGATGAGAACATTGAATCTCAGGGAGAGCTGATCCTGCAGGAATCATTCCAGGTGTGGGATCCTAAGACTCTGATCCGTAAGGGTCGCGAGCGGCACCTCTTCCTCTTCGAGATGTCCCTCATCTTCAGCAAGGAGGTCAAGGACTCCAACGGACGGAGCAAGTACATGTACAAGAGCAAACTCTACGTGAGTAAAACATTCTCTCTCTCTTTTTCATTTTCTCTCTCTCTCTCTCTCTCTCTCTCTCTCTCTCTCTCTCTCTCTCTCTCTCTCTCTCTCTCTGTCTCTGTCTCTGTCTCTGTCTCTGTCTCTGTCTCTCTCTGTCTCTGTCTCTGTCTCTCTCTCTCTGTCTCTGTGTCTCTCTTTTTGTCTCTATATATCTTTATTTGTCTTTATCGCTCCGTCTGTTTATGGTGTGTTATTGGCTCGAAATACACATATACGTATTACATATTGCCAAAGGAATTCCTATAAAATGTCAGGGATTTCTCTCCCTCTCTCCAGACGTCAGAGTTGGGGGTAACAGAGCACGTTGAGGGAGACCCCTGTAAGTTTGCTCTGTGGGTGGGACGCACCCCAACCTCCGACAACAAGATTGTACTCAAGGTAAAAACAGAGGGGAATACCTTCCATCCCTCTCTCCTCTCTGCCTTGTTACTCTTCCCCCTCTCCTCCTTTCTTCTACTTCCAATCACTTTTTACTTCTCTTCTCCTCTCCCCTGTTTGATTGCATGACTATTGTGCTGCCTGATGGATGTGAAGCTTCGTATGAGCCTTCGTATGGGCTTCTCTGTTTCTTGTTCCTCTGTATTTCTCTCTCTCTCTCTTTCTATACATCTGTTACCTGGGTCTCTCTATCGCTCTGTGTTGTGTCTAATGACTGTTCTATCATACAGCCTAGTCTAGTACAGTACATCTGTTACCTGGGGCTGTTTTGTTTATGTTTGTATCTCTGAATATTAAACGTTCGTTCGCTAACCAACCGTGGGCTAACATGCTTACGCCAACACCACTGACATGAACTTTAACTCCTAAACTCCCACAATTCCTCCAACTCCCACACCCTCTAGCTACTTTTTACATCCTCTGTATGGAGTAGAGGCATATACATTTTTCTCTTCTAGAAAAATGGATCTCTTCTTGTTTTAGGATTTGACACCTCACGTGTTGACCCTCTTTCTCTCATCTTCCCTCTCTCTGTCTCTCTCTCTCTTATCTTCCTTTCTTCCTCTCTCTCTATTTTTCTCTCTCCTTACCAAACTAAACATCTTATATTTTTTTAATACCCACCTCCAAAGCTAGTTTTAGTACTGATGCTTCTTGTTTGTGTCAGTGGTTGGAAAAGCATGTTGCCCTACTCCTAACCTGTTGTCTCTGACATAATATAATGACTCTGTTCCTATTCTGTCCATCAATATAACTGTTAACCACCTAACTAATTAACTAACTAGCCACCACCAAAATGCTCTAACTGTTGTCCGTCAGTCATCTCGAACCAGTCTGTCGTCATTGAAAATGTAATATAAATTAACTAAACACAAACCAGTGAAATTCTCTATTTTATATTTGAACCAAAGCCAAGTCAGGGATGCAAACATGGATCGATGGTGAGTAAAACTGTACTAACTAGCCTAACACCTAATATAGCCCTCGGCTGCATCTCAATACTCTACTGTGGCCTCCTCTCTTTGTCACCTTTCCTCTCCTACTCTCCTTATTCTCTGTTTCAATGTCCACACTAGCTTACTACTTAGAATGAAGCCGTGTGGATATTGGAATATAACCGTTTCTTCTCCAGTGGGGTCTATTAAACTGTTTAGACTAAATATGAGTTCAGAGAGCGAGGTGATTGGGTGAATTAACTTATGACCTTTGACCCCTCCTCCCTGGGCCAATGGCAGGCGTCGAGCATTGAGAACAAGCAGGATTGGATCAAACACATCAGGGAGGTGATTCAGGAACGAACCATCCACCTGAGAGGAGCTCTGAAGGAACCCATACACATCCCTAAGTCTGCCACCGCCAAGCACCACAAGGGACACCGCAGGTACAGGTACACAAGTGCATAAGTATACTATACACACCTACACACAGAGACAAACATACACTGAGTGTACAAAACAAAACTCTTTCCATGACAGACTGAACAGGTGAAAGCTATGATCCCTTATTGATGTCACCTGTTCAAACCACTTCAATCAGTGTAGATGAAAGGTAGGAGACAGGTTAAAGAAGGATTTTTAAGCCTTAAGACAATTGAGTCATGGATTGTGTATGTGTGCCATTCAGAGGGTGAATGGGCAATACTAAAGGTTTAAGTGCCTTAGAACGGGGTATGGTAGTAGGTGCAGGCACACCAGTTTGAGTGTGTGAAGAACTGCAACGCTGCTAAGTTTTTCACACTAAACAGTTTCCTGTGTGTATCAAGAATGGTCCAACACCCAAAGGACATCCAGCCAACTTGACACAACTGTGGGAAGCATTGGAGTGAACATGGGCCAGCATCCCTGTGGAATGCTTTCGACACCTTGTGGAGTCCATGCCCCGACGAATTGAGTCTGTTCTGAGGGCAAAAGGCAGGGTGCAACTCAATATTAGGAAGGTGTTCTTAATGTTTTGTACTCTCAGGATACACTCATATGCATGTAGACTCACATGCATGCATTCACACGCACAACCACCTCCCCAAACACACACTTACACACTCACCTCTGCCTGTGTATTTGTCTCTATCAGGGATGGAGAGGACTTGGACAGCCAGGGTGACGGCAGCAGCCAACCAGACACCATCTCTATCGCCTCACGCACCTCACAGAACACACTGGACAGCGACAAGGTGGGCACACACACACTGGTCATCTCTCTAGCGTTACGAACATCACAGAACATAGACAGGTGAGAACAGCACACAGTATTTCTAGAATGTGATCATGAAGAGAAAGCTTCAGTTGAAAAGGACCTGAGGACTTTGACGCCTGCTTTTCCCTCGCAGGGGAATAATGTAATAATGATCCGTCCACCTCCTCCTATGATTCTACATTCCTCCTGACCATCTCTCTCTCCGCTCCTCCAGCTGTCCGGTGGCTGTGAGCTGACTGTGGTGATCCATGACTTCATGGCTGGTAACAGCAACGAGCTGACTGTCCGGAGGGGCCAGACGGTGGAGGTCCTGGAGAGGTGCCATGACAAGCCTGACTGGTGTCTGGTGCGGACCACGGACCGCTCCCCTGCCCACGAGGGACTGGTACCCTGCACCATGCTCTGCATCGCCCACTCACGCTCCTCCATGGAGATGGAGGGGATATTCAACCATAAAGGTGGGTTAGGAGGTGTGTGGTAGGAGGTAGTGTCATTGAGTTTCAGAAAAGCTCTTTATTATGGATTATTCTATGTATTATGGGTGGGGGAAGAAGTGTGTGTTCAAAGTCCTCTTCTGTCTTTGATAACCTCTCCCTCTCTCCCCCTCCTCCCTTACTCCCCCTCCTCCCTCTCTCTCTCCCACTCTCGCCGTCCTCCTCCCTCTCTCCCCCTCCTCCCTCTACCCCTACAGACACTCTATCAGTGTGTAGTAATGACTCCATCATGCCAGGCTCCTCTGCCACCCTGCAGCCTGGGCATCACGGCATGGGCTCACACACCTCGCCAGGGCCCAAACGACCAGGTAAACACACACACACACACACACACACACACATCTCACCAATGTTTGCAAGGGAGTGGCTCCTAATCTGTGACCGGATCTTTCATTTCTGAGGTTCCGTATCCGTGAGTGGGCAAATTCTCTCAGTATCTCGCAGGAATTTGGGACTTCAGTCTTTTTTTTTTATGCCGAAACCGGATTAGATACATAGCTATGTTCTGGATGGCAGGGAGCTCAGCCCCAGTGATGTACTTGGCCGTACGCACTACCCTCTGTAGTGCCTTGTTGTCTGATGCCAAGCAATTTTGAGGCTGGTTGGACGTACTGCCAAATTCTCTAAAACGACGTTAGAGGCGGCTTATGGTAGAGAAATGAACATTCAATTCTCTGGCAATAGCTCTGGTGGGCGTTACTGCAGTCAGCATGCGAATTGCACACTCCCTCAAAACTTGAGACATCTGTAGCATTGTGTTGTGTGACAATTTAAAAAATAATAATAATAATGAAAGACTGCACATTTTAGAGTGGCCTTTTATTGTCCCCAGCACAAGTTGCACCTTTGTAATGATCATGCTGTTTAAATCAGGTTCTTGATATGCCACACCCATCAGGATTATCTTGGCAAATAAGAAAAGGTCACTAACAGGGATGTTAACACATTTGTGCACGAAATTTGAGAGAAATAAGCTTTTTGTGCATTTGGAACATTTCAGGGATATTTTATTTCAGCTCATGAAACATGGGACCAACACTTTACATGTTTCATATTTTTGTTCAGTGCAAATGAGAAATGGCAATCCAAAAGAAATGTAAACCAAATAAATATGCCTATTTTAGGCTATAAATACATAGCCTAGGCTATAAATACATGACGTTACCGCTTCTTTTCCCCTGGTCAGAGAGGATCAGGACACATAGGCTCTAGTAGTATTTTTACTTAATTTCTTTACACCACTGCACGTACTGTATTAAAGCCTTGAATCTCATAGGGACCTCTCTTTCACCACTGGTCATGTAGCTAGCTGTTAGCTAGTAGGGTTAAATCTGTTTCAATTGGACTACAGTTTGCTAGGCTGGCTAGCTAGGTTGCAGCCTACGCTGACTAGCATTGCTAGCATGCTAACGTTAGCTAGCTAACTAATGCCGATACACTATAGTCGTGGGTCCGCAAAATCAAGCAAATGTTACAGAACTCATGACAAAACCATGTTAAGACATTGAAGTGGCTATTGAATATTGCGAATATAATATTTTTGGCATGAAACTCTGATTTAACTACAGGTTTGTAACTAATCCAGTGTCGGCATGAGAAAATGAGTGAAGTCCCAAATTCCTGGGAGATACTGCGAGAATTTGCGCACTCACCGATATGGAGCCTCAGAAATAAAGGATCCGGTCACGGATTAGGAGCCACTCCCTTTTTGCAAAGGGATTGAGCAAACAATTCTAAATTCAAAGTGGTTGAAAAGGAGAAGGTGTGTGTGTGTGTTTGTGTCTACATGTACGTGGTAACATTCTCCATCCCTTGTCCCAGGTAACACCCTGCGTAAGTGGCTGACCAGCCCAGTGCGTCGTCTGAGCAGTGGCAAGGCAGACGGGCACGTGAAAAAGCTGGCACACAAACAGAAGAAGAACCGCGAGGTGAGGAAGAGTGGTGAGATGACGGGCAGTGCCCAGAAAGACTCTGATGACAGCGCCGCTACACCCCAGGATGAGACTGTGGAGGAGGTGAGGGGACGGTGGCGACAGACAGACATGGCCACACACACGCCTATTCACCAGCAGGATTCTCTGAATCTCTCTCTCTCTCTCTCTCTCTCTCTCTTTGTCTCTCTCTACCTTTCTCTCCCTCCCTCCCTCCCTCTCTCTCTAATCTCTCCTCTCTCTCTCTCTTCTGCAGAGGGTGCGTAACGAGGGGCTCTCGAGTGGGACCCTGTCCAAGTCCTCGTCCTCTGGGATGCAGAGCTGTGGCGAGGAGGAGGGCGAGGAGGGTGCTGACTCTGTACCCCTACCGCCCCCCATGGCCATCCAGCAGCACAGCCTACTGCAGCCTGACACACAGGACGACAAGGTAAGGGGGAGCGGGAAGGAAGAGAAAAGGGGTACAGTCAGCCTGAGGATAAGGTGAAGGGGTGTACGGGTGGGGAGAAGGTACGAGAGAGGAAAGATTGGGGAGGGGGTAAAGTGTAGAAAGTCTAGGCTAACTGGTACACACATCTAACATAACAGATAGGCCTGTAACCAGGAAGTGTAACACTAAACAAACAATCCTAAACTACCCCAAATCTAAGATCCCCCCACACAGCAAACTCATCCTTTCTGTTACAGTTTCTCTCTCTTATGATTTAGTCATGAGTTTGATTATTTTGTTATTATATTCTACAGACAAACATTACATCAATTTTAGTCAATTTTCTTCTCACTTCCTGCTGAGCAGGGCCTGTATTCACAAAGCATCTTAGAGTAGTACGAGTGCTGATTTACGATCAGGTCCCCCCTCTTATTCATCATGATGAAAGGCAAATCTGATCCTATATCAGCACTCCTAGTCTGAGACACTTTGGGAATACAAGCCTAGATTTCAATTCATTATGAAACATTGAAGCTGCTATTCAAATATAAATCCAATGAAATGCATCAGTTACTGTTCCCGTCCTGGGGTCACCTTTTCTTGGCGCAGCAGCGTTTTTCTCTGACACTAATTTCTTTCTCTTTTTGTTTGTTTTGTTTCTGACTGTATCGTTGGTTTGCTGTCTGTTTACTGTTTACCATGCTGTAGCATTACCTTGATTTATGTCCTGTCTTTGCTTTGTCTCAGTTTCCATACCTCTCCATCTCCTGAATCAATCCTTCCATCTCTCCCTCCTTTTCTCTTCCCTCAGTAGTTCAGTTCTCTCTCTCTTTTTCCCCTCTCGGTAACTGTACTATAGACTTAGTTACTGTTTTTCTTTCGGTTCTTCTTATGAAAGTTAGTTGAATGACAACGGATGTAGAATGTTGACGTCTGTTCCTGTCTTCTAGTTCTTCTAGTATGTTTCTCTCTGAGGCAAAGGACACTTCCAAACGTCTCTAAAAGAGCTCTTTTAGTCTGCCTGCCTTACGCTCTCTTGCTCTCTCGGTCTCTCAGTCTCTCTTCAACACCCAAACTTGCTCTCTCTCTCCTCTTAGTATCTGCGGTGCTTTATCCAACTATAGAATTACTCCCCCTCTTCATCTTTCTTCTTAGTTTTGATTATTTTCCATTTTTCATCACCAGCCCGGTTCCTTCAATATACGGCTTTCACCAAACAAGTCTAAGTTTTGATTATGCATTTTAAGCATTTTTCGCCTCGTTGCCTGGTTACTCGTCCGTTTGCTGTGTGATAGCACTCTCAGAATAACTCAGAGGCACATGCAGAACAGAGCAGGTCGAAGTCTCTAGACGCTGATCTAAGGTCAGCTTTGCGTTCTCTCACACTATTCGCTTCAGGATCGAATTTGGGGCAAGCTGATCCTAGATCTGTGCCTAAGAGCAACATCTTGCGTCAGGAACACTTGTACAAATGAACAAAGTCATGTGCTAAAATGACTATGATTCAGAACCCCCTCCCTCCTCCTCCCTCACCCCTCTCACCCGTCCTCACCCCTCCCCTTTGTGCGTTAACCCCATTGCACCATGTTATTAATTGGCACCTACTGTAAGCCCTGGCGTGGCCAGAGGGTACACCCCACCCCACCACACACTGACCCTTAGTGGGGCACAGCACAGTCTGGAGACAGCACAGCAAGGGTGAGAGACTCTCATACACTTTACTGTACCTCCTTACCTTTTCAATGTCTTATACAGTCATTATACACATTCTCTTTTCTTTTCTGAATGCCGTCCTTTATTATACAGTTCATATTTCATCATCCACTTTTAAAAGTTCCTTTATTATATAGATATCTCATACATTCTCTATGAGGGAAAAAAGGATTTGATCCCCTGCTGATTTTGTACGTTTGCCCACTGACAAACAAATGATCAGTCTATCATTTTAATGGTAGGTTTATTTGAACATTGAGAGACAGAATAACAACAACAAAATCCAGAAAAACGCATGTCAAAAATGTTATAAATTGATTAGCATTTTAATGAGGGAAATAAGTATTTGACCCCCTCTCAATCAGAAAAATGTCTGGCTCCCAGGTGTCTTTTATACAGGTAACGAGCTGAGATTAGGAGCACACTCTTAAAGGGAGTGCTCCTAATCTCAGCTTGTTAACTGTATAAAAGACACCTGTCCACAGAAGCAATCAATCAATCAGATTCCAAACTCTCCACCATGGCCAAGACCAAAGAGCTCTCCAAGGATGTCAGGGACAAGATTGTAGACCTACACAAGGCTGGAATGGGCTACAAGACCATCGCCAAGCAACTTGGTGAGAAGGTGACAACAGTTGGTGCGATTATTCACATAATGGAGGAATCAGCCCAGAACTACACGGGAGGATCTTGTCAATGATCTCAAGGCAGCTGGGACCATAGTCACCAAGAAAATAATTGGTAACACACTACGCCGCGAAGGACTGAAATCCTGCAGCGCCCGCAAGGTCCCCCTGCTCAAGAAAGCACATATACAGGGCCGTCTGAAGTTTGCCAATTAACATATGAATGATTCAGAGGAGAACTGGGTGAAAGTGTTGTGGTCAGGTAAGACCAAAATCGAGCTCTTTGTTATCAACTCAACTCGCCGTGTTTGGAGGAGGAGGAATGCTGCCTATGACCCCAAGAACACCATCCCCACCGTCAAACATGGAGGTGGAAACATTATGCTTTGGGGGTGTTTTTCTGCTAAGGGGACAGGACAAATTCCCCGCATCAAAGGGACGATGGACGGCGCCATGTACCTTCAAATCTTGGGTGAGAACCTCCTTCCCTCAGCCAGGGCATTGAAAATGGGTCGTGGATGGGTATTCCAGCATGACAATGACCCAAAACACACAGCCGAGGCAACAAAGGAATGGCTCAAGAAGAAGCACATTAAGGTCCTGGAGTGGCCTAGCCAGTATCCAGACCTTAATCCCATAGAAAATCTGTGGAGGGAGCTGAAGGTTCGAGTTGCCAAACGTCAGGCTCGAAACCTTAATGACTTGGTGAAGATCTGCAAAGAGGAGTGGGACAAAATCCCTCCTGAGATGTGTGCAAACCTGGTGGCCAACTACAAGAAACGTCTGACCTCTGTGATTGCCAACAAGGGTTTTGCCACCAAGTACTAAGTCATGTTTTGCAGAGGGGTCAGATACGTATTTCCCTCATTAAAATGCAAATATGCGTTTTTCTGGATTTGTTCGTTGTTATTCTGTCTCTCACTGTTCAAATAAACCTACCATTAAAATTATAGACTGATCATGTCTTTGTCAGTGGGCAAACGTACAAAATCAGCAGGGGATCAAATACTTTTTTCCCTCACTGTATATATATATCTTCTCTTGTTTTTCAATACCATGGATTTACCTCTTATGAAACTCATTGGAGACTACACTATATACAAAAGTATTGGCTATTTCAGCCACACCCGTTGCTGACAGGTGTATAAAATTGAGCATACAGCCATGCAATATCCATAGACAAACATTGGCAGTAGAATGGCCTTAATGAAGATCTAAGTGACTTTCAACCTGGCACCGTCATAGGATGCCACCTTTCCAACAAGTCAGTTCGTCAAACCTGCTAGAGCTGCCGCGGTCAACTGTAAGTGCTGTTATTTTGAAGTGGAAATGTCTAGGAGCAACAACGGCTCAGCCGTGAAGTGGTAGGCCACACAAGCTCACAAAACGTGACCGGAGAGTGGTGAAGTGCGTAGTGTTTAAAAATCGTATGTCCTCGGTTGCAACACTCAATACCGAGTTCCAAACTGCCTCTCGAATCAACATCAGCACACTAACTGTTCATCAGGAGCTTCATGAAATGGGTTTCCATGGCCAAGCACCCGCACACAAGTCTAAGATCACCATGCGCAATGCCAAGCGTCGGCTGGAGTGGTGTAAAGCTCGTTGCCATTGGACTCTGGAGCAGTGGAAATGCGTTCTCTGGAGTGATGAATCATGCTTCATCATCTGGCAGTCCGACGGACGAATCTGGGTTTGACGGATGCCAGGAGAACGCTACCTGCCCGAATGCATAGTGCCAACTGGTGGAGGAAGAATAATGGTCTTGGGCTGTTTTTTACGGTTCGGGCTAGGCTCCTTAGTTCCAGTGAAGGGAAATCTTAATGCTACATCATACAATGACATTCTAGATGATTCTGTGCTTCCAACTTTGTGGCAACAGTTTGGGGAAGGCCCTTTCCTGTTTCAGCATGACAATGCCCCCATGCACAAAGCGAGATCCATACAGAAATGGTTTGTCAAGATCGGTGTGGAAGAACTTGACTGGCCTGCACAGAGCCCTGACCTCAACCTTTTGGATGAATTGCAACGCCGACTGCGAGCCAGGCCTTATCGCCCAACATCAGTGCCTGACCTCCCTAATACTCTTGTGGCTGAATGGAAGCAAGTCCCGCAGCAATGTTCCAACATCTAGTGGAAAGTCTTCCCAGAAGAGTGGAGGCTGTTATAGCAGCAAAGGGAGGACCAACTCCATATTAATGCCCATGATTTTGGAATGAGATGTTCGACGAGCAGGTGTCCACATACTTCATGTAGTGTATTTTCCTTATTTTTTTTCTTTTAGCTATCATAAATTCAATTTACCCTTCCGTTTAACTTCATATTAGAACCTCTTTCTTGTTATGATCAACATTGGATAATTCATTGAGCGCAGAGGATCAAAATACAACACAAACACTAACACTGTGTAAGGTAGACTAAGCGAGATGACGTCATCGTAAACAAACCATCATCTGATCACCAACATACAGCTGGCTGGCAACTTTTTACCCGCCATTCAATGTATGCCTCAGGAATATTTTGGGATCTGTCCAGAAAAAAACACTGTTCTTTCATTGTCTCTTTTTTGGTAGTCTCTTGGATCAGTGTTTGCAGTGTGTCTCTACATGACATTTTTAAATGTTCTCCCTTAAAAGAGGGCGTTCTACAAGGGAGGGTTCAAATTAGGAAGAACCAATAATGTTATTCTTGCCAGATTTGGTTTCTTGGTTAATTGATAGGATCAGTTAATTGATGTATTAATTAATTAGTTAATTGTTTTAAAGATTGCTTGATTGTTTTATAGATGACAGGAATGGTAGTAAATAAAACCTTTAGCCAAATCAGGTAGTAAGACTATGCTGAATGGAATGTTCTAACACTTTTCTCTCCTAACCCCCCACCCTCCATCCCTGTTCAGAGCTCCTCTCGTCTGTCCGTCCGTCCATCCAGTTCTGAGACACCCAGTGCAGCAGAGCTGGTGAGCGCCATCGAGGAACTGGTCAAGAGCAAGATGGTGAGGGCACTCTCTCTCTCACACACACACACACACAAGGAAGCATCATCTGGTTTACAATCTACCTCCTTCTTTCTCCCTCCTTATCTCTCTCCAGGCTTTGGAGGACAGGCCCAGCTCTCTCTCAGTAGAACAGGGGGATAGCAGCTCTCCCTCCTTCAACCCCTCCGACAACTCTCTCCTCTCATCCTCCTCTCCCATCGATGAGATGGAGGAGCGCAAGACTGGCTTCCTCAAGAGACGACAGTACGTACTGGATTGATAGATAGATTTATTGGGGGGAAAAATATGCACTGAGTACAACCAAGGGGATAACACGTTAAAGCGATTCCACTTGTGTGGCTCACTAGCAATGTTTCTCTCTTTTTGTCACTGACTCTTTCTCCCTCACTGTTACGGTGTCCATATTAGGACAATCTCAGTCTCAGCAGGATTTGACTGGAGCTGTCCTACTATGGACACCATACACTGGAACTCCCTTTATTATTTGCCACACTCTTGTTTCAGCCATGTTTCTTACCCTTTCTCTCTTTCTCTGTGTAGTTTTGTGTTGTTGGAACTGGTGGAGACTGAGAGGGACTACGTCAGAGACCTGGGCGTGGTGGTGGGGGTGAGACAAAACGCATCACTTCCTCCCTCCCTCTGACCTCACTTCCTCTTCCTCTCGTGTTAGTTGATGTTCGAGTGTGTGTGCGTGCGTGCGCGTGTGTGTGTGTGTGATGGCTTGATTATGCAACCCTGACTGTGTGTGTGTGTGTTTCAGGGCTATATGACGCGGATGAAGGAGGAAGGGGTACCAGACGATATGAAGGGGAAAGACAAGATCGTCTTTGGAAACATCCACCAGATCTACGACTGGCACAGAGAGTACGACACACATGGGCATACACACACACACAATTACGCACACACACATACACATACAAACACACACACGACATATGGATATGCCTTGCTTAACACTCTCTCTCTTTCACTCTGCAGTTTCTTCATGGGAGAGTTAGAGAAGTGTCTGGAAGACCCTGACCGACTTGGGCCGCTGTTCGTCAAACATGTGAGTGACTGACTGTTGCTGTGTGAGTGTCTATACAGTGCCCAAGTCAGTGTATAGACAGAGCGAAAACAGGTTTTTATAAATTTTTGCTAATGTATTACAAATAAAAACACAGATACCTTATTTACATACGTATTCAGACCCTTTGCTATGAGACTCAAAATTGAGCTCAGGTGCATCCTGTTTCCATTGATCATCCTTGAGATGTTTCTACAACTTGATTGGAGTCCACCTGTGGTAAATTCAATTGATTGGACATGATTTGGAAAGGCACACACCTGTCTATATAAGATGCCACAGTTAACAGAGCATGTCAGAGCAAAAACCAAGCCATGAGGTCAAAGGAATTGTCCGTAGAGCTCCGAGACGGGATAACGTCGAGGCACAGATCTGGGGAAGGGTACCAAAAAATGTCTGCAGCATTGAAGGTCCCCAAGAACACAGTGGCCTCCATCATTCTTAAATGGAAGAAGTTTGGACTGGCTTTGGTCAGGGAGGTGACCAAGAACCCGATGGTCACTCTGACAGAGCTCCAGAGTTCCTCTGTGGAGATGGGAGAACCTTCCAGAAGGACAACCATCTCTGCAGCACTCCACCAATCAGGCCTTTATGGTAGAGTGGCCAGAGGGAAGCCACTCCTCAGTAAAAGGCACATGACAGCCTGCTTGGAGTTTGCCAAAAGGCACCTAAAGACCCTCAGACCATGAGAAACAAGATTCTCTGGTCTGATGAACCCAAGATTGAACTCTTTGGTCTGAATGCCCAGGCCCGGTGCCACAAGGGGGCAAAAGGGGGCAATGCCACAATCTGCCCTCTCCATCATGCCCAACCGATTTGTTGCGTATACTTAATTCATGCAACTCCCTTGCACGCATCATATGTACGTCATACACATTTCACCAGTTGAAAAAAACAATTGGTTTGATTGGCCTTCACAGTAGAAGGGCATGGTCAATTTGACCGTTTAGGTTTACTTTCAAAGTTATGTACTACGAAAACCGCGCAGCTGGATGGAATTTAGCTAATGTTAACAGTTAGGTAGGTAGCTGATAGCATGATGGATATTAGAAAGTAGCTTCACCAGGGCACAACGGCAGCATCGGATCAAGGCGGCGCGGAGGGGGAGAAGCCTGCCGCCAAGGCCGCTGAGCCGACGCTAATCACAGAGGCCAAGGCTGCCGAGCCCAGCAGCAAAGGCACCTGCGCAACCGTCTTGCAGCCTGGTGACATAGGAGGTAACCAACCCGAGGAGGGGCCTCCAGCTGCCAAGACCGAACCTAGCAACAGCACCGCCAGGATATTACAAGCACCGACGCCTTCGTTATCGTTAGTGCCTGACGACCTCGGTGATGAGTAGCCAGCGCAGGTTTGTCTGGGGAAATACCCAACCCGCCTGTACTGTGGGAGAAAACTGGCATTTTGTAGCACGTGGTTCGAAGGCAGAGAGATTTAACGAACGAAACAGCCAACTTGTTGAGGCCCTGTGTGCCTTGCACCCAGAGAATGAAACCTTTATGGATGTGGAAAAGGTGAAACCACTGCTGGACTTAATCTCAGGAGACTTTGTGGAAGTTTACTGTCCCACGGCAGTTTCTACAGATTGAAATCGCCCGATCTGGAGAAGAAAAATGGACTACGCAGAGCATTTTGGATAGACACGCTGGGCCTCTAACAGCAATGCCTACTGTGATGATGGCATTGAAGCTGGGATTAACATTTGGAGCATCCATGGTAACTTGCGAGAACTCCTTTTCAACATTGAAAAACGTATTCAGTGAGCACAGACTGAGCATGTTGCACAGGAGGAAAGCGCAGCTGATTCAACTGGCATTTGAGAGGGATCTTACAAGCAAATTCCGTAGGGAGTGGAACGAAAGACTGCTGAGGAGGTTCAACACAGCATCAAGGCGGCTGCAACTCTTTTGAATCTGGGTAAGAACGGCAGCCTGGCTGGGCTTGTATTATTTTGTTATTTGCTTTTGGAAATGTGTGGCAAATGTCAGAAATGGGCGTAGACGTGATTTTCTTTATTGGCGTTGCTGCCAAGTCTACTGCTTGATTTCTGTGATGTCATTGGATTGGAAATGTTTGGTTTATAGGATAATCGGATTGTTTTTAATGTTTTATATGGTAGAAGAGGTGCTTTGCATTACATTGATGAGGGTGGGCAGACCTTGACCAATGGTTGAGTAACGATGTAGCTATAGTGTTGCCATAAACAACTCGTTGCTATGGAATTCTAATTTCTGTTATCATACGCAGCGTAGTACGGCACTCTTGTGGGAAGACAGCTTGGTAGCTGCATTGTACCGATAAGTCGTGGTAGTGCATTGTACATTATTGTTTGCTTTCCGCGATTGGAAATGCATTTTATTGGCGTGGGGAAGTGTTATTACGGTAATTAGCAACTGTTTTGCATTGCATTGATGGGTATTGTGCATGTAGCATTGTCATAACTTGCAATTTCTCAAGCCGGTTATGAATTGTCCATGTTTGTAAAGTGGTGCAGTAGCCTGTATTCTTGCGGCAAGACAGCCATGCGTGGCTGCAAATACATTGTTTGTAATTGTACTATCGATTATTATCCATCTGTGTTATCAGCAAGCGAAAATAGTTGTGCCCCCTTAGTCATTTCTGATGCCCCCTTGCCGAGTTAATCCTGCCGCAGGGCCTGTGAATGCCAAGCTTCATGTCTGGAGGAAACATGGCACCATCTTTATTGTGAAGCATGGCAGTGGCAGCATCGTGTTTTTTAGAGGCAGAGACTGGGAGACTAGTCTGGATCGAGGGAAAGATGAACGGAGCAAAGTACAGAGATCCTTGATGACAACCTGCTCCAGAGCGCTCAGGACCTCAGACTGAGGCGGAGGTTCACCTTCCAACAGGACAATGACCCTAAGCCCACAGCCAAGACAACGCAGGAGTGGCTTTGGGACAAGTCTCCGAATGTCCTTGAGTGGCCCAGCCAGAGCCCGGACTTGAACCTGATCGAACATTTCTTGAGAGACCTGAAAATAGCTGCGCAGCGACGCTCCCCATCCAACCTGACAAAGCTTGAGAGGATCTGCAGAGAAGAATGGGAGAAACTCCCCAAATACAGGTGTGCCAAGCTTGTAGCGTCATACCCAAGAAGACTCAAGGCTGTAATTGCTGCCAAAGGTGCTTCAACAAAGTAAAGGGTCTAAATACTTATGTAAATGTCATAGTTCTGTTTTTTTTAAATTATAAATCTGCAAAGAAAATGTCTAAAAAAACTGTTTTTGCTTTGTCATTTAGGGGTATTTTGTGTAGATTGAGGGGAAAAAAACGATTTAAACCATTTTAGAATAAGGCTGTAACGTATCAAAATATGGAAAAAATCAAGGGGTATGAATACTTTCCGAATGAACTGTATATCTACTGTACCCTAACCCTTGGTGTGTCTGTTCTGTCTCCAGGAGCGGAGGCTCCACATGTACATAGTGTACTGTCAGAACAAGCCTAAGTCAGAGCTCATCGTATCAGAGTACATCGACACCTACTTTGAGGACCTGAAACAACGTCTAGGTCACCGTCTCCAGATCACTGACCTCCTCATCAAACCCGTCCAGAGAATCATGAAGTACCAACTACTGCTCAAGGTAGGGTGGGGGTGTGGGTGGGGGTGTGGGTGGGTCTCTGTGTTCTCATCATTGTCTTGTGATCCTGTGTAGGAGATAAATAATCACTGTACAAATCATGTTCTTAGTTGTCCAGCAGGGGGTGCAAATCACTTACATTTTCTTTGCTGTACCAGGGGGCCAGTATCAAATCAGTTTGTTACCTTACTCTGACATTTTGTCTTATCATTTGGTAATCATTTTCTTTCACACAAGTCACCATTTTGTAATATCTAATTAACTTTGCCTCGTTTTGTTTGTAGGACTTCCTCAAATTTTCTAAAAAGGCAGGGTTGGATTCAGTGGAGTTGGAGGTGAGGAGGAGAGGACTTTCCATAAAAAACAAATATTTTTTGACTATTGTATTTCCTTAACTGTTTTTTTTTTAACCCATTCGATGTGTGTGTGTCCCCTTCAGAAAGGAGTTGAGATCATGTGCATCGTACCAAAGAGATGCAACGATATGATGAACGTGGGGCGGCTCCAAGGATTTGACGTAAGACAACCCTGACAGAGAATAGATATTTACATATAAAAACGGATCAATTGATTGTCAGATCAATCAACTGAACCAATTGATCAACTCGTCTGATTTTCTTTCCTCCTTCCTCCTCTGCCCCACTTATCTCTTCCTTTATTCATCTCTCTTTCAACATTTTGCTCTTCACTTTTTTCCCCTTCTATTTCTTTTTTTCTCTCCTCCCCCCTCCAGGGTAAGATTGTGGCCCAAGGTCGTCTGCTGCTTCAGGACACCTTCATGGTATCAGACCCTGAGGGGGGAGTAGGGAGGATGAGGGAGAGAAGGGTCTTCCTCTTCGAACAGATCGTCATCTTCAGTGAACCACTGGACAAGAAGAGAGGTTTCTCCATGCCTGGCTTCGTATACAAGAACAGCATCAAGGTATTGTCTCTACATCGTATGATGGAAATGTGTATAAACTTCCAAAACACCCAGACAACTCACATTTTGTATGCATCAAAGGACAATATAAGTTGTAAGCTCTGTATTCATTTACTCCTTATTTGCTAAATAAAGGTGTGTTGAGCAACTCTCTCTCTCTCTCTCTCTCTCTCTCTCTCTCCCTCCCTCCAGGTCAGTTGTCTCGGGTTGGAGGACAGTGTGGACGGTGACCCCTGTAAGTTTGTGTTGACGTCTCGGGTGACCAATAGCAGCATAGAATCCTTCGTCCTTCACTCCTCCCATCTGGGTGTCCGGCAGGTCTGGACCCTTCAGATCAGCCAGATACTGGAGAGTCAACGCAACTTCCTCAATGGTACACACACACACACACACCTTTAGCTGAGCTTTTTCAACAGTACACAGATATACCGTCACGATTTTGGAATGTTGAGGTGAGTGATGTTACCAAAATAAGTGTAATATTTTTGTCAATCTCTCTGCCTCACTTTCTCACTCTATCTCTCTCTCCAGCTCTGACCTCCCCTACAGAGTACCAGAGGAACCATGTAGGGGCTAGCGACGGACCATGTCTACCCAGCGGCGGAGCTCCGTCAATGGGGAGCGTCATGCCCAGTTTGGCCCCTGTTGGAGCTCTACAGGGTGTGCATCTATCTGGGCCGCTCGGTGGAAGTGTGCCCCTCGGTGTAGGTAGTCCCCTCGTTGGAGGTGGTCCCCAGGGTGGAGCTGGCTCATCCAGGAGGCCCTCCAGGATCCCCCAGCCCTCCCGCCTGCCCCAGCCCCTACGACACCCACACAACCCTGGGGCCACAGACCCAGATGGCCCCAACAAGATGTCAGGTAGGCTGAGGCTCTCCCAGTATTACTGAGGGTGTGTGTGTGTGTGTGTGTGTGTGTGTGTGTGTGTGTGTGTGTGTGTGTGTGTGTGTGTGTGTGTTGAAATTCCCTGGTTAAGACATTTCCCTCCCTCTACTCAGTGTTGCTCACTTCTGATTCAGGTTCCTCCCCTCGTCTCCCCCCACCTCCCTCGCTCCCTCCCTCCATCTCAGTGGACCCGCAGGCCCAGCGCGGGGTGAGGGTCCAGGGGGGAAGCCCCCAGGGCAAGCGCCCCATCTTGGCCTCAAACGACCAGCCCCCTTCCATACCCACTATCCCCCGGGCCAGTGTGGCCCCCCTCCCTGTGCCTCTCTCCACCCCCACTAAGCCTCGGCCGGGCACCGTCTCCCCCATGGCCTCCCCCATGGCCACCCCCGCCTTTGGGAAGGATGCGCTCCCCCCTCCCCCTCCCAGCCCTGGCCTGAAGTCTGGCTCTGGATCCTTCTGGAGCTCCATGCCTGGTTCTCCAGCCAGCCGGCCCGGCTCCTTCACCTTCCCAGGGGAGCCAGGGGATACCCTGGGGAGGCAGAACCAAAACACGGCCCAGACCTCATCTCAGTCAGGGACCGGGTCCCACAGACACTCCAACCACAGCAAGGAGGCGGACCGCATGAGTACGTGCTCATCGACCAGTGAGCAGTCCATCCAGTCCACCCAGAGCAATGGGGTAAGAGATGTACCCGCTGCCCAGGCTTCAGGGCGGCCTAGTCCTGCTAGTGCTCCTGGTTGACTAACCCAGCACCCACAGGAGACATGTCCTGTCCTGTCCTGTCCTGTCTGCCTGTGTCCTGCTGCGTCCCACTGGAGCTGGCTCTACTAAACTGTTCTACTACTATTCTACAACTAGTATTACTCTACTACTACGACAACTACTACTAATTGTTGGACTCCTGCGCACTTCTTGTATGTCTCTAAAGAATTGACGACCCTATTAAACTACTCTTCAACGCACAGCTCTAACCAAGCTTTAACTGCACTTCAAGTAGTACTCTACTAATACTACTCTGCTACTAGTAGTACTCTACTAATACTAATCTGCTACTAGTAGTACTCTACTACTACTACGCATCTCATGTATGTCTTAACAACGCTTCACTGATTTGTAAGCTCTAAGGACAACTCTACTAAACTCTCCTGGAGACTTTCTACTCTTTATAGCTAACAAGGCTTTTATAAAGCTTCAACCTTTAACAACAACTCTCATTTCTGCTATTTTTAACTCTGACAAAGCTTCTTTCAGCTTGAATACTTCTCGCTAACTCTTCTTGTCTTTGCGTCGGAGCGAAAGAGCAATGACGACTGAAACTGAAAGTAATCCTTCCTTTAACACCTGAGTGTGTACATCTCTCTTCCTCTTCACTCCACCTGATTCACTCGTTCTCTGAAGAAGTAGTGGTGCCAATCCCTTTTCTTTGTCTCATTGAGGTGTATGAACTTTACTGGAAGCAGTGTGTGAAACTAGAAAATGGATGGCTAACAACAACACTCACATGACTGAACCACTGATTACCTAAAGTGCTTGAATCAAATAGTAATTCTCTTTTTCCTCTTTCCTCTACCTAAACAGCGGAGTGTGTGAGGTGTGTCTGTGTCTGGGCAATGCCATGGTAACCGATTGATGCTGAGATTTTTCACTTTAAAATTTATGTCAAACAAAAACCAATGATTGCAAAGTTAAACAAACCATATAACTCTATGCACAAGCACTACTTTTAACAATTTCCAAGGATTTTTTTTACAAAAACACATTAACTTGAAGAACAGTGCAGATGCAAAGTATTTTCTATATTTTTTACATACATTCTAAAGTGAAAATTCTGAGTTTCAGCATCACTCTGTTACCATGGAATTGCCCTTGTGTTGTTTGGGACGCAATGATAGAATCAGATGATGTGCATGGAATCGTGGAGGATTGACTGTGTATGTGTGAGGTGAGTTTCTTGCAAGTTATTCAATATACTTACAAATCTTCCATAATTCCCCACCCCCATCTCCACAGAGTGAAAGCAGCAGCAGCAGTAGTATGTCGACCATGTTGGTGACCCAGGACTACGTGGCCCTTAAGGAGGATGAGATCAGTGTGTCCCAGGGAGAGGTGGTTCAGATCCTGGCCTCTAACCAACAGAACATGTTCCTGGTGTTCCGGGCCGCTACCGAACAGGGCCCCGCTGCCGAGGGCTGGATCCCCGGTTACGTTCTAGGACACACCTCCACCATCATCCCCGACTACCCAGACGGAACCATCAAGTAAGAGACTGTGGCGAATGTACAGTATACAGGGAAAGATTTTAGTGTGACACCACAAGATATTGTTAGCCTAAAACTATGTGTGATATAATGAGATATGTTATTGATTAGTATTAAATCATACTGTATATCATATACCTTTCAACTGACCCTATTTGTGTAAACAGGAAGTCCTCATCCTGGCACACCACCCTGCGCATCCGCAAGAAGTCTGAGAGGAAAGAAGAGGGAAAGAAAGAGGGCAAGCTGGAAAACGGTTACAGGAAGTCTAGAGATGGGCTAGCCAATAAGGTTTCTGTAAAGGTAAGTTATCATCAATCCTTTTGTCCAATCATTATTGACCACTAGCCCCTACCCGTAATGCCTAGGTACATGTGTAGAATTGAGAGGATCGGATAGGTGTAAGCAATATGGTGAAATTCCACTTAGCCTATCAGAGAGCTAGGTGGTGCCAATGTTACTGCATTGCTAGTAACCAACCAATGGGAACCAGCATTGCCCCCTCCCCCTTCAATCATTTCAGATCTACACAAAGCTTTCTTCTTTGACGTCTGACATCCTGTTTTCTGTCTTGTTTTTTCAGCTTCTAAACCCCAACTACATCTATGATTGTAAGTCCTCTATTGTCTTTTAATGTGTAGTCTCAATTAAGATAATCTCAATACAGCAGAATGGATGTACATATATTCAGCAGTGTATTGACTGTGTCCAAGACACTTAGGAACAATAAAGTTAATTGTACTGTATCAAAGAACGATGAAAGATCACCACCAACAATCTACAGATGCTGAACAGAAACATTATTTTAACTTGAAAAGGCAAAAAAATAATCTAAGTACATGATATTTTCTCACTATGACACACACCCTATAGCCCTCTCAGCTGCTCAGTGACGATGTCATTTGACCTTTGACCCTTAGTCTCACCGGAGTTCCTGGTCCCCCTGAGCGAGGTGACGTGTGACAACGGGGAGAGTGTGACTCTGAGGTGTAAGGTGTGTGGCCGACCCAAAGCTACTGTCACCTGGAGGGGACCTGACCAGACCACCCTGAACAACAACGGACACCACAGCATCGCCTACAGGTGGAGAGAGAGGGGGAGGGGGAGAGTTACACAGAGGCACACACACACACAGGGGGACACATATTTTTCATGCACACACACTCGGCTACAGGTACACACACACACGGGAACACATACATGCACACACACAGCATCGGTTACAGGTGTACACACATACACACACAGAGGCAGACATACACACACCTGTGTGTGTGATAATGAAACAGTAAGCTCTATTAATATGTCCCTTCTTGTTGTGGTTTAAATACCAGGGATCACATTCACACCCTCACTGTACTTTTTGTCACTTTGGATAAAATGACTTGCTAAGTGGCATACAGTGCCTTCAGAAAGTATTCATACCCCTTGACTTATTCCACATTTTGTTGTTACAGCCTGAATTCAAAATGGATTAAATATATTTTTGTTCTCACCCATCTAAACACAATACCCCATAATGACAAAGTGAAAACATGATTTTAGAAATGTTTGCAAATTTGTTGAAAATGAAATATATAAATATCTAATTTACATAAGTATTCACACCCCTGAGTCAACACTTTGTAGAAGCACCTTTGGTAGCGATTACAGCTGTCTTTCTAGGTAAGTCTCTAAGTGCTTTGCACACCAGGGGCCTCGTGTATCAACCGTGCATAGGCACAAATCTGTGCATATATACGATGCGTGGGATCATTTCCACGCAAAGTGTGAGATTGATCAATATGAACGTTAGCTTGAGAGTATGCTTACATTTACGCACAGCCATGACCATTCGTAGGCACAGTGCCAAGTGGTGGAATAAGGAAAATATATGTTGCAGTTGTGACAGTAATAATTAAATCATTTTTCGACGTAATTATATTTCTATTGTGCAATTCATGCAACAGATCTTGACAGGATATAAATTATATAATTTGACCACATCAGTGCATTTGTTATGTAATTTGTTACAGTGATTTGTCAAATTAGAGGCACGTGTTAAAGTGAAACTATTGTTGAAATACTATAAAAGACAGAGATAATGGGAAATCGAATGAGAAATGAATGATCTTGCTCTGTTAGAAGATTTGGCACTCGCTGCATTTCGCAGAGAGCGTGTTTTTAGAGACCAGTGGGACTTTTTTTGCAGAAAGTACAGATTGGCTCATCAGATATCATTTTCCAAAACCAATTATATAGGATCTTTTGAGGATTTAAGACCTACAGTGAGGGGAAAAAAGTATTTGATCCCTGCTGATTTTGTACGTTTGCCCACTGGCAAAGAAATGATCAGTCTATAATTTTAATGGTAGGTTTATTTGAACAGTGAGAGACAGAATAACAACAAAACAATCCAGAAAAACGCATGTCAAACATTTTATAAATTGATTTGCATTTTAATGAGGGAAATAAGGATTTGACCTCTCTGCAAAACATTGCTTAGTACTTGGTGGCAAAACCCTTGTTGGCAACCAAAGAGGTCAGACGTTTCTTGTAGTTGGCCACCAGGTTTGCACACATCTCAGAAGGGATTTTGTCCCACTCCTCTTTGCAGATCTTCTCCAAGTCATTAAGGTTTCGAGGCTGGCGTTTGGCAACTCGAACCTTCAGCTCCCTCCACAGACTGGCTAGGCCACTCCAGGACCTTAATGTGCTTCTTCTTGAGCCACTCCTTTGTTGCCTTGGCCGTGTGTTTTGGGTCATTGTCATGCTGGGATACCCATCCACGACCCATTTTCAATGCCCTGGCTGAGGGAAGGAGGTTCTCACCCAAGATTTGACGGTACATGGCCCCGTCCATCGTCCCTTTGATGCGGTGAAGTTATCCTGTCCCCTTAGCAGAAAAACACCCCCAAAGCATAATGTTTCCACCTCCATGTTTGACGGTGGGGATGGTGTTCTTGGGGTCAGCATTCCTCCTCCTCCAAACACGGCGAGTTGAGTTGATGGCAAAGAGCTCGATTTCGGTCTCATCTGACCACAACACTTTCACCCAGTTCTCCTCTGAATCATTCAGATGTTCATTGGCAAACTTCAGACGGGCCTGTATATGTGCTTTCTTGAGCAGGGGGACCTTGCGGGCACTGCAGGATTTCAGTCCTTCACAGCGTAGTGTGTTACCAATTGTTTTCTTGGTGACTATGGTCCCAGCTGCCTTGAGATCATTGACAAGATCCTCCCGTGTAGTTCTGGGCTGATTACTCACCGTTCTCATGATCATTGCAACTCCACGAGGTGAGATCTTGCATGGAGCCCCAGGCCGAGGGAGATTGACAGTTCTTTTGTGTTTCTTCCATTTTGTGAATAATCGCACCAACTGTTGTCACCTTCTCACCAAGCTGCTTGGCGATGGTCTTGTAGCCCATTCCAGCCTTGTGTAGGTCTACAATCTTGTCCCTGACATCCTTGGAGAGCTCTTTGGTCTTGGCCATGGTGGAGAGCTTGGAATCTGATTGATTGCTTCTGTGGACAGGTGTCTTTTATACAGGTAACAAACTGAGATTAGAAGCACTGCCTTTAAGCGTGTGCTCCTAATCTCAGCTCATTACCTGTATAAAAGACACCTGGGAGCCAGAAATCTTTCTGATTGAGAGGGGGTCAAATACTTATTTCCCTCATTAAAATGCAAATCAATTTATAACATTTTTGACATGTGTTTTTCTGGATTGTTTTGTTGTTATTCTGTCTCTCACTGTTCAAATAAACCTACCATTAAAATTATAGACTGATCATTTCTTTGTCAGTGGGCAAACATACAAAATCAGCAGGGGATCAAATACTTTTTTCCCTCACTGTACTTTAGAAAGGGAAACGCATGCCATTCCGGTGCAGATCAAAGTGCTATCCATCCTCTGTTTTTTTTTTCAATGGCCACTTTTCAGCGGGAGCTTGCCGATCGGCATCTCGCATCCCTCGATGAGCTGTCTTGGAGGCAATCGTCAGCTAAATGAACTGTAACATATACAATTTCCATACACCATCGCACAACAGGTTGAAATCAAGAGGGGTTTCTTTGCCATCAATGGGTTCCCAAATACTAACGGAGCAATAGACAGCACCCACATCGCCATAAAAGCACCATCCCAAAACAAGTTCAACTATGTGAACAGAAAAGGCTTCCACTCTTAATGAGCAGGTAATAGATTATGTGATGCGCAAAAAATGCTTCTGAATGTGGTGGCCAGGTGGAACGCACGACTCATTCATTCTGCAGAACAGCAATGTTGGCCTATACGTCTACAGGATGGAGCTGTTGAGGATGGATGACCTATTGGTGAGTGATGCCTACTCATTTTAAGTAAATTTACCATTGCTGCCTCCCAAGTGGCGCAGCTGTCTAAGGCACTGCATCGCAGTGCTAGAGGCATCGCTACAGATCCGGGTTCGATCCCGGGCTGTGTCGCAGCCGGCCGCGACCGGGAGACCCATAAGGCGGCGCACAATTGGCCCAGCGTCATCCGGGTTAGGGGAGGGTTTGGCCGGCTGGGATGTCCTTGTCCCATCGCACTCTAGCGACTCCTTGTGGCGCATGCACACTGACTTCGGTCGCCAGCTGTACAGTGATTTCCTCCGACACATTGGTGCGGCTGGCTTCCGGGTAAAGCAAGCAGTGTGTCAAGAAGCAGTGCGGGTTCGTGTTTCGGAGGACTCATGGCTCTCGACCTTCGCCTCTCCTGAGTCTGTACGGGAGTTGCAGCGATGGGACAAGACTGTAACTACCAATTTGGATATCAAGAAATTGGGGCGAAAAAAGTGGTAACAAGTACAAAAAGAATAATACCATTGCTAAAGCAACTTGAATTGTTCTAATGGTCCTCTTCTTTTTTCCCTCTTTTTTTATTTTCTACATTTGTTATTTTTTGTAACTTCCATCAATGTAGTTGTCTGCATTACTTCCAATCCCCCATGTTTTTTTTCTTCTTGCAAATATGTATTTATATATATATTTAAGTAGATAGATATACAGATACATTTAGTTTATATTCATGTTTACAAATAATGATACCCGTTACATTTGGGTCCTGTCTAATTCTTTCTGCTAGCAGTTCAATTGCCTTTGCAAACAGGAGGGGGGAGAGAAAGCATCCCTGTCTTTCTAAAGCAATTTCATCAGATAATGATGTACCAGTCAAAAGTTTGGACACACCTACTCATTTAAGGGTTTTTCTTTATTTTTATTATTTTCTACACTGTAGAATAATAGTGAAGACATCAAAACTATGAAATAACACATGGAATCATGTAGTAACCAAAAGTGTTAAACAAATCAAAATATATTTGAGATTCTTCAAATAGCCACCCTTTGCCTTGATGACAGCTTTGCACACTCTTGGCATTCTCTCAACCAGCTTCACCTGGAATGCTTTTCTAACAGTCTTGAAGGAGTTCCCACATATGCTGAGCACTTGTTGGCTGCTTTTCCTTCACTCTGCCTTCCGACTCATCACAAACCATTTCAATTGGTTTGATGTCGGGGGATTGTGGAGGCAAGCCATCTGATGCAGCACTCCATCACTCTCCTTCAGGGTAAAATAGCCCTTACACAGCCTGGAGGTGTGTTGGGTCATAGTCCTGTTGAAAAACAAATGATAGTCCCACTAAGCCCAAACCAGATGGGATGGCTTATCGCTGCAGAATGCTGTGGTAGCCATGCTGGTTAATTGTGCCTTGAATTCTAAATAAATCACAGACAGTGTCACCAGCAAAGCACCCCCACACCATAACACCTCCTCCTCCATGCTTTATGGTGGGAAATACACATGCGGAGATCATCCGTTCACCCACACTGCGTCTCACAAAGACACTGTGGTTAGAACCAAAGATCTCAAATTTGTACTCCAGACCAAATTACTAATTTCCACCGGTCTAATGTCCATTGCTCGTGTTCCTTGGCCCAAGCAGTCCCCTCTGAACAGTTGATGTGTCTGTGACTTGAACTCTGTGAAGTATTTA